ACAGAATGTTTAAATCAGGAGTGGGCAAGTAAAAGGAATTGTAATTTTATAAAACGGGTTTGTGAAGTGATGAGAGTGAACTGTTATAGCAGTGTAAGGTGGAGGAATGTTCTAGTCTTATAGATTAAGTATTCATATTGTTAGCCCTAAAGCAGCAGTTCTCAAACTTTTTGTTCTCTTTATACACATAAAACTATTTATGTGGATTTATCTATTAATAGTTATCATGTTAGAAATTAAAACTGAGAAAAAAGTATAAATATTTATTTTAAATTACAGTGACTCTTAAAACTGTTGTTTAAATATGTTTTTATTGATTTTAGAAAGGGAGAGGCAGAGAGAGAAACTTCGATCACTGCTTCCTGCACGCCCCCTAATTGAGGATCCAGCCTGCAACCAGGGCATGTGCCCTGACCAGGAATCAAACTTTTTCTTGCTTGGGACAACTGAGCTACACCAGCCAGTGAGAGTGACTCCTTTTTACGTTAACATATAACACATATTCATAAAAATACCTACTTTCCAAAAAGTTTAGTGAAGAGAGGAGCATTGTTTTCTAATTTTATAAATCTCTTTAATATTTGAGAAGACAGCTTAATTCTCATACCAGCTTCTGCATTCAACCTGTTGCATATGTTGTTTTGGTCAAAGTATATGAAAAATCTGGCATTATACAGTTATGTAGTTGGAAAAGGAGGAATCTTTAATAGCCTTTTCAGATAATAACATTCTTTGATACTATACAAAAAATTGACAAGTGGGTGAAAGTTTCTAGTTTCTTCTCAAAAAAATTATCTCCAAAATTATGACATTGTTTTGCTGCAGTACCAAAAACTACTCAAAGCTCTGGCACCATTTTTTAAAAATATATTTTATTGATTTTTTTACAGAGAGGAAGGGAGAGGGATAGAGAGTTAGAAACATCGATGAGAGAGAAACATTGATCAGCTGCCTCCTGCACACCCCCCACTGGGGATGTGCCCACAACCAAGGTACATGCCCTTGACCATAATAGAATCTGGGACCCTTCAGCCCGCAGGCCGATGCTCTATCCACTGAGCCAAACCAGTCAGGGCAGCTCTGGCACCATTTTATTAAACAATTTATTTATTACAGTTAACATAAAATAATATATTAGTTTTAGGTACACAGCATAGTGGTTAGACATTTATATCATTTAATACTGAGGTTGATACCCTGATAAGTCCAGTATTATTGCAATATTATTTTTTTAATATATTTTATTGATTTTTTACAGAGAGGAAGGGAGAGAGATAGAGAGTTAGAAACATCGATGAGAGAGAAACATCGTTCAGCTGCCTCTTCCACATCTCCTACTGGGGATGTACCCGCAACCCAGGTACATGCCCTTGACTGGAATCAAACCTGGGACCTTTCAGTCCGCAGGCTGACGCTCTATCCACTGAGCCAAACCAGTTTCGGCAATTGCAATATTATTAACTATACTAGAGGCCCGTTGCATGAAGAGATTTGTGCAATAGGCCTTCCCTTCCCCTGGCTGCCGGCACCGGTTTTCTTCTGGCACCCGGGACCTAGGCCTTCGCTCCAGACAGAGCCTTCAGTCTTCACTGCTCCAGCCAGGGCCTTCAGTCTTCGCTCCGCTGCTTCATGCCTACATATGCAAATTAACCGCCATCTTTGTTGGGTTAATTTGCATGCTCTCCTGATTGGCTGGTGAGCGTAGCAGAGGGATGGTCAATTTACATGTTTGTCTATTATTAGGTAAGATTCCCTATGCTGTACTTTACATTCTTTTTTTTTTTTTTAAATATATATTTTATTGATTTTTTACAGAGAGAAAGGGAGAGGGATAGGGAGTTAGAAACATCGATGAGAGAGAAGCATCGATCAGCTGCCTCCTGCACACCACCTACTGGGGATGTGCCTGCAACCAAGGTACATGCCCTTGACCGGAATCGAACCTGGAACCCTTCAGTCCTCAGCCCGACTCTCTATCCAGTGAGCCAAACCGGCTAGGGCTGTACTTTACATTCTTATAACTTCTTTATAACTGTCAATCTGTACTGTTATTCCCTTCACCTTTTTCATTCAGTCCCCCAACCTCCCTCCCATCTGGCAAGCATTAGTTTCTTTCCTATACCTATGAGTTTGTTTTGTCTTTTAGGTTCCACATATTAGTGAAATCATATGATATTTATCTTTTTCTGACTGGTTTATTTCACAGCATAATACCCCCCAGGCCCATCCATGTTGTCACAAATGGTAAGATTTTATTCTTTTCATTCCATTGTATATATGTACCATATTTTCTTTTTTCCTTTTAACATGTTTTTATTGATATCAGAGAGAAGAAGGGAGCCCGCAACCCGGACATGTGCCCTGACCGGGAATTGAACCAGCAACCGCGTTCCTGCCTGGTGCATGGGATGGTGCTCAACCAACTGAGCAACACTGGCTGGGCAAGTACCACATCTTCTTTATCCAATTGTCTATTGATGACCACTTATGCTTCCATATCTTGGCTATTGTAAATAAGGCTGCATATATCTTTTTGAATTAGTGTTTTGGATTTCTTTGGCTAGAAATACTCAGGAGGGGGATTGCAGGGTCATATGATAATTCTATTTTTAATTTTTTTCAGGAACCTCCATACTGTTTACCAATTTGCAATCCCACCAACAGTTCACAAGGGTTCCCTTTTCTTTCTTCACATCCTCCACAACAGTTACTTGTTGCTTTATTGACAATAACCATTCTGACAGGTGTGACATCTCATTGTGGATTTAATTTGCATTTGTATTAGCCATCTGTTGTCCTCTTTGGAGAAGTGTCTATTCAGGTCCTCTGCCCATTTTTTAATTGGATTTTGGGGGGTTGGTGTTGAATTGTATGAGTTCTTTATAAATTTTGGATATTAACTTCTTATCAGGTGTATCACTGGTGAATATGTTCTCCAATTAAGTAGGTTGTATTTTTGTTTTACGGTTTCCTTTGCTGAGAGCGATGTCAGTTTTATGGTTTCAGGTCTTACTAGTTTTTAATTGGTCTATTTCATTCTTATAATCAGTGTTTTGAACTGTGCATCTAATAGATTGTTTGTCTCCATTTTGTTTCTTTTTCTGGAGTTTTTGTCCTGGCCTTTCATTTTGGAGCATGTTCCTTTGTCTCCTTTAGCGTGACTCCCTATTCATTCCTGTTTTAGGTAGACCTGCTGTACTTCCGGGGCTTGGCAGAGTGGCCTTATGTGGTAGGTGTCTTGTGGGGCCCAGTGGCACAATCTTTCTAATCACCCAAACTATGCCCACCCCTCGCCCCCTGTGTAGGTTGTGTATACCCGCCTGTTATGGTTGAGCCGTGATTGCTGTTGACACATCAGTGGGTGGGATTGACCCTCAGGCTGACCGGCTATGAGGGCTGGCCATGACCACCTCTGATGAGTGGAAGTTGCTTTAGTGGGGTTGTAGTGCCAGCCAAGTCTGCCCTCTGGATATGTGGTTTGTGGAGCTGGTTGGGGAGGGGGTGCTCTGGTCTGGTCTGAAGCTTCTTTAGAGGGGCTACAGTGCAGATCAACGTCAGCCATCACTTGTGCCCATCTTAAGGTTGTCTGGTAGGTGCTACAGTGATCTGCGGTTGGTAGCTGCTTGTGCAGGCTTGGTGCCTATTTAGTGAACCAAGGCTGGCTGCCACTAGTATCAGGCTTGGGACCGTGTGGTGGGCACCACAATGTGAGCTGAGGCTACCTGCCATTTGTGCCCGCTTTATGGCCACTTAATTGAGGCTACATGCCCAGCCAAGACTGGCCACTGCTTATGCTGGGTGTGGGGCTACTTGATGGGACTTAAAATGTAAGTTGAAACCAGTCACCACTTATGTCAGGCTTGGAGTATCTTGGCAAGAGGTACATGGCACACCAAGGCCAGATGGTGCTGGCATTAGTGTTAGGCTAATGGAGAGCTCAGATTTGGCACCTGGGCTGGCTAGGTGGGTGTGGTTCAACAAAGAAACAATAGTGCCTGCCACCACTTTCATCTCTTGCCCTGAAGCTAATCAATTTAGTCCCCTATGTCCCTGACACGATGCTGCCGCCTCTGCACAGGAGCCTACAGCAAGTGAGTCTGTATATGGGCCCTTTAAGACCTGCAGTGGCTGGGTCTCCAGTAACCCTCCATCTCACTCGGACATAAGCCCCCTGGTTTTCACAACCAGTTGTTATGGGGACTCCCCTTCCCGTTATGAGAACCAAGGGCTGGGCAGAGCAGTGTGGGACTGGGAGACGCTTGCTCCTCTTGGGGAGCCCTGCAGCCAAGATCTCTCTCCTCCCACCAGCCTCAAGGTGGCTGCTTTTTTTTCTTCAATATATTTTATTAATTTTTTACAGAGAGGAAGGGAGGATAGAGAGTTAGAAACATCAATCAGCTGCCTCCTGCACACCCCCTTCTGGGGATGTGCCCGCAACCAAGGTACAAGCCCTTGACTGGAATCAAACCTGGGACCCTTCAGTCCGCAGCTCTATCCACTGAGCCAAACCGGTTAGGGCGTGGCTGCTTCTTTATATCCTTAGTTATGGGACTCCTGTTCAGATATTTAGGTGGTTTTATAATTTAGGTTGCAATTTTGATATGGTGAGGACAGCGTTTACCTGACCCACTATCTTGACCAAAGTCCTCTGGCACCATGGTTTTTACAAAGTTAACAGGGTCCTCCTGGAGTCAGGAGTCATATTCCCTTTCTTTCCCACCCAAAGCATCCAACCCTGCTTCTGCCTCCAAGGCTGTCGGGTGCAGGCAGAGGCCAGACCTACAGGGATGTTTACTTTAGTTCAGGATTGGTGGAGGTGCTGGTTCCTTTCATGCCCCGGCCAGGCCCCGCCCAGCTGAACTGTAGGGTGTTTCAGAGTTAGAGTGGAGTTCATTTTGAGTGCCTCCAGTAAGACTGTGATTTCTTTTCTCCTCCTACCTTTACCCATATAAGTTTTTCCCTCAAACTTGGGATAGTAAAGGAGCTTAAACATTGAGAACTCGGCTTGAAAGGTGAATTTTATTTTATCATTTAAAAAATTACATAAGTCAAATGCAAAAACATATAATACATCTATAATTAAATAACCCTTTTCCATGAAGGCAAAATTATTGAGAAATGTTTATTTTCCTCCTTGAAATGACTTGTCCAGGTAAGATATGGCTGCAGGTAGTTAATTCACGTCACTTTCTGCATTTCTTCCCTCCCTCCAGCCCACACCACTGCGCTGCTGGCCCTGGAGACAGAATGCGTGTAGGCCTTACAGATCCAGGGCCCAGTGGACGGACAGGCTCTTGTCTTCCACGTTGGCAACCATGTCTTCGATGGCATTCCAGTCGAGCTTGCTGAGGATGCTGCCAGTGCTCTCAGACACACTGTCCATGCCACCCTCTCCAGTAGGGGACGCTGGCTCTTCTTCCGTTGGTGACAAGTCCTAGCAAATTGAGAAAGATAGTAAGTGGTAGTCCTAGCCTGAGAAAAATACACAGAACGTGAACCATGTCTTCAGTTGCTCATCCACCAGATGGAGAGGGAAGTGTGGTGGGAGACAGGGCTGTGGCTGCCCAGGACAGAATGGGTGTTTATACCTTAGTAAATAATCTGTTCTTACATTTTGGTGATCTTTTAGTTAAAAAGAAAATACAAAGTCAAGGAAAATTCTAAAAGATAAATCACATTAGTTGCTTTGAATCACCATTTCAAACTGTCCTCACAATCCTTCTATATCTCTACATCCCACAGAAAAATACCCCCCCACCCCCAAAAAAAAACACCCACACACAACAAAAACCTGCCGTACAGAGGAAGCACTAGGCAACCTGAGCTCCGGCCGATGCTTACCTGTAGAAGGGAACTGTGACTTCCATGTAGAATCCTGCGGATGTCTGAGGGCACCAGCCAGGGACTCACCACAGTCTCTTCTCTCTCGTCCTCTGCACACACCTGCTCGGTGTGAGGGCCAAGCCCAGCACTCCTGTGCTGTTCTGAATGCTGTAGACAGGGAGCAGTAGAGCCTAACAAGGGAAAAGAACAAGGCATACATTGGGACTCGTTCATTTATTGTGATGTTTATCATCAAATCCACGGCAGTCACATTTTACCTACTATTTGAACCACAGGGTTTGGTTATAGTTCGCTTTAGAGTTCTAACAATTCCTGTCCTGCAGGAGAAGGAACTTGAATTCTGGCCACCTGTTTCGATTTTAAAAGGAACAGTAACCTCTAAGATGAGAGAGTAGGAGAAGGGGCCACAGAACAGAGCTGTGGAGGAGTTGCCTCCACAGGGAGGGCTTGTGGACACTTCCGAGGAGTGATGTTAGGCTTCATGCCTACTACAGTCTGCCTTCGGCACAGGCGTCGGGGTAAGTGCAGTGACCACAGGGTGGCCCTCTGCCTCCCTACTGAACGTAAGTACTTTGTAGAAAAGAAACTCCCCCAGCCAGTGCCAGAGGCCCGGGAGCAAATCCATCCACCCACGGAGCTCTCTGCACGAGGCCTGGCAGAGCTCGCCCCAAGACACTTATGTTCCACAGCCCCTCACCAAGATGACCTAAGGAACACCCATGACGTGGGACCTGTTTACTTCCCATCATACGTGACTTCCCAAAGAGGAGAAGAAGAGGTAACAGAGTGAAGTTTGGCCTTTTACAGCTTTACCAACCGCATACACTTAAAGGTAAGGATACCTCCAAAATATAAGACCCCATTTTGGATTTACTATGGGCTAAATGTTTTACCTACACTCAGTCCCTTGAACTTATGTGTGTTTCCCTGGTTCTGTCTACCAGGTTTTTATAGAACTGTGAAGAGTAACATGGGGTAAGGATGGGCTAGAGCAGTGGTCGCCAACTAGTGGTCCGTGAGGTCTGGACGGTTGGCGATTGCTGGTTTCAGGAAACCTTTGGAGCAGCAGTTGCCAACCGGTGGTCCATGAGGTCTGAAAGGTTGGCAACCACTGGGCTAGAGGGAGACAATAGGAATCCTATATAATAAAAGCCTAATATGCTAAGTGTCTGGTCGTCCATTCAACCAATCGAGTAATATACTAAGGCCGCTCAACTGCTTGCTATAACATGCACTGACCACCAGGGGGCAGATGCTCCGACCAGTAGGTGAGCTTGCTGCTGGAGTTCGGCCAATCAGGATGGGTCAGACACACCCTGGAGCCCTCCCGCAGTCCCTCCCTAGCTGGCCAACCTCCTGTGTCCCTCTCCAGCCCCAATGGTGCACTGGTGGGGTCCCTCAGCCTGGACTGCGCCCTCTCGCAATCCGGGACCCCTCCAGGGATGTTGGAGAGCCGGTTTCGGCCTGATCCTGCAGGCCAGGCTGAGGGACCCCACTGTTGCATGAATTCATGCACTGGGCCTCTAGTTAAGATCATAATTTCCCTCTCTCTCATTGACCAGAGCACAGCTAACTTGAGCAAGTATCCAAAGATGGAGCAGAATCAGGCCTGCGTTCCATGACTGTGTGACCCTAGCACCTTGCTGAGCACTGTGGTGAGCCCCTCACATACACGCTCGCACTGTTATAATCCACACTTTGCAGGTGAGAAAATGGAAGTTCACACAAATGTCCTGGAACTGCCCCGGGCTAAGGAGTAAGTAATGACCTAGGATTCCAAGCTAACTCCACAGCCTCTTCTCATTCTGAGCCCCACCTTTCATTCTGGAACCTATATTTGAAATTTCTAAGAGTGATTTATGGCTTTTAAAGGTTTAATATTAACTTCAAGAACCTCTTACCTTTACGGAAGGTGACTGGAGCGTGCACAGCCTTTCTCCGCGCCCCTCTGGCTCCACCAGCTTTTTTCTGGGTAAAAGTGATAGTTCCTGCAAAGACAGGCAAGCATCTTCACCCTGGCGTGTGTGCGTGATTGTTCACACATCCTACTGTAAGACCTTCGAGGGCAGAAGCCTCTGAGGGGTGGATTTTATTCAAAACCAAGAAAGCAGAACAAAAGTGCAGATGAAGGAAGGCAGACACCGAGTCGTGGTTTCCTTACAGCACAGCCATGGTGCTTTCCAAAGGCACCTGTCCTGGGACAACATCTCGCGGCCTGAGCTCAGGCACTAAGTCCATGAGTGTGAACACCCACCGATGCCACGGTAAACTGTACCGAGAGAATGACTGACTATGGTTTCTTAAATTCCAGAATCAATAGCAACGATTCAATGTTTGTTATGCAAAATGTTTTACTTATCATCCTCAATAACTCTATGAGGTATGTTTTAAATAACATCTGAGGGCACCAAGTAAGCTATACACATTTATACTATCTGGTAGCTCTAAGTATGTTTTACTTTAGTAATCAAAACTCAACTATGGCAAAAACTAAAGGAAGGCTAGCAATAAATAACATCTTTAAATGTGGGAAAGGATGTTCACAGGGTAAAAACAGAGCTGCTTAATATTCCTCTTCTGTTTTATATCCATCCTGAAATCTACCAGAACGGTTTTTTGTCAATTACAGTTGACATTCAACATTATTTTATATCAGATTCAGATCATTTGTATAATTTATGAAGTGATTCCCCCCCAATAGGCCTAATACCCACCTGGCACCATACACAGTTATTGCAATATTATTGACTATAGTCCCTATGCTGTACTTTACAGCCCTGCAGAACTTGATTTGGAAAAATCCAGTTCTTTAACCAAACACAACAGAAACAGAGTCCCAAGTCAATCATATCTAATTTACTGACTGTTCAAATGCTATTACAAAAAGGTCATTTGTTTTAAAAGATTCCTAGGGTTTTCTTATTTCCCAGTACAATGTCTTGCATTCTGCTGAAATGAGAATTGCTTTTCACTAAGACTTACAGCTGTTACTAATGAAAATGTAACTCTGGAGACAAGAAGGAATAGGCCCAAATTATACAAGATAAAAAAGCTTTGTCTTACCATGTGGCCAAGGTGAGCCCTGAGGTTGCCCAAAAGATTTCCCTTTTGGGATATAACTTGGTTTGGGTATATTTCTGACTTTTCCAGGTCGATTTACTGGAAAGTTGTGACCATATCGGGTCTCTCTAAAGTAGAAATTACATTATTATTATTATTATTATTAATATATTCCTAGAATATCGTATCAGTGATAAAACTGTACTTCAAAAAGCCCAGATTATGCCTCAGATGAATACACTCACTTATTCTGTACCTCAGTGATATATTTAGTATGTAGTAACTCTCAACAAGTTATTCTTCATATCTCAAACTTCATGTGTATTTTTCAAATAAACTATTTTTGTTCTCCATCTATTTCAAATTATATATGTACTGCCCTGGCCGGGTGACTCAGTTGGTTAGAGCCTCATCCTGTACACCAAAAGGTAGCAGGTTCAATGCCCAGTCAGGGGGCGTGAAGGATGCAACTGATCAATGTTTCTCTCTCTCCCCCTCAAATCAATTTTAAAAATTCTCTAGTTATTGTGTATTTAAGACCCTACTTTATTCTAGAAAAGATTCAAAGGGCATCTGGGCCCGGCCATCGTGGCTCAGTGGTTGAGCGTTGACCTATGAACCAGGAGGTCACAGTTGAATTTCTGGTCTCCATCCCGTACAGAAGGCAACCGATCAGTGATTCTCTCTCATCATTGATGTTTTTCTCTCTCCCTTCCTCTATGAAATCAATAAAAATATATTTCAAAAAAGCAACACAAAAGAAAACAAAGGGCATCTGGTATTTTGAGTACACCTTAGTGACCAGACAGCATCTAGGTTTGTGTTGGGTACATCTCCTCTAGCCTCTTAAGTTACGCAATTATAATCTTTATTTTGTCAAAAGGTAGTCATATTTAACAACACTGTATTGCCTATTGTTGTTCATCATATAAATCACCAGCAAGTATAGTTTTGTGTTTGTTTGCCATGTGTAAGAACCTACACTTGAGTGCTTTTCTTTAGCTTTAGCATTCCCTGTTTAATTCCTGCCTAATGAACTCATGTCCAAACCTACTGCAGGTCATTAACTTAGGAAGAATTATGTAACAGTATCTACAAGTGAATCAGCAACCCCGGGACAGGCAGGAGGAGGAGGCAGAGGGAGGAGTGGCAAGCCGGTGGAACCGTTTCTGCAAGAGTGGAGCCTAGTGGAGAGCAAACAGGACGCAAGTTACAGGAGGAAATATTAACAAAAACGACAGGGAAGAAGAAGGGATTGAATGGACATCAAAACTGCATTAGGTAAGGTGTCTTAGAGATTTAATGCCACTGTCTTCTTCCTTGATAATTGTATGCACTTATAAAGAAATCATAATTAGAAGCCATTTTTCTCTTCACTTTATCATAATTCTGAGCAGGGTAGATGCAAATACAGTGAACCTGGGTCACAAAAGCACTTCATTTCTTAGCACGCCTGACGTTGTCTTGCCAAATGACATAACCCTTATCTTACCTTCTTGGAGAAAGGGAGCTTTGCAGCCTGCAAGTGTGAGCAGTCCTGGGCTTGCCGGGCGATGGCTTCTGTGCTGGTACCGGTACCGACTCGGACAGCAGTTCATTCATCAGACTGTACGCTTGTGAAATTCGACGACTGTAGTGGTCACAGAGTAGCAATCTTTAGGGAAAGAATTAAACAACATTTAATAAGTCACTTTCAGTTCATATTTCTAGAAGGAACACAGTGTTTGAAGACCACTTAGCATGTGTTTTTTTCAATGCTTTTCAAATGCACTTCAAATATAATATTCAGGTTCATATGTCTGAAGACCTTTACGCGGTATTAAAGGTGCCTGTAGCCGTGGCCTTTGAGGTAGTTTCAAAATGCATCCACATGATCTGCATTGGACGAGGGGAATCCAGAAATAAAACTCATAAAAACTGAATGGAGGAAATAATATTTGAAAACAAATTCCTAACTTGGCTAGTGGAGTCTAATTATTTTCCTTGCAGCACATCCCATAGTTGACAAAAAAGGGAACACTATGGAAATCGGAATTCCTTAGGCTTTTTTTTTTTTAGGGGAGAGCGCGAACGCAGTCCCCCACTGCCACAGATTATGCAGTCGGGTGTCCGACATTTGGGGAAATCACAGGGGTCAGCACATCCGGAGGGCAACGGACAAGCCTCACCCCGGGAAAACCACCTTCGTGATCATGGTCTCTCCCGCCCAGGTCAGTATCCACAGGCGTTTTCTATGCCTCAGGTGAGCAAGCCAGAGAGGGGACTACCACTCACCTGTCCTTTTCATGCTTCATCTTTTGACTCAGCCTGATTTCCCTTGAAGTCATGTAAAACTGTGTAAGAAATAATCCAGTTAGCTCATTATTGCACAGTACAAACAATTAAACCATTATGATTCATGGAAAACATGAAAATTCCACTAACCAATGTTGACAGGAGGTTAAAACATAATTTTATCATTTAGGAAATAGTGCAAAATACTGTCAAATTTCATGAAGGTTCTGACCCCAGCACAAAACATGAAAATGTTAAAGCATCATGTAATTAAATAAAATCCAATTTAGTGAGTGGAATGCAAAATCTACTTTAGTAGCTAAATTAGTATGTTTTCTGGAATAGAGATCCTTATCGGCTGCATTTAAAAGGGAAAATAAGAACCTATTAAGGATGGAGACACCTCTACTTCGTACTCAATCTGGTGATTAATCTCACCACCAGCTTGGTTGATAAAGCAGAAATGAACCAAACTTCTGAAACCATCATTTTGATGTTTCAAAATGGTCACCAGAAACTTACTGCAGTGAATTCATTGTGACTGTACTCTTCAAAACTTAGGCACCAAGAGGCAAACTAGCAAACGTTGCTATATACATCTTAATGTTCGGTAGTAAGACTTATGTTGAGTTGCTGATGAGGTTAAGTCTTCTCATACAAATTTTATGTATAAAAAGGTGCGCACAGAAGTGAATTCACTTTCTCGAGATCCTATATAATAGTCAGTAACAAATTATGATGTTTTTAATTACATTAACCCCTCACTATTCCCATACCTTTACCCAAATAGAAGCTACGAATAAATGAGGTACGGGATCTTGAAGGATACATCACAAAGTTTATAAACCAGAGTCTATTTATTCTTAATTTGGACACAACTCTGACCCTCTTGGGTATTTGTTTGGCTGGCAGGGAGGGTGATATCAGACCTCCCGACCCCTGACCCATGGGCTGGAGAAAACACACACATATCCACATGCACTTTAAGATTCTGGTTATGTACCTCAGCAGCCCTGAAGGTCATCCCCATGTTCTCAGAGCTACTAACAAAATGTTACATCGGCATCAGCATGCTCTCTGCAGACACAGGTAAGTAAACTACCTTTACGCTGCGAAGTAAACACTGTAAATACTAGTTCACCTACTTCTGCACCATTTGGTGCTTAAATGTGACAATCTTATCTGGAAAATTCACTTATGGAATGATGCTAAAAAGAATGAAGTACTTATTTTATTTCATGTTGGAAAGTAAAAGATGAACTGTAATCGAGATGAACCTGACTGGGACGTTCCCAGCACTGGGATGACTGCGAGAAGGCTGCTGCGTCACCGTTAGAAGCACCTCCGACCCAGCCAGGAAAGGCCACAGCAGAGCTCAGTGAGCAGAGGGGCAGTCTGAGGGACAGGGAGCACACTGTGCCCTTGTTCTGCTGGTACATGACTGGGCCATACTTTTTAAGGTGTTCTGTAGGGAAGGTACAGATAGAAACAGGTTTTAAATGGCTCCCCCCACACACATGTATTCAGCTGCAACAGACTCGGTGTAAATGGGGGAACTACTCCGACCGTCACAGGAGTAGTTCCAGCTCCTCAAGCTCCTCATTTGTGTAAAATGGTAGAGCCATGGTTGGTCTGCAGGAGAAAAAGTACAGTGGGGCCTTGACTTACGAGTGTCCCGACTAGCGAGTGTTTTGAGATACCATCTGTCTCTTGGCCGATTTTTTGCATTGAGTTGACAGAGTAATTTGAGTTAACGAGCTCCTTAACGAGTTCGGTCTTGGAACGAATTAAACTTGTAAGTCAAGGCCCCACTGTACTTAAGATAATAATTCAATGGAACATAGGTTGTGCAATACTCTGCTACCTTTTGTTAAGGTAATTTCCTAACTTAAGTAAAATGCTGACTTTTCTGTCAAATTAAAAATGCATTTAAATTTTGTTCATCCTTTTCCTAAATTTAGCCAGAAAAAACCACAGGCATCCTGTGATGTCCCCTTGTCCCTGACCCTGCAGACTCACCGCGTTGCTCCTGGGGCAGAAGGGGTCGTGCTCCTGCCCCCTCCTCTCCGCCAGCTCGTGTAAGTACTCCGCCATCCTCTCTCTCCGCTTTCTTCTCATCCAGACTTGAATCTCTCTTCTCTCCTTGGCAGTTCTTCCAGGTCGGCTACCGGAAGATTGCTGAATCCTGATGAATGTAACAGGCAGAGTATTGCTTGACTTTAAATGTGTGATGGACATAAGCAGTACCACAACTACATACTGTTTATTTGTTAAGATTCTGTCCCATCTCAAAAAGTAGTATACAATTATAACCCCTGGTCAACTTGCTCCAACCTGTCCCCTGAAATCCCTGGAAATGAGCTTGGGAGGGTCACCAGTGGCCTCTCCAGTCTTCATCCCACTGGACTTCTCTTTAACAGTTGATACAATCTGGCTTTTCCTTTCTGCTTTGCACTCTCTCTTCCCTGATCCTTTCTAACTCAAAACTCTATGCAGCACCTTACACTGGCCCCTTCTTCTGTGCTCACCACTCGAGACTAATGTCTTCCAAGGGGCTGCTTCGGACTTCTTAGTCTGTAATCTGTTTCTGGATTATCTCAATGATTTCCAAAACCTTCCTACAGGCATAACTTCTACACAGCTGCCCGCTAGATCCAGCCTCCTGAGGGCGACCTCTCTTCCTTCCCTCCAAGCCACAGGAGGGGCCAGCACTGTACTGTGCTTCGCTGCCTCTCCACCTTCCCCCTCACATGCATTTCTCCCGGTAAACCTCATGGACAGCTAGTCCCACGAGGCTTCTGCTTCTCTGAGGATAAGAGCTGACTCGAGTAGGACTGAGAGTCCAAGAAAGCAAACTCGGCACCCAGGGTGCAAAGACGGCACCACCCTAGGAAGGTGGGTCATGGATATAAACGATGTGTTTCACATGAATGCATGCTGTCCTCCTGGGAGTCTGGGCTCGGTATGCACATTTCCTTAGCAAGACAGAAAATGAACACAGTTCTAGGTGTAAGGTGCCAGGAGAACATTCAGTTCGTAAGGTTCATCGTTACTTAGTTTTAGGTCCTCCCAGAAGCAGATGCCAAAATGTTTATGGTTCAAGAATATTCAAAATTAGCCATATTTCATTGAAACGTCTTCAAAGCTTAAAATAGATTTTTTTCTTTATCACGAAACATTTTCTGATGTTTACGTATCGCTCCTCCCCTCCCCAGTAAAACCTGTGGGCACTGGGTCTCTGGACAGGCCTCCCCGGGACACAGCAGTTCATACATGTTGTCACAAGCTACCGCTGGAGGCAGTGTGTCCTGTGTGCGGGAGCCTGTGCCTGGTTTCCCCTGGAATTTCTCCATGTACCTATTCCCTTTGCTGATTTGGCTTAGTATCCTTTTGCTGCAGTGAGTATAGCTGTGCGCGTGCCTGGTTGAATTCCGAGTCCTCCCGGTGAGTCACCGAATCTGGGCTGATCCTGGTGACCCTTTCACCGGGGTCGGAGCCGCACCGGCACTGAAGTCTGACCACTCTCTCCACCTCCCATAGTCCCTCACAGGGGTTCCTCCAAATAAATCTATCATCTAAACCTCATTTTGGCATCTGCTTCTGGGAGGACCTAAAACTAAGTACCAATGAACATTACCAACTGAATGTTCTCCTGGCGCCTTCTACCCAACACCACAGACATCATCACACTGTCACCCAAGCAGAGTCATTCTCACTTCCTCCCGACAGTCGCCAGGTTTACTCACGCTTGGGGCCCTGCACTTCCCACCTGAGCCATCTCATGTCTGGACCACTAAGTCAGACCTCTGGCTGGCTCCCATTTCTGGTGTAAAGCCCGTTGCTGACCGCCCCCTCTGCTTGCAGATGGCTAACTAGGAGAAATAGGATGAAATGTGTGCTGTACTCAGTGCTGAGGGTTTGGGAAAATGCACACGATGCAGATGCACCCTGTAAGGGAAAGTAACCAGTCTGTGTTCTGGGGAGGGGAGGAGCGAAACAAACATCACAAAATGTGCTCATGATAAAGAAAAAGACCTATTTAAGCTTTGAATCTGTTTCAGTAAAATGTGGCTAATTTTGAATATTCTTGAACCATAAACATTTTAAATGGTTAGAAATTAATTACTAACAAAAGTATTCAGGGTTACCTAGAGATGCTCCTGGCTTGTTGTTCTGTTAAGCCCAGCTCTTTGCTGGAAACTCCATCTTTGGTGATAAGGTCATCAATAATGTCTGCAATGTCAGTCAGCCCCGTCATCTGGAGTGGATCTGCTGAAACGCTTCATTTGCAAATGCAATTTGAGAGAAGTAGGTCAGTATCTACCACTTACTACAGCAATAAGAACATGTAAAACTATGCCCTGTGAGAGCATAAATACTGTTCCTTGTATTCTTTAATCCAGTAATCCTCAGTGGAAAAGCCTGATCATCAATAATTGACCAATATGTGCTCTTACAAAAGCAACATGAGGCCCAGGAGACAAGTTCTCCCTGTCCTGCCTGAAGAAACTTAATACACATACAGTAAAAGAAAATGTAGCCAATGCAGCGTATGGTATCCTTACTGCCTGTGCTAACACAGTGAGGGGTGTGACAGCCCTCAGATTTTTTAAAACATCTCATTACCAACGGGAATTAATTATGTTCATTTAATCCACAAAAAAAATGAGGTATAGACATGCACATACATATGAACAACGCAATTGCCAGAAAGTATATACCCAGCTTTAAGTAAAATTGTAGATTAATTCTTAAGATATTTACCTCTCAAATAACTCATCATGGTTATTCACACCTTAAAAAAAAAGACATTATTTCAAAAAATTTTCAGGTCAGTTAATTTTCTACTTTCAATTATTAACCTGACTTAGGAATTATATAAACAGAAATTAAAATATTTTTAAACCTCCAAATTGGTTTAAAGCAGTGGTTCTCAACCTGTGGGTCGAGACCCCTTTGGGGATCTAACGACCCTTTCACAGGGGTCACCTAAATACATCCTGCATATCATATATTTACATTACGATTCATAACAGTAGCAAAATTACAGTTATGAAGTAGCAACGAAAATAATTTTATGGTTGGGGGTCACCACAACATAAGGAACTGTATTAAAGGGTCGTGGCATTAGGAAGGTTGAGAACCACTGGTTTAAAGGTATATGTGTGTATTTATCCTCCTCTTGAATACGCTATTCGGTAGGAAATGTCCACATTTTTAGATTACTACTTCCATGCTCAGAATACTCTGAATAATACACTTTCGGAAGTACAATCTTTCTTTGCTTAGTACAGTTTAGAATACTGGAATGCAATTTATTAAAACAGTCTCAAAACACAAACGTGTATGGTCTAAAAGTAATACATTTGGGAAAATATCTAATTTAAATCCAAGAAGCCTTTACCAAGAGAAAAAAAATTACAAGATTTAATGACAGCTGGTCTATAGCCTTTCTTTTATTTAAATGACAGCAATGCCATTTAAAAATAGCAATTTTTGCTGCTTACATTATTTTAACAATGGTAATAAAATATATTGTAAACATTCAGTAAAATCATTGACCATCGATATCTAGGTTTAAAAAAAATAGTTCAAATCCACTGTCAATGGTAAACCATTGCACTTAGTAGGACCTTTCATTCCTGTGCTAGAGGGATCTGTTAGGGCTAAAGAAGATCATTTCATCCAGCTGCAAATGAAACAGAACGAAGGGGGCACTAAAGTTTTCTATGTCTCAATATCCTTAGCTGTGAAGTGCGGACACAGACATTACCGGCCTCGCAGCCAGGTGGCCTGGGCAATGCCATGGCACACGGCTGGGGCGCGATAAGTCACAGCCACTATTTTGTTTTCAAATTAAAATGCAAGTTGCATAATTGGCAGTGTTTGAATTTCTCAATTTTTTAAAAAAATCAAATATTTTAGTAATTCAAGTTGTAGATTTCACACTAATAAGCTACATAGAGATATAATGCTTGCTTGCAGTATATCTTATGAAGGTAGTAAGACAGAGTTCATGTGAATGGTGCAATTTTTTAATTTCCCTTCACCCAAAATTTGTAAGTATTGTAAAATGGCTTCACAAATCCTTCATAACTTTATTCCCAGTAAATACTACTCAGTAACAATAATATATTGTTACATCCTTCAGTATATTGGAAAATAAGAATGTAAATTAATAAAGTGGAGAACAATACCAGGAAAACTTGTATTCTGGTCACTAGAGAGGCTGAGAGCTGAATCGGCAGAAGGAAACACACACGTTTTCGGACGAGAATGAGTTTCTGTTACTGAAAATTCATCTTCAAAAGACTGTTCTTTGTCACTTTGATCTTCCTTATTCATATGAGTCAGGAAATGCACTAATCCAGAGTCTATATTACAATTAAAATAGTAGAGGGAAAAATCACATGTAAAAGACAATGCATAGCAGACACTTCCACATGGCAACATACATCAGAAGTTTGCAACATATTCTGATAGCTTTTTACTGTTTAATGAAATGGTATGATATTTAAAATTTATACTCTCCAATGGCAAAAAAAAAAAATTGTTAAATTTCTTATCAACTTCAGAAAACAGCAGACTGAGCTAAAGTGGACAGGTGCCTGCCCACCATAAAAACACAAAAAGAAATGCTAACTTAAAAAAATGGATTAATACCCAACAAAACCTGTAAATAAAACAATCCCCTGGTGCCAGAAAAGGAATGGAACTCGAAGCTGGGAGTAACTGGACAGCGACTGTGGCGGAGCCCAGAGGGTCCAGGGGAGGCTCTGCAGGCTGCGAGGGAGGGGGACCAGGCCGCGTAGTGCAGCCTGGAGCGGAAGGACAGCAGCTCTGTCCTCAAGGTGGGTGTGGGGAAGCCTGCCCTGGACAAGCAGCCAAGACGTTTCTGCCGCCGGGAGAGTGGACAGAAGGAAAATGAAAGTCAGCTCTGAGAAAGCAAACCCGTCTCGCCACGAACAGGCGTGGGGTCTGAATTTACACCATCAATGTAGCACAGCAACTCCAAGCCAAGAAGTGTTCACAGAAATCCGTCCTAAAATTTTCTACTTCAGTGACAGCAAATGCAAACCACTCCCAGACAAGCACGCACACTCAGCAGAACCCCCCAAAGATGAGGCATTACAAGTCGCACAGAGAAAGACACAGCCATGGAAGAGCCATACGCAGACTCCACGACGGAGAACATGGCCGCATGGAAGGAAGCAATCTGAAAGGGCATATACACTACTAGTCATGAAACAAAAGACACAGAAACCACATTGAAAGAAGAGACCAGTATATCCAAAGAGCAAATAGATTTAAAAAAGAAACAGAACTTCTAGACATAACAATGTAGGCACCAAAATTAAACTCCTACAGCAAAGATGCCATGGCAGGAGAGAGAACCTTAGGCTACAAGGTGGGTCGGAGGACACCAAGCACATCGCTGAGAGAGAAACGGTGGCAACTGAGACGTGGCTAAGAGGGGACAGAATGAGAAGGTCCGACGTACCATAGAGAATAAGTAAAAAGAAATATGCACCTAGAAACAGTATCAAAAAATGCCGGAAGAGGGGACAGCATTGGTTTCTCAGAGAAAAGGGACTGCTGTGGGAGCCAATCACATTTCCACACCAGTGACTTCAATCTAGGAACTGGGGCTGATGGCTTCAGCTCAGTGAAAACCATCCGTATCTGACGTTCCCAAAGGCAATGCTTATTCTTTCAAAGAAAGGCTCTGGGCACCCCCCACCCCAGCCAGCTCCCCACAAACCTTCTTTGGAGATGGTAATGGGTTTTGAAGCCAGTGTTTTTTCAGATTCAGGGCCAGACAATTCAATGTCATCCACAGATTCAACCTGTAGAAAAACCACACCACACAATAGCTGTTATAAATTTTATAGTGCACTAATTTCAAAATATTGTAAATAATTTTATGTAGGTTTTAAGCATTTGCATTAATGCAACAAATGAAAGAAATGGGAAGTTTTACTTATTTGTGGTGTAACTGATATAACTTTTTAAGAGGCTCGGGAAAATAGCATCATGTCATATAATTTAGACTAGGGAGCAATGTCATCTACCATCCAGACAAAACCTGTTATTCTAAAGATGAGAGACCAAGGCCCAGAGACATTCAGTGACGTTCTCAGAGGCAGACATGGACTTGAACCGGGTCTTCAAGGCTCCCAGTCAGTGCTGGGCCACAGTAGCCTCTGCCTCCTCCAGGCCTACAAGGTGCTTTCTTCCCTAAAAGGGGCAAGCCAGCAGCTCTGCATTTGTATGTGCTTTCTAACAGGAAGAGAACATCTTAAGCCAAAATGCCAAACCTGCCATTGAAATCAATACTATTATTGCCTAATAATACACTGTCTTACCTCATATATTTTTAGTGTAGTTTCTCATATGTTTAATCCTAACTTTTTAATGTGTGTTCAATAGCTGGATTGAAGAAATACTGTAAACCTGATAAGTACATCTTTAACCTGTCAGCATGTTGGTGGCCTGGAGTGCTTGTTGGTACGTCAGGGATGGAATTCTTATCCTGCAGACCAATCTGCATTCCCAATATAAGGCTGTAACACATTCCAAATATCTTCACTATTTACTCTTTTATCTTTATTTTACATAAATCTTACTTCCTAAAAAACGACAGGATATTTGTGCAAAATAATTAAATGTTGGAGACTTCCTTTGTAGTTGTCTATCATGATATGCCCATATACATAAACACTAATCTTTTTATTATGAATACTTTTTAAAGAAATAGAAAACTTGTAAGGACTACTAATCCATTGTATAAAATATTTAAAAGAAACTGAGAATTCCAAATAGAAGGACAGTACTTATAAAGTTATAAAAATCTTGAAGAAATTGATAATTAGGAGCAGGGTTTGTTTCAAAGCACATTCTGGTTTTATAATTCATATATATTTTTTCCTGGGAGAAGCTTAAGTTCCCTCCTTAAAAGCTTAAGGCAGTGGTTCTCAACTGGAGGCAGCTGACAGCAAGTGCTGAGATCAGGGATGCTACCAGCAAGCCTCCGATGGGGGCAGCCTCCCCAACACACAGTTATCTGGCCACTCTTCTGAAAAATCAAGTTTATAAAATTACATTACACTACAAATCTGGTAACTTGGTAATAAACAAAATAACTAAATGAAGACCGTCTACCTCCTTGCAGTGCCGGTCCACCACCGGGCCCACCATCCGGTGCTCGTGCTCGGGGAAGTCCTGCTCGATGCGGTCAGCGATGCTCTGTATCGCCAGCAGCTGTGCGTCAATTTTCCGGAGCTGAGAGCTGAGGCGCTGCAGCCGGGGATGGGGGTGCGGGCTGGGCGCGGGGCCAGGAGTGGAGGCGCCCTGCAGCAGCTCCTGCAGCAGGTAATCCCGCAGCCCGCCCCCTTCTGCAGCATCCAGCTGCGAGCTCTCTTCTCTGAATTGGAAAGCTGGCTTCGGCACGTCTGAATATTAATAAGGGTAATAAGAGAGCTGATTACAATTCAGGGAGAGGTAGACGCTGATGATCTGACCTTTAGGAAGATCTCAATTTAAGTGAACATACATCCCATTCCAAATCAGGTTTAATTACAGACTTAGAAATGCCACTTGTCTCTGTTGTGAGATAAGAATGTGATGTGAAAGTGTTGCTGTGACCACAAACTTCTACATACAAGGAAGTTTGAATGTTACTTAAAAAAAAATTTTTTTTTTTTTTATTCATTTCAAAGAGGAAGGGAGAGGGAGAGATAGAAACATCAATGATGAGAGAGAAGCACTGATCGGCTGCCTCCTGTACCCCCACAGTAGGGAACAAGCCCGCCACCCAGGCTTGTGCTCTAAACCAGGGATCGAACCATGTCCTCCCCGTTCCTAGGTCGATGCTCAACCAGTGAACACCACCAGCCAGGCCTGAATGTTCCTTTTATCCTCTGCTACAAAAATATAATAAAAAAAGCAACTTTTCAACTCTCCTTGAAAACCAACAATATCCCACAGTAAAAGCTAGACCCAACGTCGGCCATTCCTGACTCTGAGGATATCTCCGGCAGTCAACCTGCCCGACCTACCCAACTTGGAAGGCTTGTGAAGATCAAGCTATGGGGGAAAATGATCTGAAACATGTGAAACAAATGTAACTGGTGCTTACTGTCATTCAGTCCCGTCTGGGGGACCTTCCACGGGGAGAGGAAGGCACATCCCAGGGCTGACGGTATGGGTGGTGACGGGGTCTTTCCCCAGCAGCTTGGGCTGTACCTTTGTTACCTTCCTCAGTGCTATACCACCTCCCCTTCCTGTTTTCCAGCAGCCGGAATGTCTCCCTTCATCACTCTGAGGAGAGAATGTGGTGCATGAACTTCAAATAAAAAATACAGCAGGAGAACCAAGATGGCAGCATAGGTTAACGCCGGAGTTTGCTGCCTTGAACAACTACTTCAAAAGTGAAACTAAAAAACGGAACGGACATCACCCAGAACCACAGGAACGCTGGCTGAGTGGAAGTCCTACAACTAGGAGGAAAGAGAAACGCATACGGACACTCAGAGGAGGCGCAGTGCTGAAGTCAAATTCTGAGGTGCAGAGTGCGCGGTTGGCGTTTTCAATCGGGAGGGAGTCGCAGACTCTGAGCTCCAGATACAGGCGAGTCTTTAGGGACCCAGACTCAAACAGGAGAAGCGGGACTGTCTGGCTTCGGTCAGAGCGAGTGCAGCTTTCTCTCCGAGGTTTGCAGCGGTCGCTGGGACTCAGAGAGGCAGAGCCCCTGGGGACAGGACTGAGAGCCGCCATAACTGCTCTCTCCGGTCCACCCTGTTGATCCTGTGCGGCCCGCCCCGCCCAAGCCCTGCACAGAGGCATTTGGCGGATAGCCTCAGGCAAACGCCAGATTAGCACCTCCCTAGAGGACAGAAGTTCTCTCACTGCAGACACAGCTGATTCTCATAGCCACTTGGCCTGGAGGTCAAACCCTCCCTGGTATTAGCTACAACAATCAAGGTTTAACTATAAGACTGCGCACAAAGACCACTAGGGGGTGCACCAAGGAAGCATAACAAAATGCGGAGACAAAGAAACAGGACAAAATTGTCAGTGGAAGATATAGAGTTCAGAACCACACTTTTAAGGTCTCTCAAGAACTGTTTAGAAGCCGCCAATAAACTTAATGAGATCTACAAGAAAACTAATGAGACCCTCGATCTTATATTGGGGAACCAACTAGAAATTAAGCATACACGGACTGAAATAACGAATATTATACAGACTCCCGACAGCAGACCAGAGGAGCAAGAATCAAGTCAATGATTTGAAATGCGAGGAAGCAAAAAACACCCAACCGGAAAAGCAAAATGAAAAAAGAATCCAAAAATGCGAGGATAGTGTAAGGAGCCTCTGGGACAGCTTCAAGCGTACCAACATCAGAATTATAGGGGTGCCAGAAGATGAGAGAGAGCAAGATATTGAAAACCTATTTGAAGAAATAATGACAGAAAACTTCCCCCACCTGGTGAAAGAAATGGACTTACAGGTCCAAGAAGCATGGAGAACCCCAAACAAAAGGAATCCAAAGAGGACCACACCAAGACACATCATAATTAAAATGCCAAGAGCAAAAGATAAAGAGAGAATCTTAAAAACAGCAAGAGAAAGAAACTCAGTTACTTACAAGGGAATACCCATACAACTGTCAGCTGATTTCTCAACAGAAACTTTGCAGGCCAGAAGGGAGTGGCAAGAAATATTCAAAGTGATGAATACCAAGAACCTACAACCAAGATTACTTTATCCAGCAAAGCTATCATTCAGAATTGAAGGTCAGATAAAGAGCTTCACAGATAAGGAAAAGCTAAAGGAGTTCATCACCACCAAACCAGGATTATATGAAATGCTGAAAGGTATCCTTTAAGAAGAGGAAGAGATACAAATTATGAACAACAAATATGCATCTATCAACAAGTGAATCTAAGAATCAAGTGAATAAATAATCTGATGAACAGAATGAACTGGTGATTATAATAGAATCAGGGACATAGAAAGGGAATGGACTGATTATTCTTGGGGGGGAAAGGGGTGTGGGAGATGCGGGAAGAGACTGGACAAAAATCGTGCACCTATGGATGAGGACAGTGGGTGGGGAGTGAGGGCGGAGGGTGGGGCGGGAACTGGGAGGAGGGGAGTTATGGGGGGGAAAAAAGAGGAACAAATGTAATAATCTGAACAATAAAGATTTAATAAAAAGAAAAAAAAAAGGAAAAAAAAAAAGAAAATACAGCAAAAAAGCCTGGCCGGTGTGGTTCAGGGGTTGAGCGTCGACCTATGAACCAGGAGGTCACGGTTCGATTCCCAGTCAGGGCACAGGCCCAGGTTGGGTGCTCGATCCCAGTGTGGGGTGAGCAGGAGGCAGCTGATCAATGATTCTCTCATCATTGATGTTTCTCTCTCACCCCCTCTCTGAAATCAATAAAAAGAAAATACAGCAAAAAAAAAAAAATGGATATGCTCAAAGCCCTCATGGCCAACAGACCTCATGAAACAGCTTCCCTTTACCCGGAGAGCCTGTGCACACCAGTGACGTGGGCAAGTCACCCAGGAGGGGACCTCGGCGTCCCATGGGCTGCAGGGCTCCCCGGCCCAGCCAGGCTGCTGTTGTTACCGCTGGTGTCCCTACAGGAGATGCATCTGTTACTGGAAACACTGAGTAAGTTTCCACTAAAACAGGGATTTGCAGTTTGTTTTCCATTTTAAATGCCTAGGGCCCCACCACTCCCTTTGTCCAGCCTTTTCCTCTAATGCAAATCCCAGGCAACTCGACGGTGTGACTGCCTACATTCTGTGTCTTTATAGTATATTATGTAAATGCCGTGATAACATGTAATTTTAAAATGTCTTCCTTTAAACAGGCATTTTTAAGTTCTTCCCTTCGATAAGTGTAGCCGGGTCCACTGACATTCTCGTGACCAGGCAGTCTCCCCGGCAGAGCATCCCCTCAAAGGTGGGCACGGGCTTGCTCCACTGGCAGAGGCCAGCAAGCTGTCGTTTGAAATGCTGCCCAAGACATTCAGTGGTCACAGGGCGACGGGTCTGGTTCCAGTTTTCAAATTTCAGAATTCAACCGATAGGAAATGAGGGGCAACTCTGGGAGGCCCAGGGAGCCACAGGCGCTTGGCTGGATGCAGCCTCTGACCCGCGAGGGCACCCACAGACGCTCCGGGAGGCCAGATCCAGTGAATCTTGCAACGGCCTGGGACTGAAGCCCAGGTCTGTTCTGTCTGGATCTGAAATTCGCGCTCTTTCCTGCTCCAGCCTGAAAGCCGGCAGCCTCCCCCGTCCTCCTCACGCCCACGCAGCTGGCAGCCCTGGCGGAGAGAGGCCAGAGCCTTTGGGTGCGAAATGCTGGCCCGACAGACGTGTAGTTGCAGCTGCAGACACCCGCCCTGCCACCATCCCGCCCTGCTCCTCACAGGCCCCGAGGCCGTGCTGACACCATGAGCAGGCAGTGCCGACTGCTCCCCCTCCCCCCCCTCCCCAGGCATCTGACAGCCCAGGCGGGGCCAGGCCTCCCACAGGTCGCTGCTGCAGGAGGTCGGGCGCATGTTTGCTCATCTGGTCCTTCACATGATGTAATGACTGGGTTTTGAAGAAATCATCTTCTTAATCTTGCAAGTATTGTACAATAATGCAACCTGATTTATGACTATAAAACTCAGTATTTTACTATGAGGTACTGTTGGCGACCAGGCCTGTGTATTCCTATGTGCTATTCTAGAATTTCCTACCTTTTTAAACATGAGAATTCCTTTTAACGCCAAAAATCTCATGAAACCCCACAGGATATTTTTTGCCAACCTCATTAATTGAGAAAAGACATCTGCAGCCTCCTTGCAAAATATCCATGGCCGAGAGCCAGACCCACATTTACCCACCTGTGCCCATCTCCTGGGCAGGGGAGAGGTCGCCTGGTTCGTTCTGCAATTGCCAGGGTTTAGTGCTGGTCTCCCCCAGGGCAGGGAGCGGAAGGGGCAGCTTCTGCTGTCATCTGGGGCGCTCACCTCTGTCCTCTCTGACTGACGATGGAGGGGAGGGGACCCCAGGCTCCTCCGCTTGGGCAGCGCCTGCTCTCCAGCTTCCCCCCTCCACACAGGATGGCGACACCTCTGCAGGTGTGAGAGGGAAGTCCACCGCAGAACTGGCAGGTCCTATCAAGGAAGCAAAAGGCATAGAAGACTGATCCTACGCTTCTAAACGAGGAATTCGGAAGATTAACAGATCATTTCCGAGCACGAATATACACATCCAAGATGCAGTGGCTCCCAGGGGAGCCAGGAGATGTAAGCAGGGCGAACAGTGCTGTGGGAAAGTTACCCTGACTCTTCCCCCTGCGCAGGGGAGCAGCGCTGGTCACGGACGCGGCCATGTGATGTAACACCGCAGAGGACGGGCCTTCTGCCTGCCCTGGGAGGATGTCGTCATCGGAAGGCTCTCTGACAGGCACTTCCTGCAGGTCGCCAGCTTCAATGTCAATCACATTTAGGTAAGTGTGTCCAACCTGAGCCAAAGCGTAACATCCAAAGTGGTTACGTTCCTTACGCTCTATGGCCACTCTGCCCGCCTCCCCGCCCCCCGCCCCTCCACCCCCATAAAAACATCGCTTCCGAAGGCAAGAAGGGCTCCCAGGCGCCCAATTCTGGGAAAGCTGCAGAAAGAAGTGCTATCATCTCAGTGATAATATTTAGAGGCATAATATTTAACCTTACGCTTTTGACCTTTCCAGCAAAGCTTACCTTTCCAGGTGAGACTGGCAGCCTCATTTCATCTGTAGAGTTGAATAATGAGGATGACCCTATACCAGTGATGGCGAACCTTTTGAGCTCGGCGTGTCAGCATTTTGAAAAACCCTAACTTAACTCTGGTGCCGTGTCACATATAGAAATTTTTTGATCTTTGCAACCATAGTAAAACAAAGACTTATATTTTTTTATATTTATTTTATATATTTAAATGCCATTTAACAAAGAAAAATCAACCAAAAAAATGAGTTCGCGTGTCACCTCTGACACGCGTGTCACCTCTGACACACGTGTCATAGGTTCACCATCACTGCCCTATACTAAAGTTTTAGCAGAAAGCTATCATGGAAACTTCTGAACAAAACCCAAACCAAATTTCATACCGTGTCCAGTGCCAAAGGTACCAAAGGCTTCTCTGCCCTTTCGGAGGGAAGCTTGAGGTTCAGAAACACATCTGGGGCCAACGGCTGAGGGACAGTCAAAGGTTCACATTCTGAAAATTAAAAAAAGAAAAATCAGGAGTATAAAAAAAATCTGTAATTAATCCCAAGTCGTTAGCTTTGTAAGAACAAGTTATCAACAAACAACTTAACATGTATTTGTTGAAAATCTAAGTAAAAGTTTCACAGGTATAATTTACTCTAGAGTAATTCTTAACGGAGATTGGCGATTGCTTTTCTCATATGAATGATTCAAAGAATAATAAATTATCTAAGTCATGTCAAGAATATATTGTATTTTCTATTTTCCATTTCAGATCATATTAAGTCATGTTTGTTTGATTAGGAGAATTTCGATAAAATCGGATTTTAGGAATTTAACCTATCACTAATTTCTTTTTTGCTTTCAACATTGTTTATCTGTTTATTTTAATAGCTTTATGAGGGGACCTACTTCACAGAGTCCATAGATAAATTTTACTACTTAAGATGTTTAACACCTAAATTTTATAAAACTCATTTAACTTCTTATTCAAAAGTAAAATAAAGAAACCTATCACAATAGGTCAGCAGACAGTCTAACTCAGTGTCTCTTGTCCTAGGACTCCAATCTTATTTCCCAGCATCTATTTTTAATAGAACAGTACTTTCAAAATTCATATGCAAGCCATAACTCATTTCATATTGAGTACTGGAAACTTGGTACCAGGGCCTGAATTTATACCTTATGGCCACCATAAAGCTAGAAGACAGGAAGTGAAAATACTTAAATTACCATCTGTCTCTATTAGATCCATGGATTGGTGTGAATGCTTTTTCCTGGCGGGGGGGAAGAGAAGGGGGACGGGACTCCTGTTCTGACTTCATGCAAATGTAATCTTTGATAGTCATGCTTTCTCAAAAAATTTTTTTAGAAAGGAAGAAATCACACCTGATGTGGAGGAGATGGCTTGTTGATTTTTCCGACATTCAGAAACCACTTGGGAAGCAGCTTCTTTATCTTGTAGTCAATTAGGAGATTTGAGGCAGAAGGAGAAATAGAAAAAGAAAAAGGATTTCACAAACACAGGAAAAATTAAATACATAAATGCAGATTTTTAGACTATTGGGTATAAAAGATAGTAGAAAAGTAGACTGACAGCTTAAGTTTTTAAAAATTAATGATAGCTTCGTATTTTATTATTATTTATATCCTGGGCCTCATTGCCTGGCAAATAGGCTGCAGACTTTAGACTACCCAGCAAAGAACACCCAAGCGCTATCTCATTTAAGAATGTCTCACAGATGACCAACAGACATATGAAAAGATGCTTAAGGTCATTAATCCTGAGAGATGCAAATTAAAACCACAAAAAGCTATCACATCAAGCCTGTCAGAATTGCTATCATCAATAAATTAACAAATATAGTGTGCTGGAGAGGATGTGGAGAAAAGGGAGCCCTCATGCACTGCTGATGGGAATGCAGACTGGTGTAACCACTGTGGAAAACAGTATGAAGATTCCTCAAAAATTAAAAATGGAACTGCCTTAATGACCCAGCAATTCCACTTCTGGGGATATATTCAAGGAAACACTAACTACTAATTCAAAAGAATATATGCACCCCTATGTTCATTGCAGTAGTATTTACAATAGCCAAGATCCGGAAGCACATAAGTGTCCATGAGTAGGTAAGTGGATAAGAAAAACCGTGTAGTACATTTAAACAATAGAAAATTATTTGGTCATAAAAAAAGAACAAAATTTTACCATTTGCAACAGCATGAATAGACCTAGAGGGTATTATGCTAAATGAATTAAGTCATTCAGAGAAAGACAAATACCATATGATTTCACTTATATGTGGAACCTAAAGGTCAATATAAACAAATAAGCAAAACAGAAACAGACCATTGATGCAGAAAACAGCCTGGGTGTCAGAGGGAAGAGGGGTGTGGGACTGGGTGAAAAGTGAAAGGATTGAGAAAGACAGATAGGTAATTACAAACTAGTCACGGGAGGTGACGTCCCACAGAGGGAATCCAGTCAATAATACTGTGATCACCATGTATGGGCCAGGTGGGCACTGGAAATGTCAGGGGAACACTTTGTGCAGCATTTGATTGTCTAAACACTATGCTGTACACCTGAAACTAATGCAAAATATTGACTGTAAATAGTAATTGGGGGGAAAAAAATTTAAAGGAATATCTCAAATCCACACTAAAAAACATCTTATACATGGTCAATCTCATTCAGAAAGAAGCAAAAATGTAAAAAGTGAAATGCCTTTCTTTGACCTTTCAAACTGGTAAAGATAAAAGAGCTAAATCACAGTAATGACCCAAAAAAGGCTCTTATGCAAAATAACTCATTGAAGCCTTATTTTTGCAAGAAAAATACTAGAAACCACTAATGTACTTGACATTAAGGAATTACATATTTATGGCACAAATGGAAAATGTTGTCCCAGCCCATCCAATACAGCTACATGTCATTAAACAACCCTTAAACATCTGAATATCCATCCAGCATTACTAAATAATACACAGCATGTTAAACCCCACTTAATTAACACTCATTTAACCCATTAATTCATGTGCAATGCACAATGATACGGAACACAGCAGATACGAATCACCTTCAACACCGCAGCAAACATGTCCCATACTGTAAGTGAATAATGAAATAATAACATGTGAAGACACTCTAACTGGAGAGTCTGCCCCCAGGGACCGGGAAAAACAACACTGGAGCCACGAAGGTTAAACTCTTAGGGAGCAGAGCAATGCCCCCTGACGTGTGTGCCGGCGGCCGGGGCGCCAGCTGTGCTATGCATGTCTGACTGTGTAAAATGCACAAAAGACAAAGAAAAAAACACCAAAACATTACTTCCGAATGTGCCGGCATAGTTCATTTCATCTTCTTCACAACTTGCTTCCCAAATGTCCTATAAAAGAATCACTCCAAGGCCAAGGGCAGAGAACTCACATTTACGAGGGAGTCTGTCGGGCAGCACTGCAGGCACTACTCCTCCACCGCTGTTTCCCTCTCCAGGGGCAGAGCTGCATCGCCCTCCCCACAGCCCAGGCAACCTGGACCCCCTAACTCACCTTTTCCAGCCACACCCCGGCCTCCTAACCTCAGGCAAGACTTGCCAAAGTTCAACATTCTGTCCATGGAGTTAGGGTGCAGCCCATAGCATCTCTGAACAAACATCTCTAATATGCTTTAAGTTATCACAAATTCAATTGGAAATTTGATTTTAAGTTTCAAATGTGTAAAGCATGTATCAGGGTTGGGGACAAGAACCTGGGATGGCTGACTAACACCACATAATTTAAAATTCCCCCAAAAAGTCTAAATATATTAAATGTTGCAAAATATAGAAATGTTTTAAGTTAAAGTAACGCAGCGTGTTACCTGGGTCTGTGTTTGTACTTGCATCCTGGCATTCCACAGCCTTCTTCCTCACAGAGGCCAGGAAATGCAGCCCAGCGGAGGTGGTGACGTCATCGTGTAGCGTTTCTTAAATGTAACAGCAAACATTGAAAACCATTGAGAGGAGCCAACAGATTACAGGAGCCCAGAGGCGGAGGAGCTGACGCTAGGGAGGGGGGTCTGGGGTGTCGGGATGTTACCAAAGGGGACTTTCTGAATGAGATGGCATCTGACCCAGAGGCCGCTCAGTGGCATCACAACCAAAATCGTGGGGACTGCATGCCCGGCCTCGGCCAGAGGCGTTGTTCTGGCTGAGGAGCATGATTGTTAAGCAGGGGCTGATATGGTCAGACTGATGTTCTGGAAGAAGCACCCGGCCGGTGTGTGGAGCACGGATCTGAGTGGGAACACTGACAGTAATGGTGGGGACGGGCAGAGACGCCGGCGGAGGAATGACCAGGGCGGGAGATGGGCACGGCTGTGAGTGCCCAGGAGCGGAGGGGCAGGCCGGCCTCAGAAGGACCTGTGTTTGGGGTTCGTTGGTAGTAACACCAACAAAGAGAGGACAAGCCAGCTGGTGGGGAGGTGGGGAGGTGGGGCGGCGGTGACTGTAATGCCGTGCCCGAGGCAGCTCCCACCACACGGAAAGGTGCGAAAGGTGCAGCGGGAGGTGGGATCTAAGTCCGCAGCCTGTTAGGGGGTTTGGGTGTAGACTGGGTTTTCTGAGCTCACCCAGGAGTCTAGCAGAATAAGAGAGTATCAGCTATGCTGTGTTGTAATAACAACTCGGTTCCCAGCAGAGCTCCCCACACCCTCGGAACGTCCCGAGTGCGGGGCGCCTTTCATCTCTCACGAGCCCCCGGTCAGACCCGAGTTTATGCCAAGGCAGCGGCTCCCGGCAGCCCCTGGAGAGCTCCAGGCCAGGCCGGGACTGGCCAGAGGAACCAACACAAGATCAGGGGGTTGGGACTTGCGCCCGCCCCGCCCCGCCCCAGGGAGATGGAGTCAGCACCAACGGCCTGTGCCTGTCAGTCCGGACTATGGAATGAAACAACAGCTACGGGCCTCTGGGGTGATGAGCGAAGGGCTGTGCTGGGCGGGCGGCGCCCCAGAGAGGGGCTCCCTGAGGAGAAGCCTTGGGGATACACACATTCGGCTGCAAGAAGACACGGACCAGCTGAAGAAAGAAAACCGTTTACTATCCATAAGCAAGTTCCCTTTTCTGAGCCGAGGCCTTTACGTGAAAGTGCATGTGTTTTCCGTGATGAAGCTGACGCTGGCAGGCTCTTCCATAACTTCCTGTTGGGCCTTAAATATCAGTGTGTTATTGGAGCTTCTAACTAATTGCATTGCTCCCTGTAGCAGTTGGGCTGGAGTATGCTTTGTGAGCCACAGGGTCCCTTTCTGCAACCCTGGGCCTGCTGCAGCGCCAAAGCCGCACAGACAACGTGCAATACGTGGACAGGGCTGCGTTTCAGGGAAGCCGATTCCAGAAACAGGCGTGGTCTGCACCTGGCCTGTGGCCCTAGTCCCGTGGTCGGCAAACTGCAGCTAGCGAGCCACATGCGCTCTTTGGCCCCTTGAGTGTGGCTCTTCCTAAGCCTTAGAAGTACCCTAATTAAGTTAGTAACAATGTACCTACCTATATACTTTAAGTTTAAAAAATTTGGCTCTCAAAAGAAATTTCAATCGTCGTACTGTTGGTATTTGGCTCTGTTGACTAATGAGTTTGCCGACCACTGCCCTAGTCTGTCAGGAGTGCTCTATTGGATAACACACACACACACACACACACACACACACACACACCACCGTGTCAGATCACGTGGGAAGAATTTAGCCTCATTTTTATAGAAACATCTATAACTGAACTCAGACACCACACTCATCAGGCATATACATACCCAGAGGGATTTCGAAGGCATCCAACGTCTGGGAACCACGATGTTCTCGCTGCTCCTAAACGAATCCCAAATGATCAACCTAAGATTAACTCAATGACATTTATTATTTTTAAAAATATATATCATAGCTCTGAGAATGGTTAAGTCTTAGGAATAGGTTCAAATCCCTTAATTCTAGAAATATTTACTCTATCAAATTATTTACTCCATCAACGTAACCCTACGAAGGAGTTTCCAAAAGTCCCAAGCCAGGCAATAAAGAAAGAGCGTCACCGGCTTCAGGACTAACTACAGCCTGCATTCTCTCCTGCAGCGCGTCTCAGCTCACCGTACCCCCTGGGAACCCCCTCGGGGCAGAACTGTTCATGGGCCCACTAATGAGGACTTCATGAGAAGTGTGCGCCTTGTACACAAAGCTGTTCCGTTTAACCTGTTGTTGAAAACTAGGTCAACAGGTCCCTGCTTAGGAGTGTCGGAAGAGAGCTGAGTTCCAACACAGGTTGCATAATAAACGTGTATGGGACCTTTTAGAGGCACCTAAGGAGAGAGATGAAACTGAAGCAGGAGAAACCCAAGTCACACGCAATGCATCGCGGTGACGCAGGAGAAAGCAGAGTGACTTCAAGGTAAGGAGGCCGCAGGCACGTGTTCTAAGCCGCAGCCTTTGGCCATCGAGCTGCGTTCCACCGCACACTGTGCCCTGCTCCCGGAGGCCTCTGTGCTCGATCCGATCACGATCGGTGCTCCAGCCCGGCCAGGTGCCCTATCCCGACCCCCCACACCCCCTCCACCCCCACCCCCTCCCCTGGCTCTGCGCGCAGGCCGGGGAGAAGGGGCAGGTTTAGGTACCTCGGCTCTCCCAGCTGCCCCTGAGTCATGGTCAGGAAGGACAGCAGCGCCTGGGTGCACGGTCACACTAGGTTTTCTCCTTTGCTGCTCGGAGCTGTTTTCCTGCAGCTCTTTCTCAGCTCGTCGTCTTTGCCTGTGAAAGACGACAGTGTGAAATATACGCCTACTGTTTCAGTAACACCAACCAGTGTCTCATTCGTGTCATGCTACCCAGAGAGACAGTTACGGAAACTAGGTCCATAAATTATTTTCAATGGCATTTAATTAAATTAGCAAGATATTCTGCTACAATAAAAGCAGATACCAGCCCAAGTCGGGGATACACGACGTTGTCCCCAGCTCCTCTGCTAGGGGCTGACTGTCTGGGTGACCACGGAGTCTCAGGCCAGGGTGACACCCGGTAGGGATGGTCAAGCTCCCTTTCCTGCGGCTCTAAGCTGGCCAGGAGCCTCCGGACACCTCCATTCAAGGAGGCTTACCCGGAAGAGGGAACACCCGGACAAGGTGGAGGAAGGACCCATTTCTGGAAAGAAAGCACTGACAACAGAACGCAGGGCCATAAATGTAAACACTTCAGGGCGTTTTCTAACTCAGTAATAATCTGCTGGCCAGGGCACGTATTGAGCGTCCACGATGGGCACAGCACTGGAGAGGCCCTTCAGCGCAGGTCACAGCCCTCCTGCCACAGCCACACGCCTCAGCCTGCCGCCGGCCGTCACTCAGCCTCCCACTTCCTGGATGAGAGTGCAGGGCGCGGTCAGACGGGAAAGGCCCATTTGGTTCCGGGTGCTGAGAGGACAGGGAATGCTGCACGGCAGCTCAGGTCTGTGCTACAGAGCCGGCTGCTCACCTGCCACAGGAAAGGAGCCCCCGCTCTGAGTGCCAGGAGAGAACCGCCTACTAAAATGGAAAAAAGAACAGCGTTTGTCTCCAGCCCTGGCCGCGTGGCTCAGTGGACTGGGTGTTGTCCCGGGCACCCAAAGGCTGCTGGCTCAATTCCTGGTCAGGCTTTGGGCTCGAACCCCTGTAGGCGTGTGCAGGAGGCAGCCAATCGATCCAGGTTTTGCTCTCACATCAATGTTTCTCTCTCCCTCTCTCTGAAAATCATTTAAAAACATCTTTTAAAAATAACAGTATCTGTCTCTCATAACACAGGGATTTTCCTCGTCCTCAGGTGTGTTCCAATGCAGGACACCGACAGGGAAACGGAACACGCAATTGTGTTTGGTAGGAGGCTGAGCCAGCTGACTCGCAGTTTATAGCCATGTGATGTAATGGAAGGGGTCACTTAAACCTTGCCTTTTCTTGCCGCCCTTTCCTGGCCTCACTTCAGGAGGGTCCCCTTTGTCCTTTCCAAGCTGCAGGTGCCCAGGATCGCCTTGTTCCAGGAAATCGGGGGGTGGTCTCTGTTGGCTTTGCTTAGACGCAATGAGGTTTCCAATCAGAGTAAGCTGAGGGGTTCTGTACTATAGAAAGAGATAAAGCACATTAATGTATAATTGCATACCTCAATTATGCAAGACGCTAAGAAAATATTGGGAAAAACATTTGTTTAAATCAAACTAAGATGTGCAAGAGGTGAAACATGACAAAGATGACACGCTGATTTGGACGGGTAAGATGAGGATCCTGATCTTAACGAATAAATGACAGTGGAGTGCTGAGAATTTCAACGAGGTTGCCCTATTCCAAAAGTTAAACTACAGTCCTCATCTTCTTCATTTCTTTTCCATATTAAAAATCTCCCTCTACTAGATTTTAAATTCTTTGGAATAGGGAGGATACACAAGTGTGGAGAGTATGAACGCACAGACTAGCACATTAGCAGCATGTGGGTAACCACCAAGGCTGGGGACATTATTCTCTCTAATAAAGAAGCCTTTAAATCCTTCTCAAAACGTCTACTTTCCTACCCTTGAAGCCTTTTTTTCCCCCTGTTCATAACATGTTCAGAAGAAAGGAAGGCATGGTAAGTACTTTTTCTAAGGAAATGACCATTTCTTCTCCTAGTACCATCTTCAAACCTTTGTTTAAATTCAATGTATTGGAGTGACATTGGTTAACAAAATTATACAGGTTCAAGTGTACAATTCCGTAACGCATCATCTGTATGTTGTGCGTGTGTTCACCTCCCCAAGTCAAGTCTCCTTCCACCACCATTTATCCCCTTTACCCTCTGCTACTGCCCCTTCCCCTTTTTCTCCCCTTCAAATCCTAAAAGTGCACTAGAAAATGAATTGCTCGGTCACCCTCCTAGGATGATACTACGGACTTACAAAATGAGAACCTGACCAATTTGAATTTCATCAAGAAGTTTTGGTGGCCTTATTATGATTCAAACTTCTGTTTCAAGTACTTTAAAAAGACACCATTTTTTAATATGTGCAACTATTTATAGACCTGGATCCATTTAACAATTTTAACCTGGAACAGATTTGGAGAAAACCATATCACAACTGCTAGGAGCCTTGAACAACGCTCCCCCTTCTCTCTCTCTCTCTCTCTCTCTCTCTCCATACACACACACACACAAACACACACACAAACACACACGCACACACGCACACGCACGCACACACACACACACATACGCACACACGCGCACACACGCGCACATACACACGCGCGCGCACACACACACGCACAAATGTACTGGGCATTTTACTTTACTACTTATTTCTTCTGAGAATAGAAGAAACATGTGTGAAAGCATTCAGCAAATTCTGGTACTGATGTACAAGAAAGACCTAAACCTTTAAAATACCCCAATTATTCTGAACTGCACTTGGATGTGATTGTCAGTAACAGGAGCACTGTTCTTAGAAGGAACCGTGTAAAGACTCGTCCCCAGGAGCGCAGCGGTTACGGTGTAAAGGACACAGGTAATTACCGCGTTTTCCTGCGACGGGCAGGAGCGGAGGAAGGAAAACCCTGGGTGCGTCCCCGCTCCCGCGGCGGCTCTGACAGGTGCGGAGGGAACCGCCACCGGAGCTCTTGCGACGGAGAAAAACGTAAAAGCAGGTTTGGGCTGCAGGTGCAGTAACGGGAATCCGAAGGCATAATGAGGAGATGACTCGAGGGGCCCCGGCTTAACGTCAAACACTCCTTCTGGCTTTGTAACTGCCGAAGAGTCCTGCTGAGGTGTCACGCTTTCCTGCCCAACGTACTGATCCAAGTTCAAGTGCTTCGGGATGTCTGTCATGCCAGCCCCCGCCCCTGTCTTCTGCCCCACTGCCGGCCGCTGGGCGTCCGTATTCCGCTGGCTCCGGGTCCCAGGGGGCGCTGACGTGTGCATCGCTCTCGGGGGTGCGGGGGGCTGGCGTGAACTGGGGGGCCCCCAGGCCTCTCTGGGCGGCGGCAGACCTCTGGGGGGAACCCGCAGAGCCCTTTCTGCCGGGAAGGCAAAGGGCTTAAGTCCCTGCTCAGGCTGTAACTGGAGCAGGGGAAAAGCATCGCCCGGTCTGGGCGCCGTGGCAGCGGGAAGCGTAGGTGCCTTCGGAAGGGCAGAAGGCGGGGACACGAGGTGGAGGGGAGCGTGCCCCGCAGGGCCCGGGGGACACGATGCCGGCGGCAAGCTTTCAGGGGCTGCAGACAGTCCACTGTTCCGAGGCTGGCCTTCTAATTGACAAGGAATACGCCCGTGTGGAACATTCTGGAAGAGAAAAAAGCTATTACGTAAGTTGAAAATATGTAACAAACTCCTTATTTGGTAAATGCTGTTCAATACGCTCTGGAGGGGTTGGTGCCGGGAGCCGGTCCATCCTTGCTGTTTCAAGGGACCTGGCATATATGGCATACTGTTCTTAATATGTTTGCTCACCTTCTTGGCACTATGTGTTTTAACCAAGGTCTCCTCTCTGAGAAAGGTTGTTTCCCCAGGTAGGGATTTTCCCCTGAAGTTAGGGAGGGAATAAAACCCCTCAACTAAGTGCCAGGCAGATAATTAATCACTTTAACTATGAACAATCATGCTTAAGCTACATAATCTTTACTCCCTGGAATGGAGATAAGAAACGCCCTAACCTTTGGAATAGAGATTGATAGGATTGGAATCAACTGGTATAAATACAGATGTAACAAGACAGAACTTAGAAGACAGAACCAAGAGAGACAGAACCTACACACAGAACCTAAACACAGAACCTACACAGACCCTAGAGACAGAAGAACTTCGCTGGAGAGAACATGGCAAAAGATCCTGGACAGAAACTGGAGACAGAACCTAGCGAGAGAACCTGGCTGAAGAACCTAGAGGCAGAACCTGGCTACAGAACCTGGATAGAACATGGCAAGAGAACCTGACTAGAACCTGGTGACTGAACCTGGCTGGAGAATCTGGACAAAACCTGGCTGGAGAACCTAGCAAGAGAACATGGACACAGAACCTGGCTGGAGATCCTAACCAGAACTTCGCTGGAGATCCAGACCAGAACTTGGCTAGAGATCCTGGCTAGGCTGCTGATCAACTGAACGCTGTCTCCGTGTCATTCCTTCTTCGCCGACTCCGTCCACACCTTTGGGGACCCCTGGACCTGCTGGGGTTGGACCCCAGCAGGTTGGGATGTAATAATTGCCAAAAAGGCTATTTACTCCAGGAACAAAAACCACCCAACTTCGGGGGCGCCTGCCATGGGGCTGCCGAAGGCGCTACCTGCGAATGGTCACCGCCACTCGGCCCGGCCGGAACGGCTCCGGGATGGGCGGGCGCGCCCCCCGCGCCAGGCTGCCCCGTGGACGGGAGCTGGATGGGCAGTTTCTCCTTCAGATTTCCCCTGGCGCTGTCACCACCGCTCCCGCCGGGCGGGCCGGACACTGGGCTTCCCGCCACACGCGCAGACGGCGGCTGCTGTGCCCGTGCGTGTGCGTCCGGGAGGCTGGGAAGGGACGACCCTGCTATTTGCATCAGAGTCAGGAAGTTGATCTGTTGCAGCTGCAAGAAAATAAAAATCAAAGACACATCTGAGAATATAATGGGAAAAAAACATGAAGAACCAACAACGATCAGCTGCCTTCTCCACCACAGTCGCACCTCTGTCTTCCTTCGCGTCTGCGAGACCCAGGAACACTGGACAGGAAGCGCAGCTGGGAGGCTGTTAGTGAAAAGGAAAAGACTGGCTTCCTGTCTTCACGGAGCTGCCCCGGGAGCACCCTGCAGCAATGTGCCTTAAGTACCCCAGCGATCCCAGAGGAGGGTCTAACGGGCGGGAGGAGATCACAGAGAATTCAAAGATGGGTGTGTGCCGGGGGCGGCTCACACGGGCACCACCTTGCTGGGGTGGCCAGCAGCCCCTGAACACGAATGAACAGATGACTCCGGCACAGCTTCACTGCGAAAGAGAAGGCTAAGGTACAGCTTGGCTGACAGCAACCAGGCCTCCTCGATTGCCTGCCTCGTTAGGCTTTTATTGCAGTTTTTATCTTTAGATACAATCGGTGGAGTGAGTAATCTTGGGAGGACACGTGTTTACACTGTCCGCTAGGCGAGGGCATCCAGGAATTAGGCATAAGGATTCCAGTAAAAACCCGGGTCTGCACGTGCACAGACTTGTTTGGAAAGGTCAAGGAGTAACTAGGGGCACCACCTTCGACACTCCCCTAAGCCTCCCCTAAGTCAGAACTCCCATAAACAGGGCAGGCGGCCTTGCACACACTTCCTTTTTCTCAGAATGTCCTCCTTACAACCAAGGTGTGTGGGCGGGCTTTCAGGAAAGAAAGCAGCAGAGATTGGCTGACGGGTGAGGGTGAGGAGCTCCCAGGAAGGACTGGCTGGGTCAAGTGCAAGTACGCACGCCCGGCTGACGCCTGCGCAGCATTCAGTCCCCATGGCAGGTGAACCCCAGGCACTGGCCTCGGGATGCAGCCAGGATGACATGTTTACGGGGACCAGGTGGCTTTTTCCACCTGGCCCTGCAGGGTGCCCTGCAGAGAGGAGCAGCAGGAACAAGAGCCGTTCTGCCATTTCCGAGGTCGTGACCAGAGAACACCATCAGCATCAACAGGCGCATCACGGAGTGGGTGTCAAGAAGCGGCCCCCGGGCACCCACACGTCCAGGGATTTGCCATGAAGGAGATGGGACCCAGACGTGCGCACCGACACGGGTTCAACAAACAGTCTGGGCCCAGGAATAGGGACTGTCCCACAGCCCGGGGCGATTGTCCAGAAACGTAACGAGGATGAAGATTCGCCAAACAAGCTCTAGACGCTGGTCACCTACGTACCTGTCACCACTTCCAAAAAGAGAAGGAAGGCAGGGGTGGCTGACAGTGATTCTTAACCTTTGCGAGAAGCCAAATTCTTTGCAGAATTGGTGAAATACAGAGGGCAGTGACCAGCAAAGGCCCTGTGCAATCCAAGAAGCAAGTTTGAGAAATGCTTCTAGAACTTGAAGCTGTTAAAACAGGTTATAAAAAGGAAAAGGACTGGGGAGAATAAAAATAAAATCAGTTTCAACAGTGGAACAGGCAGAAAGGTATTCTCATCAGGCCCATAAGTTCAAAGACATCAAGAATCACCAATGAAAACGGTGTATCGCATCCCATGCGAGGAGAACTGAGTTGAGGGAAATGAGTATCTAAGGTACAAAGCGGGAAAGGAAAATAATTTTAAACTTCGGTAGACAGAGAGGAGGATGACCAGGTGAGAACAAGACGCTGCAAGTCAAAGGGAAAGTACTTTGACCTGCAGCCGGCAACTTCCAAGCAAGCCCCGACCGGGTGTGCGGGAACTAGGCAGTGGCAGGTGGTGGCAGGCGGTGGCAGGGACGAGCTCAGGGCCCTCTGAGCAGGAGTCTGCTGGGCGGGTTTACCCCCCACCTCACTTTGTGGGCACCTCTGCGTCTCAAAACGCTCAGTAAAAACCAGTCAGCCTCTAGGCCAGTGGTTCTCAACCTCCCTAATGCCGCGACCCTTTAATACAGTTCCTCATGTTGTGGGGACCCCCAATTTCATTGTTACAAATTGAACATCATTAAAGCATAGTGACTAATCACACAAACAATATGTAATGATATATGCCTTTTCCGATGGTCTTAGGCAACCCCTGTGAAAGGGTCGTTCGACCCCCAAAGGGGTCGTGACCCACAGGTTGAGAACCGCTGCTCTAGGCCCTAGAGATCTGGGCGTCGGAATGAGCACGTGCCCAAAGCAGAGAAGCCAGGCGATTCCATTCCAGCCGCCCCTTCCTGGACGTGTGTCCACATGTGAGGACCTTACATGCATCACGTGTGGCCTCACGCACTCCTGGCAGAGCTGCTCACCTGGACTAACTTGAACACCTCGTCCTGGAGCATCTGCCTCACAGAACCGGGAGAGTCTGGCAGCCGCGCCCGGGGCTCGCGGCGCGGGGCCCGCGGGGGCGTGGGCACCAGGGTTTGTGAAGCAACGCTGACTCCATTGGGCACCACGGGTGGGTCTGGAGACGATTTCTCTTTACATGCAGGGGTCTGTGCTCTGCGTGGGGAGCGTATGAACAGAAACAACACGTTAACCAAGACAGCACATTACATGGCTATGATCTGAATATCTGGGTCCTGCTCGTTTCTTCTACTTTAACAGCTTTCTCAAAGTTTTCAGGAAATTTAAACCCTCCAGCCTGAATCCCTGTACCCCTCGCATCTGGCACCACCAGACACACAGGTCATCAGCGCTTTCACTAAGAGGCGTGTGCTGCACGGTCAGCCTGGTCCCCTCCCTGCGTGACAAGCTAGGGCAGTTCACACAAGTATCTCACTTGCCTGGTCCCTGTAGGCATCTGAGTTTGAAACCTGTGCAAGTCATTCTTTCCGCTGTACAAACTATGTAATTTGGTTTGAGAATATGTGTGTGTTTGTTTTTAACTACATTTAATGACCCAGAGTGGAGTTAAGAAAACAGGAAATGTGCCTGGATGGTGTGGCTCAGTGGCTGAGCATCAACCATGCACCCAGAGGTCACTGGTTCAATTCCCGATGCCCAGGTTTCAGGCTCCATCCCAGTAGGGGGCATGCAGGAGGCAGCCAATCAATGATGCTCTCTCATCACTCATGTTTCCCTCTCTCTCTCTCTCTCTCTCTCTCTCTCTCTTTCTCTCTCTCTCTCTCTCTCCTTCTCCCTTCCTCTCTGAAATCAATAAAAACATACAAAAATTAAAGAAAACAGGGAATGTATGGGTTAAAAATGTTTAATTCTAAGAAGGGTTAAAAAATGTTTAATTCTAAGTTTGCTATACAGCAAACTCACACTGATCATTAAATGTGAAATAACAGTATTACAAACATTTCATTTCCGAACAAATCAGAGTTTGTTTTTATAATTAAACCCTAAAAACAAACTAAAATGATTATTCCTTAAACATAGCAGGTACTCCATGTTTTCTAAGCAAATCAATCTCCTAAACTAAATAAGGGAGCAGGCATTATCCTACCCAAATAAACTCATCATTGTCTCTAAAAAGAAAAGAACGTACTAAATTGCATTTACATTTATGAGGCCTTGCTCTCATTTCCTTTCAGCAATATTCGCCTTTTACCAAACACCTAAGGTTCACAAGAACAAAAGCTCACTTGTCAACTCCATGGAAAACAGGCATTACAACTCATTTGCCTGACTTAGACAATGAGTAGCAAGCAGGTCAATTCTAGCGATGGAGAATTTTCTAAAGTAAAGCTGTGCTACATGATCCTCCTCCCAGCAAGATTTCCACACGGGACACATGGCTCCGCCTCTGCGAAGATGCAGCGGCGGACTGGGCGCATCTGCTCACAGATAAAAGCATTCTGTGTGCTGCTGGAAACCCTAGAGGCTGCAAGTGAGCAACTGCCACATCTCTCAATAAGGGAGCCACTACTTTTTTCAAAAAGCCTGTTCTAAGATAGTTCCTGTATTTCTTTAAAACACACCTATTAAAAAAAAAAGAAAGATTTTTCTCTAATATATTTTTTAGTGATTTTTTACAGAGAGGAAGGGAGAGGGATAGGGAGTTCGAAACATCGATGAGAGAGAAACATCGATCAGCTGCCTCCTGCACACCTCCTACTGGGGATGTGCCCGCAACCAAGGTACATGCCCTTGACCACAATCGAACCCGGGACCCTTCAGTCTGCAGGCCGACGCTCTATCCTCTGAGCCAAACCAGTTAGGGCAAGAGGAAAATCTTTCAATAATTCACTTAAAGGTGTCAGAAATGTGTACCTATGCCACTTTTTTAATGCTTCATGTTGATTTCATATTATTCTCTTAGTTTTTGGTGAAAACATTCAGTAATTATTTCAAAAGGTACAGGAGGCATCAGTTTATTCCCTTATCTATTTATAAAACAGGATAACATGGTAGTGTATGCAAAAGTTCTTACCTAGGAATTTCTGAACTTCTGTCTACACAAAATGAATGAGGAATGGTGTGTTCATGATTTGAAAAGGCTTCGATCGTACTACAATTAAAGATTAATGATCGCTTAGGAACCAAGATATTCTTTACATTCTGTAAGAGACAGGTGATTGAATGGCCAGCCATCTCAGAGTCCAAACATCCGCTACTCCAGCCTCTGTGAAGTTAGCTCATAATTACCACCTGTTTACATTTGTCACCATAGCAATTAGTAACAGATTCTAACAAAGCCAACAGCAATGTCTGGACAGCTTGACGACTTGGACACTGTTGCCTGCTCAGCAACAGAAATAAGAAAATCTCAAATGCGGGTGAAGAAATGGGGTGAGCTGGGACCTCAAGTTCCACCTGTGGAAGGGGCAGGCCTTGGCTCAGAACACGAGAGAGCCCATTCTCACATTCAAAACTAAAGACTGGTTTTAGTGACAGAAATATCTCTATTACTTGTAAAGGCACATGACATTAAATATATTCTTCTTGTTAATTTTCCACAGAACCGAACAAATTTTTCACACTGAGAAGGGAGAGAGAATCTAATTATGTTGCCTCTCATGCAAGGCAATTCTAAAATTTCAAATATTTAGCTCTTCTTGAAACGTAACTAAGCTAGCCAGCAGAGTATATTCACCACAGCCTTATGAACATTGTTCAATAATTAAACCACAATAGTGACAGATTGACTCACAATGATCCAATAAAAAGGGAATCCGTACGGAAGGGTGGTTCCCTAATTAGCTGTTGAATAAACCGTGGTGAATTTGCAGCTACATTTTACTTGGATAAGGCTGAGAGTGATGGGAGAACAAAAGGCTAGATATCTTCACTTATTTCACTCTACTGGGATTTAGGAGTATAAGTCACTGCAACTCATCACTTACCATTGCTATAAACTGAACTTAAACAATTCCATTGGGAGCACAATATCACCATAACATGTATATCATAAATTGTAAGAAACAAAATCCATCCATCAAGTGAATCCGAGATGAGGCCTGAGCGCCCTTCGCCCGTTCCCGGATGGACACACGGCAGCTGCCGTCGCCTCCATCGCCCGCCCCTTACCCATTCTGTGCCGCTGGCTTTTCCTCCACACATTTCTCCACTGGCTCCCCCCGTGGACACGGAGCCGCTCCTGTGGAATGCTGTTAGGAGGAACGGCACCCAAAAAGAAAAGAGGGAGACACGTAGGTATTACAGGCGGTGTCTTGAGTTGGTCTTGACATCAGTCACTCACCCAGAGTGACAACTTTCAAAGCCAGTGAGAGACCAAAACTTAACAGCGTAGGCTCTGCTCTGACCAGACCCTCCTCTGTGCACTGCTTCTGGCCCATAACCGGGAGCCACTGGGCATGTTCAAGTACAATGTATGCACAAACACATGCGTATCTGGCCATCGTCACATACGTACATTGTGAGAACAATGAGAAAGCCAGGAAAGATTAATCCTTTTTAAAGGAATTGTCTCAACCATTAGAAATGTCTGTATTCCACCTGGAAATGCAGTGTTCACTGTTTTGAGAAAACAATCCTATATAATAAAAGGCTAATATAGAAATCGACTGAATGGTGGAACAACCGGTTACTATGACATGTATGACATACACTGACCACCAGGGGGCAGACGCTCAACACAGGAGTTGCCCCCTGGTAGTCAGTGCACTCCCACAGGAGGAGTGCTGCTCAGCCAGGAGCTGAGCTCATGGCTGGCGAGCCCAGCAGTGGTGGCAGCGCTAAGGGTGTCCAACTGCCGGCTGTGGGGAGCGGGCCTAAGCTGTCAGTCAGATATCCCCGAGGACTCCTGGACTGCAAGAGGGCGCAGGCCAGGCTGAGGGGACCCCCCCCCCCCCGCCCCAGTGCACTGCACTGGGGCCTCTAGTAGTACATAGAAGTGCACGTAAGTGCAAACACCACACACGACAGCTGAGTTACATGTTTTGAGTGAAGAATACCTTCCTCACTCCTGAGTATCTCAATTGGCTGCACAGTTCCTGACATGAACACTTAAGTCACTGCCTGGCATGACTGATGGCAGACTTTCAGTGAAAAGAACCCCTGCGCACAGCAACACTGCCGTCCACGGCGCTTCGGGAGGTGAGGGCCTTGCCTGGAGGCGCCGACTGACTACACTGACGTATCACTGAAGTAACTTGCAGCGTTATGTGCAGACTTACTTCTAACAGCCGCGGTGACATCTGTGTGTGAGCGGCAGCGTGGGGACTCGCGGGGCTTCGCACAGGTCCTTTGGCGTCTTCTGCAGCGAAACAAGGGAGAGAAAAGGGACCATTTGGAAAATGATCATTTCACTCTTTAGACCAGGGGTCCTCAAACTTTTTAAACAGGGGGCCAGTTCACTGTCCCTCAGACTGTTGGAGGGCCCGACTATAGTTTAAAAAAAACTATGAACAAATTCCTATGCACACTGCACACATCTTATTTTGAAGTAAAAAAACAAAACGGGAACAGATACAATATTTGTATTTGCATGTGGCCCGTGGGCCATAGTTTGAGGACCCCTGCTTTAGATGGTTCAGGACTTAATACAGGGAAAAAGAAAATGGCGGAAATACTGTCCATCCTCCTTACAGAAACACATAAAAACGCCTGGAGACAACCCCTCCTTGTCAAGTGGTCTGAGATGAGCCTGGAGAGGCCTCCGTGGGTGTGAGCAGCCCCACGGAGAGCCCCACGGAGAGCCCCGAGAACCCCTGTGTTAAGGAAGACGGCCGAGGAGAAGGCCACAGAACAAGAGCCCCAGGGCAATTACCCAGCAGGCAAAGGTCCAACGATTTAAATCCAGGTTAATGTGCTCAACACGTCAAACGTATTGAATTCGGTTTTAATTTTTTATTTTAGGCTATTATAAACATACCACTTTAGACATAAGACTAAGTTATCACCGATAATCATTCACCAATTTCAAATTAATAAAGCCAAGCAAAGAGATTAGCCAAATGAACTGGCCTTCATGGTCTGGTGGGAGTGTCTCCAGTTCCTCCTGTGTAAATGTGTCTCCTCTTAAAAGATCCTCATCGATGATGTCTACAACTTGTTTATCGGTGTCATCAGTGACAGAAATACCCTCCTCATTGGCTTCCTTTATTTCAGGGGTTCGGGCTTCAGTTGGCATTCTGTTGACAAAAATGAAGCAGCTGTAACTGTAACTCATCTTTGGAAACAAGAAGCTCGCTTTCAATTGATATAGTTTATTGAAAAAGAACAAACTTAGTGCTTATATTTATCAGGTCTTTGTGTTTAACCACACCTGGTGCACAGCAGCAGCTCAAGGGCAGGTTGTTCAATGAATGACGGGGCCTCCCACTTTATTTACTCAAAAGATCAGAATAATGTCAACTCGTTCAAGCTTGCCCTTCTCACCGAGGACTCCCTCCCCTGCGTACAGGCTCCACCTTGGGGTCCAAGGACAGACCCCGCAGAGCACTGCTTCCCAGGGGAAAGGGGCAAGTGATACCTTCAACTTCCTCTGGCATCGGAGACCCATTCGCGTAACAAGGGGTCTCTCAGGACGGCTGCTCCGCCCTCAGAAGGTAAAGGCTAGGCGGACAGGGAGGAGTGTGCAGGGAGCTCCTACAGCACTTCAGGAAGTGCTCACTCCCCGGTTCTCCAGTGCAAGGACATGCTTCTTCCCTTAACCTTCAAGGGTGCAAGCCTTCCCTTCAAGCCCAAGGGCATCAAACAAGGCATCGTCCGGGAAAAGGAGGCCGCAGTCAGCACTTACGTCAAGACGCTCCGGCGAGGTTCACCGTGGCCGTCCCCTCCGTCAGGCCCCGCTGGCCCGGACCCTGCCCCTGAGCGGCCGGCGCGCGTCCCACAGGCACCCTCACGGGGGGGCCCCATCGGAGACCCAGGGCCAGGACGCTCTTGCTCCTAGAACAAGCCATTTGTAGTACTTAGATTCCACCACTAATCCATGCTTTTCCTTAGGTTTTATATTAGCTAATCCTTCCCTCAGAACTTCTCCTGGTGACGTTTCTCACTCCTCTGCCAGGTACGCGTGCACATCTATGGGATGCGGAGGCGACGGCCAAGTCTTATTCCACCCGGAGAAAGCGAACCTGACCACCTGGGCAGCGTCACACGAACCGGCCTCAGAAATGTGTAGGGGAACCGCCAGTGTCCCCAGGCCTCGGGACAGCAGCAACACGCACGCAGAGCTGCTTCCTTTTAACTCTTTGCTACTATAAAGGCGGTAACTGCTTCAGAATGACACAGGAGGCAAAAACAGTTACAGCTAAAACTGCAATGGGGAAAAGCTTTCATCGCTTACTTAGAGACTTAGTTATGGGCCACCTAGAAACACACATTTCCGTGACAACAAATATCACAGTATCTTATAAACTACCTTAGGACAACAAAAACTGATCTAAAAAAAAAAAAAAAACGCATAAAAAATCACACACACACACACACACACACACACACACACACACACTCTCTCTCTCTCTCTCCCACGCACCCTTCATCCTGGTACAAGCACGTCACACTTGCAGCCCGCAGGCCCCACACCTCATCTATTTGGCCGGCGTTGGCCTTTGAGTTTGACATCTTGTCCGAGAGTAAACTATTTTCAAATGGAGGCAGTTTAAAACAGAACAAGGGCAGAATTAGACCATGGAGGGGGTCAACCGAGACGGTGGCAGGAGGCTCCTGCACACACAACATCACTAGCGTCACCGCTGAGAGGAACCCCGAAAGGAGAGGACAGAAGGGGGCGCGTCCTAACAGGTGGGCAAGGTCACCTCCAGCAACAGATCTGGTAACACCCCTTAAAAATGGTCCTCGTTTCCTTCTTTTTATCAACAGACACAAAGCCTTCAAAACTCACAAAGCACTTGCACCCCAATTAATCACTTTTAAGACTTAAAGGAACCACTTGAAGAAGAAAAATAATTAGGTGATTATAATCAACTAGAGGCCCAGTGCACAAAATCTGTCCACTGGAGAGGGTGGGTGGGAGTCCCTCAGCCCGGCCTGTGCCCTCTCACAATCCGGGACTCCTCGGGGGATGTCCGCCAGCCAGAGACCCCTCGCTCCCTACCGCTTGGCTCGCTGCTCCTTAGCACTGCCATGGAGGCGGGAGAGGCTCCCACCATCGCTGCTGCGCTTGCCAGCCATGAGCCCAGCTTCTGGCTGAGTGGTGCTCCTGCTGTGGGAGCGCACTGACCAGCAGGGGGCAGCTCCTGCATTGAGCATCTGCCCCCTGGTGGTCAGTGCATGTCATAGCGACCATTTGTTCTGCCGTTTGGTAAATTTGCATATTAGGCTTTTATTATATCAGATAATCAGATTTTACTCAATCGTATCATTAGCTTAGTTTCTTAATCCTTCAACACCTGGGGAAATGTAAATATACTTTAATCTGAAAAGAGAGTTCCCATTTGCGTGTAGTAACTCAGGCACTTACCTCCATAACGGCACTCCTGGCCTTGTACGCAGCAGCGTAGGGCTGTTCCGAGAGCCACAGTGATGTCAGAATGGCAGCCGCAGAGGTTCTCACCCGGAGGACGGGCCGGGCCTGGGCGGGCGCCGGGAGGCTGGGGTCGCAGGGCAGCCTGCGGGCGGCCCACCGCAGCATCCACTCCAGCAGCCCCCGCAGCCCCGCGCCGCCCGCTGCACCCAGCGCAGGAGGGAGCTTGGCCAGGGGGTCCGCGTCACTGCCCCCGATCGCTCTGAACACGCACCTTCCCCTGCGACTGCCCTCGGGAGCCCACGGACTCCGGCTCGACACCCTCAGGACGCAAGGCTTCTCTGTCCCGTCCCCTTGTGTCTTGTACAGTGCCTTCTGCTTTAGGCCGAACAAGCCGCTCATCCCCCCATTTTCATTAAAATCACCGAGGGGGTTCTCTGGAGGAGGCCTGGTCCCGGCGGCCAGCCCGGGGGCCGGAGGCGCCGGGCCTTCGGGGTCCTCAGGCTCCGGGGCGACCTCAAAGCAGGAGCCCGCTCGGAACACGCCCTGGCCCCTGGCTTGGCCCGGGCGGTGCAGTGCTGTGTGCAGGCCCGAGAGCAGAGGGTTGAGTTCCTGTTCTCTAAGGTGCCCGGAGAAGCTCGTCAGCAACGGGATGCCGGGGTCCTCGCTACCACGCAGGTCTCGCTCCAGGACGTAACTCAGGAAGAGGTCCAGGAACTTCACGTACTCGTCGTCATCGCGTTCAAACTCCCAGACGCCTATGACAGGAGGTGCGTTCTGCAGCACCGGTTCCTGGCCTCTTCCCGTGGGGCTTCCTTTCGGCTCCGCCACGCTCTTGTCAGCACCGGGCTTAGCAGTCAACGCTGATTCCACGTGACGTGGAGCCTTTCTACAGCAAAACAAAATCAGAAAAGACAACATTAATCATTTAATCAGTAAATCTTATGTTAGAATTGACAATAAAAATCCTGTCCACTGACTAAGTCGTATTTTTTTTTAATGCTTCGATTCTCTCTCTCTCAAATGAGGGGGTTGGACTAAACGATCTCTAAGTGCTCGCTAGAGCTGAACATTCTGAATCTAAAAAACACCAGCCCTGACCGGGTGGCTGTCAGTTATAGCGTCCCATCCACCAAAAGGCTGCAGGTTCAATTCCAAGTCAAGGCACATACCCAGGTTTGGGTCTGATCCCAGTCAGGGGGTGTACCGGAGACAACCAATCGATGTTTCTCTGTCCCTCTCTCTCCCCTTTCTCACTCACTCTCTAAAAAATTTAATAAATATCTTTGGGTGCGGATAAAAATAAATAAAATTTTAAAAATAAAAAATACCACACATTAATATAAAAGGAAAAATTTGTGTTAAGATATATTCACAGAGCCCTAGCCAGCTTGGCTCAGTGGATAGAGCGTCAGCCTGTGGACTGAAGGGTTCCAGGTTCGATTCCAGCCAGGGCACATGCCTGGGTTGCAGGTTTGATCCCCAGTAGGGGGTGTGCAGGAGGCAGCCGATCAATGATTCTCTCTCATCATTGAGGTTTCTATCTCTCTTTCCTTCTCTCTTCCTTTCTGAAATCAATAAAGAAATATATACACACACACACACACACACACACACACACACACACACACACATATATATATATATATATAGATAGATAGATAGATAGATATAGATATAGATATATTCACAGAAAGTTTCCTATTAGAAAACATGAATATTTTTCTGGGAGGAAAAATAAATCCTCTAACACCGCAGTCGCCAACCTTTCGGACCTCACGGACCATCAGTGGCCCTCGGACCACCGGCTGGCGACCGCTGCTCTGAAAGGTCAGATCACAGAGACAATAAAAGTCACACGGCACCGGCACACCCGCTAGCCTGCACTGCTTCTCTCGCACCTGCCTGTCCAGCTCCTGCAGGCACAACGTGCTTGAGCAGGCGGGGCTGCCGCAGGACCCCTTCCCACACAAAAGGAGGGACTTTCAAACACTCTCTGCTGCTACTGAACCTGCTGGGCAGGCACCTGAACTGCCAACCTGCTCTCTCTCAACATGGTCCTTGGGGCAGAACTCAGACCCCGAGTTCCATGAAGGAGAAGTCAGAGTTCCTGCTGGGCCGGGGCAGAGCGCCAGGTCTGCGTCTCTGCCTACTGAACAGGCACAGCAAGCGGCCTCCGGGGTCAACCAGCACACCCTGCACAATTCGGTGTCAGCCGATGTTTGGAGGAGAGGAGTGACTTCACGTAAGCAAGGGTGTGCTCACCTATATACTCTTCCAGGTGTGAAAAGGATAAATTACATTTCAGATACCAGAATTATAAAGAAAAAAAAAATCTGCCCGGCCGGTGTGGCTCAGTGGTTGAGTGTAGACCTATAAACCAGGAGGTCATGGTTCAATTCCTGGTCAGGGCACATGCCTGGGTTGTGGGCTCAATCCTCAGTGGGGGGCGTGCAGGAGGCAGCCCATCAATGATTCTCTCTCATCATTGATATTTCTCTCTCTCTTTCTCCCTCCCTCTCTAAAATCAATAAAAATGTATTTAAAGGGAAAAGTCTGCTTAAATGAGTGCAGAGGTTTAAACGATAAGCAAGAATCTCTCAACAATTAGGGGCAAGTTTCAAAAATGAAATGTGCAATTTCCTTCCCTTGAAACTAAAAAAAAAAAAGTTAGCTAACCCCCAAACCCTGAACTATTTAAGTCTGGAGATTACTAAAAGAACTAAATTCTTCCAGTGAACTCCAGCACTCAACCTACTCATTTGATTTTACACTTTCAGGTGACAAATTATTTCCTGTCTCAATAACGGTTTTAATGGCTTTTCTAATGCACAGTCTCATCTGCATTCCCAGCGTCCTGTGAGGAGGGAGGGTAGTGCTCATTCCCATGAACAGGCCAAGCAGTGAGGTCGCTGGGGCTGGAACCCAGCCCCTCAGTTGCATGAAAATATTGAGACTTTTTTCCAAAGGAAGGGACCACCTGCATTGAGAGCACTCAGCTGTACCTGCGATAGAAATGCGCCCCACTCCTTCCTCCGGCTGATCGAGTCTCCGAGAGCGAGTCGGCCTCGCTGTGGCCCGGGGGCGTGCCCAGGTCTGTGAGTGTGCTCCTGCTCAGGCTCGTCCCCAGGGAGCACCCCTCGAACTCGGGACCTTCGGCGGGCTTGTCGTCCTCCACGGGCTCCCAGACGTGCCTCTCAAAGGGACCTATGTTTCTCTGCACGCGTTTGAGGGCCTTCACCCTCACTTTGTGGATGGAACGCATGACGACAGACATGGCTTCCTCGGTGTGGGGGCCTGGGAGGAAAGAAGGCAAGGCTTCCCTTCATTAAAAGATCTCAGCTCGCCCTAACCGGTTTGGCTCAGTGGATAGAGCATCAGCCTGCGGACTGAAAGGTCCCAGGTTCGATTCCGGTCAAGGGCATGTACCTGGGTTGCAGGCACATCCCCAGTGGGGGGTGTGCAGGAGGCAGCTGATCAATGTTTCGAACTCTCTATCCCTCTCCCTTCCTCTCTGTAAAAAATCAATGAAATATAATATTTTTTTTTAAAAAAGGTTTCAGCTCGAGAAGGGGCCTGACTCTGGTCCCTCCTGAGGACACAAAGCCCTCCGACAAGTAAGGCCCATTCCCCTCCAGATCGGGCCTCCATCAGGACTCGTTAGGCCACAGTCCACACTCCCCGCGGAAGCCGGAGAAGACCCCTAAGAGTAAAAGGGACAGGACCCTGGCCCGGCCGGCGTGGCTCAGTGGTTGAGCATCAACCCAGGAAGCAGGAGGTCACGGTTCGATTCCTGGTCAGGGCACATGCCTGGGTTGCCAACTGGATCCCCAGTGTAGGGCGTGCAGGAGGCAGCCAATCAATGACTCTCTTTCATCATTGATGTTTCTATCTGTCTCTCTCTCTCTCTCTCTCCTCCCTCTCTCTGAAATCAATAAAAACATATTTTTTAAAGTGTACCCTGGAAAACAAAAATTATAAAGTCACTTAACCACCTTAGACATCAGAACACTAACTATAAAAAGAAACACTAGCCGAAACCGGTTTGGCTCAGTGGATAGAGCATCGGCCTGTGGACTGAGGGGTCCCAGGTTCGATTCCAGTCAAGGGCATGTACCTGGGTTGCGGGCACATCCCCAGTGGGAGATGTGCAGGAGGCGGCTGATCGATGTTTCTCTCCCATCGATGTTTCTAACTCTCTATCTCTCTCCCTTCCTCTCTGTAAAAAATCAATAAAATATAAAAAAAAGAAAGAAAGAAAGAAAGAAAGAAACACTAACACTTTTTCTATCCCCACGGAGCGGTAAATAGCGAAAATGAGTATAATTTTAGCCAAAGAAACAAGGACACCTTCTGACTTCAACTAACGGGAAACAATGGAAAAGGGAAGCTTTTTGAGTCTGCCTATAAGAAAGTTAAACATTAATACCTACCAAGACATTTTAGGTTTTAGAGAATGCCAAAAACATCTTTAAAAAAATAGAAATCAGGCCCTAGCTGCTTTAGCTCAGTGGATAGAGTGTCGGCCTGAGGACTGAAGGGTCCCAGGTTTGATTCTGGCCAAGGGCACATGCCCGGGTTGCGGGCTCCACCCCAGGAGCATGTGTGCAGGAGGCAGCCGATCCATGATTCCCTCTCATCATTGATGTTTCTCTCTCTCTCTCCCTCTTCCTTCCTCTTTGAATAAAAATATATTTCAAAAAAATAGAAATCGTAAGTGCAATATAAGGATATGAATGCAGTAATATGCAATCACAGGACATAACTAGACCTAAATACTAGATTAGCTCTAAACATGTGGGTAATTTGAATTCTTTTAACATTTCCTCATCATGGTCAAGGCACTTAATGCCAATGAACTCTACACTTAAAATGACAAATTTCATATTATGTATGTTTACCACAATAAAAAAATACTTTCCACAAGATCATCTTGAATGTGTAGGATAAAACTAGAAGCATAAATAACCATAAAGGGAAAGAATACTAGTTTTCAATAAAATATCCACATTATGAAAAGCAGTATGTGCTCATTTTATAGAATTTATCTTACTTAATCCTATTTCAATACACATTCTTAGGCCCGGATTAAGATAGTCATTTCACAAATACGGAAATGAGGCTCGGACAGACTGAGCCCCTTGCCCGGTCACACGTTAGTTACTAAGTGACAGAGCCACATGGGAGCCGGCTCCTGTCCGCTCCCCGCGGCTCCTGTCCGCTCCCCGCGGCTCCTGTCCGCTCCCCGCGGCTCCTGTCCCCTCCCCGCGGCTCCTGTCTGCTCCCCGCGGATCTGGTGCTGCTGCGCAGGGGAAGGGCCCCCCCTGCTCACCCCGTCTCCGAGGAGAGGAGAGGAGAACTGGAGGACCAGTGCTTTCCAGACAGACAGGGTCCCCAGCAGCCTGCCCAGCAGACACGGAGAAACGACAGACAGTACCTTTCACGACGCAGTGGCCGAGTCTTTGCCGGAGGGAGTGATACTTTTCTCTTAAAGGAACCCTGACGTCCTCAGGATTGGGAAATGCTTTCACAAACATGTCTGCTACCTTCAGAAAAATTAAAAAGTGAGCTTTATGAGCAACATCATCCTTAATTAAAAGAAAAAACCCCTTAGAGTTTCTGATCCTGACTTAGTTACGGTTCACCTACATTCACATTACCTTCCTGATCGGTGGCAGCTCTCCAATAAGGCTCAAAATGAGGTCCTGAATCAGTTCTTCGATGTTAGAAAACCGAGAGAAGGGCAGCATTCTGCAAGCCCACTCCACCGCACAGAGACAGTGCTCAACCGCGCAAGAGTCAAACTCCACTGCCAGGTCCTACACGGACATTGAAAAAAATCAATCCTTTTCCCTCTAGATGGGCAGGCCAGAACACATTCAAAAGAAAATGTGCTCCGAACAGTAAAACCTATCAAGCATCAGTTCTGCAAGTAATGCCTGTTCGTTTTTCTTACTCTTTTGCCAGGTAAGTACCTTCTTTCCCTCCACGTTTTCTCTCGCTTTCTGATACTGCCTGCAACTGGAGGATAACTTATCGCGGACATGCAGCATCCAGCACAACGCACACAGCTCTCGGAAGCACCCTAAGTCAGGAACACAAACAGGAGAGGTCGTATGAGGACGGACACTGATTAACAATGTCAACTCTCTCTGCTTGTTTTCGCCCCCCCCCCCACAAAATACATGTATTATCTTTTTCTTTTTTTAAAATATATACTTTATTGATTTCTTACAGAGAGGAAGGGAGAGGGATAGAGAGTTAGAAACATCCATGAGAGAGAAACATCGATCAGCCACCTCCTGCACACTCCCTACTGAGTATGTGTCTGCAACCAAGGTACATGCCCTTGACCGGAATCGAACCTGGGACCCTTGAGTCCGCAGGCTGACACTCTATCCATTGAGCCCAACCAGTTAGGGCTAAACGTATTTTCTTGATTATAAAAGAAACATATACTCATCATCAACACCTTACATAGAGTCACAGAAAACCTTCCAGAATTTTTATGTACATTATTAGTCTGGAATAGTTCATGCAGGTCGGTTGCATGAAAACATTAAAAACACTGTTAAAGATTAGGGGTTAATGGGGGCGATGAGGACACATTTGTAATACCTTAACTAATAAAAAAAATAAAAAATAAAATAAAAACACTGTTAAGGAATAAATAACTTACTCTATTACTGGTAGTTACTTGCTTTAAGCTCAACAGTATATAGTAGATACTATTTAAGCCAATGCATTCATCTGTACTTAATGCTATATAGTTAATTTGTTTGGAAAATCACTTATAGTCATTTAAGTTTAAAATTTTTCTATACTAAAACATAACTTCCAATATCAATTAATATTCTTTATTAAAACCAGTACAGCCCTGGCTGGTTTGGGTCAGTGGATGGAATGTCAGCCTGCGGACTGATGAGTCGCAGGTTCGATTCTGGTCAAGGGCACATGTCTGGGTTGCAGACTCAGTCTCCTGTGGGGGGGTGCAGGAGGCAGCCAATCAATGATTCTCATCATTGATGTTTCTCTCTCTCTCTCTCTCTCTCCCCCCCCCCCTCTGAAATCAATGGAAGCATATTTAAAACAAAAACAAAAGCAATACAAGTACATAAAGACATATAAAATCCTATTATGCAGTTTTCTTTTCTCTTCACCTATTGTATCTTGGATTGCTTTCCAGGGTGCTAACACACACAGTCTTTTCATTGCCAGGAGAGTATTCTGTTGTATGGAAACTTCCCCAAATCAAGTGTAAAGTAGATCATTTATTAATAGCCTAAGCAAGCAGCTCCTTTGGGACAAACCTATTGCTTTAATGGAAGCCTCATCCAGCTTGTTGTCTCCCGTTGCTCCAGGTCGGAAGAAGGCTACGCCGCCCACACAGTAGTGAAGCAATGACGGAGGGAAGGGACTCAGGGGCGGGAGGGAGCCTTTCATTCGAATCTGAAGTGAAGAAGGACAGGATATGTTAACTGTCGGCTGCATAAATCAACGTCTAAGGAAACTATAAAGCAACAGGCAGCAGGTAAAGAAAAACCACAGAGAATGGAAAACACAGCAAGCTTCCTATACTACCCAAGAAAAGCGTCCTGAAATCAGCCATACTTTCAGAAACTTAGCTCACATATTTTCTTCAAAAAGTTCACTAGGCTCAATCTCAAAAGAGAACAAAAGGTTTAATCAAATCATCCTTTTGTCACTCAGTTATGTCCGTACAAAAAGAATTTAATGCTTTTGTCCTTTCTCCAAAGGCATGATAAAGAAACTAAAGTATCTAACTTTCACCTAAAATAAAACTATGTGTATGCCCAGTTGGCATGGCTCAGTGGTTGAGCCTCGACCTGTGAACCAGGAGGTCACGGTTCAATTCCAATTAGGGCGCATGCCCAGGTTGTGTGCTCAGTCCCCAGTGGGGGATGTGCAAGAGGCAGCCAATCGATGATTCCCTCTCATCACTGATGTTTCTCTCTTTCTCCCTCTCTCATCCTCTCTGAAATCAATAAAAATATATTAAAAAAATAAAACTATGTGTAGTACCTAAAAATAAATACAAAATAAGGTAGAGCTACATACATACTTTTGAAAAACTAATCCATAAATGACAGAATTAGGAAGTCACCATTTGCAACCCCTAATAAAATAAGACCTCTAGCAAGGATCATCAATAAATGCTAAATTTAGTGAAAAGTTGATGAGTGATGGATAACGTGACAGTGAGTGGGTGATGACACAAACTCACTGGCCCGCCTCACAATCATTGAAAGCAGATAAGGTGACAAGACTAAGGAGCACTAATTGGTGGTTACAAAATAGTCATGGGGATGTAAAGTCCAGCATAGGAAAATCTATACATATAAAAGCCTACGTGACCGGCTGACCGGCCAGTAGCTATGACGCACAATGACCACCAGGGGGCAGACGCTCAACACACAGGCATGGAAACATGGAACAGCCTGATGAATCTCAGAGGGAAGAGGGGAAGGGGAAGGGTGTGAAGAGATTAACCAAAGATCTTATATGCATACTACAGGCCTGCAGGGATCGGGCCAAAACCGGCAGTCCAACATCCCCGAGGGGTCTTGGATTGCGAGAGGGTGCAGGCCAGGCCGAGGGACCCCACTGGTGTACAAACCCGTGCACTGGGCCTCTAGTATGTAATAACAGTGTATGGTGCCAAGTGGGCTCTGGAAATAGCAGAACATTTTGTCAAGTATATGATTATCTAACAGCTATGCTGTACATCTGAAACTAATACAAAATAATGTTGAATGTAAACTGTAATTAAAAAACATTTTATTGAAAAAATGAAATACCGAAAGCACACACACACACACACACACACACACATGCAATTCTCACACACATACACACTGAAAAAAAACAGACTGTGGAGAAAGATTAAACACTATCCAAGAAATGCTGCTAACTGTTAAAATCTGGTGACAAGTTCAGTATGAACTGTACTATTCTTTTTACTTTTATAAGTTTTCATAACAAAGTTTTATAAAACAACTGTCCCACATTTTCCTAATTTATTTTTATGTTATCAGAAAAATAACTATTCTGTATCGTTTTTTTATAAACATTTTTTAACAGCTTTACATCTACAGAAAAACTGAAGTGACAGCACAGAGGGTTTCCACACAGGTTCCCCATTATCAACAGCTTACATCATTACAGTGCACTTGCTATCATTAATGAGCGAACACTTTGATACATTAACTAAAGACCGAACTTTATTCGGATTTCCATAGTTTTTAGTAAACATACAAAAAACATCCACACCTTTGGGATGATGAAATAGAGGATGAGTACAAACCTTTCTCTCTAAAAAGTGACTAATTTTCAAGAACAACTTGATAAACCACTTCTCGGAGCCTACAGGGTCTGTCCTCACAAAGAAGGAGGTGCGGATGCTTGTTTTTAATGTGATCAAGGGCCAGATGAAAAGTACTGGGGGCTAATAAATTGATATTCACATCCACAGAGAGAGGCTGCAGCCTACAAAGGACCTGCAGCAGGACAGGGGCCTCCGGGCCAACGTCCCCTCCAGCTCAGGTCAGGCAAGAAGGCAGCTACCGCCGGCTGCAGCCAGGGCGGGAGACCACAGCCCAGGGAGCTGCCCGTCCCAGCCACCAGCAGGGGCACGGGCTGGTGGGACCACTGAGAGGAGGCACAGAGCCAGGAGCAACCTCACTTTCTGTGATTCCACCCCACAGAGCATCTGCAATACCTCGAGGAGACATCGGAGAGAGCCATGTACTGAGTTTAAATCCCCAATGACTGGGGTGGGGGGCAGGGAATGTAACTGAAATTAACTGACTATATTATACTTTCTTTTATATATATATTTTTTAATTGATTCCTTACAGAGAGGAAGGGAGAGGGAGAGGGATACAGAGTTAGAAACATCAATGAGAGAGAAACATCGATTCAGCTGCCTCCCGCACGCCCCCTACTGGGGATGTGCCCGCAACCCAGGTACATGCCCTTGACTGGAATCGAACCCGGGACCCCTCAGTCCGCAGGCCGACGCTCTATCCGCTGAGCCAAACCGGTCAGGGCACCTTTCTTTTTTTTAATATATTTTTATTGATTTCAGAGAGGAAGGGATAGGGAGAAAGAGAGTGAAACATCAGTGATGAGAGAGAATCACTGATCAGCTGCCTCCTGCATACCCCGGACTGGGGATCGAGCCTGCAACCTGGGCATGTGCCCTGACCGGGAATCGATCCGCAACCTCCTGGTTCATAGGTTAATGCTCAACCAGTGAGCCACACTGGCCGGGCCAGGGACCCAGCAGAATCCGCATCGTTCAGCAGAAAGAACTTGGTCTGTGGGGGTTTACTGTGGTAAGTCTGACTAGGGACTGACAGGCAGGACTCCATGGACACACGTCCCCGTCACCAATCCTAAGAAAGGCTGGCCTGTTTCCGCGGCTCGCAGCACGTGCAGGAGACCCGCCTACCTTCTGCATGACCTTCCTGGCCCACCTCAGCTGCAGGATGTACCACTGCGCGGCCGGGAAGGAGCAGCGCGCCGCCCGCAGGAGCAGGAGCAGGCGCTGCAGGATCCCCGACACCTTCTGGCGGTTCTCCTTCTCGGCTCGTAACAGAAGGTCGTCACCGTCCTCCTGAGGAAATGCAAGTCACATTCTGTAGCCAGCAACAGGAAAGCTTTTAATGTTAACGTGCGAGTAGAGTAGACAGTGCTTCGGGACCTAGAACGTTCCTGGAGGTTTATAGAGAAAATGCTGAGTCCTGGCCTGAGATTTCAACCAGAGCGATGGCTAGCGTCCGGGAAACACTTCTCTCCCCTCGAACAACAGAAAGGGCTAAATCAGTGGTTCTCAACCCTCTGGCCCTTTAAATACAGCTCCTCACGTTGTGACCCAACCATAACATTATTTTCGTTGCTACTTCATAACTGTCATGTTGCTACTGTTATGAATCGTAATGTAAACATCTGATAGGCAGGATGGTCTTAGGGGATCCCTGTGAAAGGGTTGTTCGACCGCCAAAGGGGTCGAGACCCACAGGTTGAGAACCGCTGGGCTAAATGGACCCTAATCCCAGATGATCCCTGACAACAGGCGAAGGCCACCACTCCGACCGACCCCATCGGCAGAACCGTGCCGAGAGCTCCTCTCCCGGGGAAGGCCAGGCCTCTGACGGGAAAGTCCTTCTCCTACCTCGTGTCACCTCCTCTTGGAGCCCTCCCACTGAGCTGCTGTGCACTCTGCTCAGACTCCGCTGTATCTCTACTAATTGATTCTGTCCTGATTTATCATGTTTCCCACTGGACTGAGAACCAGCCAAGAGCAAAGGCCTTGCCACATGCCTTGGTTCACACAATGAAGTCCAACATGTAGTAGGAGGAGCCAACCAATGTTTGTTGAAAAACACTTTTCCAGTCCGTAGCTAGTGATTAATTCCCCAGAAAATGAGATAATGTGTTGCAAACATCTGCTTCCCCAATACCCTAACCATTGCTGCTTATTTAACTGCACTCAGTTTTAACTGGGCATCTCCCCCGGACCTGCATTTGTTGATGCTTACTATGTCCTAGGGCCTATGGTTAAAAAAAAAAAAAAAAAAATTTACATTTAAAAATATATATTTTTTTATTGATTTTTAGAGAGAGACAGGGAGAAGGAGAGATAGAAACATTGATAAGGGAGAAACATCGATCAACTGCCTCCCTCACGCCCCTTACCAAAAATCGAGCCCACAACTCCAGGCATGTGCCCTGACTGGGAATCGAACCCGTGACCTCTTGTTGCAGGGGCCAAGCTCAACCACTGAGCCACACCAGCCAGACATAAGCTTTGACATTTAACCCCCACAATAACGCCACTGGAAGTCTTATCATCACCGGCATTTTACACATGAGGAGCCTTAAGCAGCTACATACACTGCATAAAGTTACACAATTAATAAACAGCAAAGCTGGGATCCAGAAGTCTGCCTTCAGAGCTCGCATTTTTATTCTCAAGTTAATTGTTTTTAAAATTGGACAGAATCAACTTTAAGTTAAAAGGTCGGCTTACTTCGCTGAGAAGAGCTGGCTGAGGACAGTACAGCGGAGGAGCGGGGAGGTACAGGCCGCCAGGCACCAGGCCCCGGAGCCTCCGGCTGAAGTCCTTGGCGGAGCCGATCAGAAGCCGCCAGGTCTCCGAGAGCACGTCCGCCTCAGCCATGGCCGCGGCCTTCAGCACGCCCCGCACGGAGCCCAGCAGCAGGTGCGCGTCCTCCTCTTCGATGGGATCTGCACACGCGTCGGGCGACACAATCAGAGTCTGTGCTACACTGCGCATCCTGCTTTGCAGGGTCACAGCTCACATCGGAAAAAAGCTGGTCATCGAAAACAAGCATATTGGTTGACATGCAAAACATCCAACCTTCCAGACAGAAACGTAATGACTATTCTGTTACTTTCGGTTATAGGCAATCATAGCACAGGCACTTTTTCCAAAATTAGACATTGCAGTAATAACCATGTAAAATAAAAATAGTTTTGAAGTATAACTCTGAGTCAAAAAAAAAGGAAAAATATCAGAGCAAAAAATATCAAGAAAGACAGCCAAATAAAATACAACATTATGTGAAGGCAATGGGAGAGTAATAGTGATTTTTAAATTTTTTCTTAGTAATCCGTCATGGTAATACTATAATGGTTAATAAAAATGACTTCAACGATGCTCAGCATGCTTTCAGGCTTAGCATATAGCATGAAAGCAAGGCCTATGCCGGGCTGGTGTGACCCAGTGGCTGAGTGTCATCCCAGCACCAAGAGGTTCCAGGTTCAATTCCTGGTCAGGGCACATGCTACGATCTGCAGGGGGAGCCAATGAGTGCTTCTCTCCCTCTCCCTCTCTCCCTCTCCTTTCTTCTCTCAAAAATCAATAAAAACATATTTCTAAAAATTTTATTAAAAAAAACACACCACTTGCCTGGCCAGTGTGGCTCAGTGGCTGAGCGTCCACCTATGAACCAGGAGGTCACGGTTCAATTCCTGGTCAGGGCACATGCCCAGGTTGTGGGCTCTATCCCCAGTGTGGGGCCTGCAGGAGGCAGCCGATCAATGATTCTCTCTTATCATTGATGTTTCTATCTCTCTCTCCCTCTTCTTCCTTTCTGAAATCAATAAAAATATATATATTTTAAAATAAATAGTACACTTTTATTTTCAATAAGCTTACTTCAAAGTGTTAATACGTATACTTGTGGGTATTTACCAGCTTCTTAAAATGCCACAAGGCTTATTAATCAACCAGCTCTATCTATGAGGCCTGTGTAGGTAACGCACCTGTAAACTGTTTGTATTTTGGGCCCATTTCTCTTTTTGCTCCCGAAGAGGCCGGCTGACCTAACAGACACTGGAGTTTCTCCTGGAAAATCCGTGCTGGAGTCATGTTGAACGGCAGATTCTGGCCCTTTTTCTTGAGCCTGAAATCACATCGAATTAGGAGAAATGACTCCAAATTTTCAAAACAGCAAATATTCACACATCGGGAACTACACGTGAAGTTTGAGAAACGGTGACACTTCCTTTCGTTATTCATCCTACATTTAAGGAAGAACTACGATCAGGAAACGCTGCGTTAAGGAGGGGACCAAGGCTCTCCACGATGATGGCGCTAACACATCTCGCCCGACTGCCCTCCGCTGCCTGCAGACGTGCTCTATCCCGACTGGACCAGACCTGCCTTGGCCAAATGCCTCTGCTTGTGTTTGGAAAGTTCTCTCTCCCTGTAGCGACTCAATTGTCAAGATCCCGTCTTCCCTTCCATGCCCATGCCCAGTGGCATCTCCCACACGGGCACTTCCGTCCTCCCCCAGCCCCGGCCTGTTCTCACAAGGCATGTAAACTAGAGCGAGGTGCTGTTTCCGACCAAACTATAAAGCCTTAAGCATAGAAACGAGGCACCATTTAGGTTTATATCCACGAATACACCTGGTATAGAGTATGTACAGAGAGGTTCCTTAATAAGAAAATACATGCTTAGTTACTGACTTGAAAAATATAAAAGACACCGTAGTACCATAACATACAGAGAAGTTAAAATACAGAGATTGGTTTGACTAGCTTAAACTCAAATCCGGGACAGACTCTCTCATCGACTATAAGCTCTTTGAGGGCACTGCTAACAAATTAATACTCCAAATAGGCATTTTAATACAAATAAGCCAGCCACCGAGCTGCCCAGCACAGCACCCCCTAGCTGCCTGCAGCGATTTAAATTTAAATGAGGTTGGAAATTCGTTTCCTCGGTCTTACTGGCCACAGCGCACGTGCTCAGCGGCTGGACACACAGACATCCCCTCGCGGAGGCAAGTCCTCCGGACAAGGCTGAGCGGAGACGCCGCAGAAGGGGTCCGAGGGATGAAGGGCACTTTAGCGACACTTCCTCCCTCTCGGGTCTGCGTGAGCGTGCGCACCTGGTGGGGCGGCGGCCCCGGCGGCTCAGCTGGGAGGCCACGCCGATGGACACCGCCGTCTTCCAGTCCCCGAGCTCCCGTGCCAGCCACACGGCTTCCGGGACCAGGCCGCCGACCAGCAGCAGCTCCAGGGCGTAGTCCACGGTCCACACGCGGGCGAGGCTCTGCTCCCGGACGGCGCTGGCCACGGCGGCGTGCTGCAGGGGGACGCACCGCGGGGCCGGCTCTGCGCGGGGGAGAACACGCCGTCACACGCGCGGCCACTCCGCTCTCACCTGGGTACGGCAGCTCCTCCACACGCCCAGCAAGGGAGAAGCATACAACACGGGCTAACATACTGCTTCACACCAGGAGAGCTACACACTGCAGAATGCGCCCCGTTCGTGGGTCGGGAAGCGGGTGCCAGCGTCTTAGAAGGAAACAGAACGGGCAGCCACAGAGGCCGCAGAGGCCGAGCGGGGCGGAGCGCAGGTCAAGGTGGACGCAGGTCCGACAAGCAGAGGGGCGCTTGCACGTGTCAGTGCGGGGTCACGGTGCACATCGATTCCTGCCTATCTCTTACAGGAGCTCCGGAGGGCACACGTGGAAGTTTACCTGACCTCGTATTCCTCATGTCATGCAAAAAAACACACAGCAAAAAACCACAGCTTGTTTGAGGTAACACTGGAGCACCCTCAGTGTTCAATACGTCCGTGTTTTTTAAGGAAGCTGGAAAGCGTCGTTTTCAGTTTGTAATCCCTGGCCTGGGATTAAATGCAAAGGGCGACGCCCGCCTCCCCAGCTGTCTGTACCTTCCCTCACCGAAGCAAACGAATCAACAACGTGAGAATACGGTGGCAGGACTATTGTTTTTGTAAAAATACATACTGCAAAGATTTTCACTTACTCCCTCAAAATAAAACTGGCAAGTGTGAGCAGCTGATTGATGTTTCGCTCTCACATCACTGTTTCTCTCTCTCCCTTCTCCCTTCCTCTCTCTCTGAAAGCAATAAAAAAATATTTTTTAAAGTTAACTATCCCTTGCCAAAACCGGTTTGGCTCGGTGGATAGAGCGTCGGCCTGCGGACTGAGAGGTCCCAGGTTCGATTCCGGTCAGGGGCATGTACCTGGGTTGCGGGCACATCCCCAGGGGGAGATGTGCAGGAGGCGGCTGATCGATGTGTCTCTCTCATCGATGTTTCTCACTCTCTATCCTTCTCCCTTCCTCTCTGTGAAAAATCAATAAAATATATTTAAAAAATAAAAAAATAAAAAAAATAAAATAAAAAAAAATAAAGTTAACTATCCCAGTAAAATTACGTTCTAAATGAGCATACACAAAATCTGTTTAATTTTTATAGAAATGAAGATGGCAGCACTTTGACTTTAAAAATGAAAACTTTATAAATGCCAGCTTATCCAAAATTTGTGATTAAAAAAAATCCACATTTAAAAAAAACAAGAAAACCCCGAGCAACCACCCTTCTCAGGCTCGACTCACCCACACATGGCCGCTGCGTGTCTTCGGTGTCACATGGTCACGGCGCGCCAGGCACTCAGCTGACGGCACTGCTTCCACAGAGTGGCGATCACTGCGTAATACTGTTTTACATATTACGAGCAACAACAGGGTGAGAACACCGTTTACCTGTTTTAATGTGAAGGGGAGGCAGGACGTTCACGTGGTGAGGGGGCAGAATGCAGAGCCGCTGGTTGGTGAAATAGGCGGCCATGAACCGGGCCATGGACTGGACGACCCTCACTGCGGCCTCGGGGTGGGCAGGCCCGGGCGGTCCCCACGCGGGAGCTAAGGGACACAGCAAACGAGCAGAGGACATTCTGGTCAGACCATCACGAAGTGGTAACATCGAAGTTCCCAGCATTATCCAGGAGGGAACTCATAAGTAGTTCTGTTTAGATGAGCACCCAGGACCGGCACAAGTAAATTTATGATAGGCATCTAGACTTCCTTTTTTATGATAGGCATCTAGAGCCCATACACTTAGGAACTTGTGTGACTTTAAGTTAATAGTTTTATTTAAAAACGTGGAGGATCCAAGCAAAGCAATCTAGCCACAATGCACTTGCCAGTACAGAATTAACCCTAACCAGGCAGAACCACCAACGTTTATCATAAGCAATTTCCTAGCTAAACCTGTAAGTGCACATTAATACGAAGAAAGATACCGATCTCTGAAAAACGTACCCGAACTATCTTCATTTTCCCTTACAGGTAGGTGGGACCATCTCAGCAGTTCTCTCACTAGCTGATCGCACAATCCTTGGGCATCGTTTAAATTATAGCTATACAGGTGGCAGTACAAAAGGGACAGGTAATAGCGCATCTGAAGAAAGCAGGTCCTTCTTCCTCCTTAAAGCAGAGAGAATTAAGCTTCTGTTAAAAACGTTAGCAAGGCCAAGTTCTTGGCCTGGGTACTGGGCAGACACTCTGGGGGTGTTCCGTTTATGAAACCCATGAAGCTGTATACTCTCGTTATGTGAACCTTTCTGTATTTGTTTTATCCTACATAATAAAAGGCTAATATGCAACCAGGCTCATGGCTGGCGAGCCCAGCGGCGGTGGTGGGAGCCTCCCCCGCCTCCGCAGCATTCGGACATCCCCTGAGGGCTCTCAGACTGCAAGAGGGCGCAGGCTGGGCTGAGGGACCCCCGCGTCCCCAAGTGCACGAATTTCATGCACTGGGCCTCTAGTACTTCAATAAAAGATGCTTTAAATTCTTTAAGAAAACAGGTGAGCAATGCATTGTTCTTTTTCACTTTAAGTTCTGAAGAGTTTTATTTTCTTTCATCAGGCCCAGGATGACTACGATTTTTATCCAAAGAGAGCTGTAATCCTCGTTCCCTCAGCACTAAGGTTCACTAACATCCGTCTCAAGCACACATGGTCTGAAACGAAGGGAAGCGTGTGAGCCCCTCCCCCAGCCGCCATGACCAAGGGGCCAAACACACATCAAAGAGATGGTCAAAGAGCCTCCCCAAAGAAGAAGCCAGTAGGATGGGAGTCCCTGCCCACCTCTGAGGGTGCTTAGGACTGAGAATGCTGGCTGCCTGTCCCTTGTCCGTTCTGTCTGTCTGCAAGATAAAATCTTATTCCCATGGCCACTGCATGCGCTACATTCCTTTCCCATCTGTTCTCCATCTACCTCTCACCACCCTACCCCCAATTTACACACACACCTCGTATGATCTGGTCCTGCTAAAACACCTGCAGTTCACCAACAGCCACGTGTCCTATTGCTTCTGGAATGCTGTGTCCTCTGTTAAACCATTCCCTGTCCTTTAACTGGCCAACTTCTACTCCATTTTAAATGCCAGCCCCCCCAGGGGCTCCCCAGGCTGGGGTGTACTCCAGCCCGGACTGTGGGGCGCGCTCTCCTGCGCTTCCCGGCACCCACCACAGGAGGTGAGGAGAGCGCTAGCTGCTCACATCGTCTCTCCTGCAGACGGTGGGAAACTGGAGGGGAAGGTTGTTGACTTCAGTGATTCCCGGGGCCTAACTCAGTACCAGGCACACAGCAGGTTAGGTAGACGACTGAAGGAAACGGAAAAGCCACAGGAGGCAGGAAATGTATTCAACTGGCCAAGCTGACCGCGTAGCAGCTGCGTCAGGGCTGGTTCCAAGGTCGCCTGGTGGGGACCTCTGTCTCGTCAGCCACACCCTCAGCCCTAGAGCACATGAGCTACCACCAGCCTCCAGGATCCGCCCCCGTACAGTCTCATCAGAAACTCCCTGCAGCCCACACTCAGCCCAGCAGTGAGCCTAACTCACAGGAACTGGTTAAGGGCAGACAGCATGAGCCCCACTCTGTAAGAGGTGATACGGTATTTGACCCAGTTTCTCATTTAGATACTTTCAGTCCCTCTAAGTGACAAAATGACACATGATTTTACTTAGGGCTTAAACCTCATTGTCCCCATCAACAGGCAATCACGGGTTCCATCACTAACCCAAAATAGGACGGAAGAAGCCTTATCTATAGACAACAAAAAATTCTTGGTTCTACAAATTCCAAGACTAAGACTAACTTTAAATAAAACTAATTTTAAGTCAGTATTTCTGACAGTCCAGGTTCCTACAATACGTGTTACTCTATTCGAGCATGAAGAAGTTCTGAGCACTCGCACTTGAAATTATTTTCACGCTCTGGAGTCTGCTAACATCCGTTCCTACCGATCTCATGGCGAATATTATTTTTAATAACCCCCTACCGTTCCCTTGGGTTTCTTGCAGAGCTTTCCTCCACAGCTCAACAGCCTTTTCATAGGATCCTAACAGGAAGCACTCTTCGCCTGCAAAGTTTTTAACCAACGGTTAGTTATGGTTAATTATATCACTTCATAAAAATGTACTTCGTTTTAAAACCCGGTGTTTTAGCTCATCCAGAAATTTTGAAAAACAAATAATTGTGACCAGTTAACACAATCAAAGCCCCGTTAGCTGTTTTGCTTACTTATGGGGTGAGGAACGGTGTATGAGACACTGACCGCAGATAGGTTTGAGCTCTGAGGTTTGGCTCAGGCAGGCTCCGGCCGCCTGTAGGTTCGCCTGGATGTGACATAACAGGGACCGGACAGCAGCTGCTTCCTGGGCCGCCTTTGCAGGTAACGGCCTGTCACCTTCAGGAACTCTTCGACTTAACTGGCTCTGATACCATAAAGTCTTTTGATACAGGACTCTCCACAGAAACACCAATCTGCACACAAAGTTAGACGACCATCAAACCAAATTTCAGACGAGGGGTAAGAATCAGTATAGCCTCCTGATTGGCCTGCATTCTTCACTGATATAATAACACACACACACACACAAACTGATCGAATTTCAATACAGCACAAAGGCCACTGACCAAAACCATGCATAACATAGTTTTTAAATCTTCACAAATGCTTTACGTACCTGTGGTCACTTTTCTCTGGTGCTTACCTAAACCAACATCTCTCAACAGGACCCGGTTGCCCAAGACTAATAAAATGTGTGTGTGGAATAGCATCGGGCGTAAGGGCTAAAATACTTTGCGATAAAATCAAATCTATAAGGCTGAGTGCTGACGGAGACAAGGGTTCTTTTAGGGGTGATAAAAATATTCTGGAATTAGTGTTACTAGTTCTATGACCTTGTGACTATTCTAAAAACTAATCACTAAACTTTAAAACGGTGAGATTTATAGTATGGGAGCCACAGCTCCATTTTTTAAAAAGGAAAACAATCCATACTGCGAATGGTGCCCTACCTTTACAGGAATCATACCTGCGTCCTGGCTGCTGAACGAGGCTGACTACCGGAGGACGAGTCTGGAAAGACGCGTTCCCAGGCCAGCCGTCCCGGGAAGCACTATCTTGAAATGTTTGAAAAACGGGAACCACCAGGGAGTCCTGACGGGCTGTTCTACTCCCATCAGCTGTCGCCGAGACTTCCAGCTGGAGGCGGTCTCTGCCGTTTAAGCGGTCAGCCACCATCCCGAGTAAGTGGAAGCAGGCGGCCAGCCTCTGGGAGAAGGCCGGGCCCCGCGGCGGCCGGGCCAGCAGGAGCTGCAGCGCGCCGGCGGCCAGCGCCACCAGGGCCCTCACGGCCGGCCGGCCCCGCGGGTCCCAGCGCTGGGCCGACAAGCACTGACGGAAGAGTTGGAAGACGCACAGCACCCACGCGTCACGCCTGGGTCTCTTGCTTAAGGAAAGATCGAGTGTCGGGAACGGACATTTGATAAACTGAAGAACGTAGAAAAAATAAGTAATGCAAACTACTGTGTAGTTTAGCAGCACGCTTCTTTCCGTCACGTTTTTTGAAACTCCGATCGTCCAGGCGGCGAGGAGGTTCTTCTGGACCGAGTGCAGCTCTGCGATGGTTCCGTCGGTCTCCTCCGCAGGGTCCTTCGCATGTACTGTGTCGAACATAGACGCAAACTCCAATCTCCCCTCCTTGGCACCGCTCAACGATGGGTCATTTTCCTTGTTCCAAAAAGGGAGCAAGTTGTTTGGGAAGTATGTGCTTTCGTTAGTGTCCTCTGCTTCAAAATCCTAAAACACGAGTGAAAAAAATGATACTTACTACCACTCAATACTTTATAAGCAGAATCACATGGTGTTCTCGAATTTCTCTCCCCTTTAACAAGGGAAAAACCAAATACTATTCTTGGACTAAGGCAGCGGTTCTCAACCGGTGGGCCGCGACCCCTTCGGCGGTCGAACGACCCTTTCACAGGGGTCGCCTAAGACCATCCTGCATAGCAGATATTTACATGACGACTCATAACAGTAGCCACATGACAGTGATGAAGTAGCAACAAAAATAATTTTATGGTTGGGGCACAACAGGAGGAACTGTATTTAAAGGGCCAGAAGGTTGAGAACCACGGGACTAAGGTCAACACGTAACTGTTCAAGGGGAATAAAACATGGCCACCAGGTACCTGCCAATCTGTCTTTTCATGCGACTTCATCGTTTCTTCTTCCTGTAAGAATCCGGGGGCGGGAGAAGCCGCCGGCCGCTCGCTTCCTTGGCGTTTTAACAGGCTCGACCTCAGGGACCCCAGGGATCGCAAGTTCAGCCCTTTGCCTCGTGGCTACAGGAGAAAAGATTTGCAAGAGCAAAACTTTACCCCAACCCCGCTACAAAGCAGCTAGAAATGCTACAGACAACGCACACAGGCCGAGGACAGTCACATCAGTGCAGTTTTAAGTCTGAACGAAGAAGTCAGCCCTGACGGCCGACGGCAGAGCACGCTACCTCAGACAGCGCCACGCTGCGGTGCGCCTGCTCAAGCCGCTGCGCCGCGTCCAGCAGAAGGGCCCGCAGCAGCCCCGAGGGAGACAGGCTGTCGACGAAGCGGAGGGTCGTGACCATGTAGCCGTCAGAAGCGACGAGGTAGGGCAACCGGGAGTGGGTTTTCACGGAAAACCTCTGTCGCATCGGGTCGCTGGCCGACGCCGACGAGTCTACGGAATGAGTTGAATCTGGAAAGGTGCAGTGTGGTGGTCTAGCAAGCAAACATCACCATTCAAAAATGAGTAAGAGAAAAAGCCTCAACAATCGTATTATTCCAAAGAAAAAGCAGAACAGGGATTAAAAGTTACAGAATGATGAAAACGCAAGCAAATGAAACACAAAAATTGTTCATGTGTAATATCTGTAAGGAAAACATAAGCGATTACTATAACATGGCTTATGTGTTTTTAATCTTCCCTTAATTGTAGCATTTGTTTCTAAAAACAAAATACAAGCTATTTTAGAAAAGAATTAATACAGTTCATTTTTGTCATTAAAGAGTGTTAAATATTTAGCTTTGCTTCTTACCATGTCTATAATAATATATAAAAGCGTAATATGCTAATTAGACTGGATGTCCTTCGGGATGAAGCCAGGGCCACGAGGGAAGCCGGTCCCGGCAGCCGGTGGAAGGAAGGCTTATTCTTGCACAAATTTCATGCATCGGGCCTCTAGTACTTACATATACTTGTAAGAATATAATTATGAGTGTCTCTCTCACATCGATGTTTCTCTCTCTCTCTCTTTGTCTCTCTCTCCCTCTCTCCCCTTCCTCCTTCCCTCCCTTCCACTCTCTCTTAAAAGCAATGGACAAACTATCCTTGGGTGAGGATTAACAAATAATAAATAAATAAATAAAGCATCGGCTTTTGCTAAATATAATCAAGAACACACCCCTCCTCTGTAAAGCAAGGGGAGTGAATTAATTTCAAAGGCCTTTTCCAATGTTTTATCTTCCTTCATCTCCTCAACCAATTATTTCACAGCAAACGAAATAGAGGCTCAAAGAATAACTTATCCAAAGTCATACAACAAGTAAGCAGAAGAACCACCTCACAATTTTAAAAACTTTAAATGTGGGTAACTTCTAAAGTCCTCTATCCATTTCCAACAAGTTTTTCCAATTGGAAAAAAGGTATATAAATCTATATGTCGAGTTATATTAAGTTATAAATTTATCTCGACAAGGGGAGGGGTTGATGGGGGACAGTGGAGGTAAGCAAGGGGAGGGAGGGGGACTCCTGAAATAATGTCAACATTAAAAAAATCAATAAAAATAAATAAAATGTAAACAAATAATAAAATAAAGGACATACTTTTATTAACTTTTGTCAAAGAATATAAAAATTTTAGTGCTACTGAATATTTAAGTAACTTATACTTACATAGTCACAATGTCAAATTTTCACCAGGATTAAGCCACAAAAAGAAATAGAAAAAAAACTATAAATAAGAAACATATCGAGACGACACACTCAAAGAAAAAATAAGACAATTTGAAAGATAAAATCATAAAAACAAAACAGTACAGGAATAACAAAAGAGAAAACTTCTGTAAACCAATTGAAACGATTGAAACGTCTCACCTGTATGTAATGAGCGGGTGGAGAGGAATAAACTCGGCTGGCCCAAATTCTACCGAGCAGCCATGCGTGATCAGTGTTAGCAATTCACCTTGGCAAGTCAGTAAAACCAGGGAGCCACGTTTTAACATACAGGCCAGGAAAAGACTGTCATGGGTCCAGCTGATGTCGCCTACCCAGTACGACCTAGAAAGAGCGAGACAGTATGTTTAGAAAGGATTCTAGACAGTGTGTCTGACAATTTCTAACGGCCAAGCAGAGGTGAAACTCTTCAAAAAACAAGGGCAAGCCGAAACCGGTTTGGCTCAGTGGATAGAGCGTCGGCCTGTGGACTGAGAGGTCCCGGGTTCGATTCCGGTGAAGGGCATGTACCTGGGTTGCGGGCACATCCCCAGTGGGGGATGTGCAGGAGGCAGCTGATCGATGTTTCTCTCTCATCGATGTTTCTAACTCTCTCTATCTCTCTCCCTTCCTCTCTGTGAAAAATCAATAAAATATATTTAAAAAAAAAAAAACAAGGGCAAAAGAAGAGACAGCAGCCTGTCAACGGCACATGCCTGGGCTATGGGCTCGATCCCCAGGAGGGGCTGTGCAGGAGGCAGCCGGTCAATGACTCTCTCATCATTGATGTTTTTCTATCTCTCTCCCCCTCTCCCTTCCTCTCTGAAGCCAATAACAATATTTCTTTTAAAAAAAGAATGGAGAGCAGACAACTGCATAACTGCCACATACATTTTGTGTATGTCACTTCCCAGAGAAAGAGTTCACGCATACACATCTACTCCATACGACATACTAATTAGAAATTTCGATTCACAAGCAAATCATAAAATAAAAACACTCCCCGAGAGTTAAGCTTTTCAGCCACTCACATGTTAATCAGAACCACTGTTAACCCTATTGGTGTCCACAACCAAGATCTACTGATAGACGGAAAGGTCAACGCCTGCTGAGTTCCACGCGGCCGCAGCATCCCTGTTCGCAAAGCCATCATGTCTCCTCCGTAACTGTCTGGTAACAGTGATGTCTCATGGAGACAAAGGAGTTGTTGCTCACATAAATGAGGGACACCTTCAGTCAAACCCTGCTGAACCGAGACCCGTAACACCTTCAGAACGGAACTTTTAACCCGACCAGACCGCTGTACCGATTTTCTGGTACTTGGCCTAGACCTATTTTCTACAATGTCTCCAAGTTCCATCTTATTCTAACCACTTGTTTGCATGCAACTAACATTTTTCTATATCATGTTGGTTTTTTCTCTTTAATGCTCAGGAGCCCAGGTACAGGGGACAGTTAGGTTCAAGGCCTCAGGCCTGGTAGGGTTAAGGGGGGAAGAAAATGAAGAGACAAGGCTGGATGGGTCTAAAAACTTTGAAAATTCAGAGAGCAGCACAGGAAAGTGTTCAGAAAGGGAAGTCCGGGGGTCCAAGAGGAAACCTCCCTATTGTATGTCCCACGTGGTAGCTCCCGTGCCATCCCAAATCGCCACATATGTGGCTACTGACCCGTGTGCAGAGAATGCCAACTTTTTTCCAGTTCAGCCTCCCCAGTTAAGCCCAATATATTTCTACCAGCCATGATCCCACTCTTCCTCGGACAACGGACAACAAAGCAAGAAATAAAAGAGAGGAAATGCTCACTATCTTCCCCCCAAGCAGCCCCTTCCTTAGGCACTTAGGGCTTTCCTCACAGAAGGCAATTTTTAGAACCTATCACACAGATGCTGAAAGCTGCATTATCCATCTAAATACCTATTTAGACACCTATTGAACCATCAGAGCCTTAAATGTATCACACTGTTGGCAAAGAAAACAAAAGCACCATTTAGAAATACAAAAGAGTTCTTACCTGACAAGGGTAGCAGGAACCATGGGGCTCTTATTGCTACAGCCTTTAAGGCTTCCGCAGAGAGTAACAAAATTCAGTGTGTTTACAAATAATACCTGAGTTGCCTAGAGAGAGTTAAAGAAGACAAAACCATTAAAATTATTTTACTTTGATCATTACTTATAATTCTGAAGACCTAGAGATCTATTATATCAGTACACTATCTAGGGGTCTTTCCCAACGGGCAAGCAGTGCTCACCACCCATATATTTCTTTTCTTTGATTCTACATTTGAAGAACACCAGTTACAGCATTGCCCTTCTTTCTTCCTTTTCCCTCAACCTATTTTTGCTTTAGAAGGCTAAGTATTGAAAACTATAGCAGGTCATTTATTTAATTTCTTTAGTGATTTGAGAGAGAGAGGAAGGGAGAGAAACATCGATGTGAGCGAGGAACCTTGATCGGTTGCCTCCTGTACCCACCCCGACCAGGGATCAAACCAGACACCTGGGCATGCGCCCTGACCGGGAACTGAACTGGCAACCTTTCGGAGCAGGGGACAACACTCAGCCAGCTGAGCCACACCAGCCAGGGCCTGGTAGCCAATTTAAATAACTTCACCAATCCACAATGTTGAGTTGGATTAGAAAACACCAATTTAAAGAATTACCTCCAGGGGGGAAAAAACATTTTAAAACGGGACTCAATTCTCTGTCTTATAGGTTACTTCCAAGACAGATTACATTTCTGACCTTCGGGTCTTTCTGATTCAGAGTTACTGCCAGGGTAAGGCCATCTCTTGAAAAGGCAGAAATTAGAGCTCCTCTTGACTTGACTGATTCACACGTAGGAATCAGACTACGCAGAAGGCAATCTTGCTGGGCCCAGTGAACACGGTATGGCAAGGATCTAAGAAAGTAAGGAAATAATTGAAAACAGGAAGTATGGTAACTTCTAGATTAATACGTAGTTCATTACAAAAAAACTAAAGGGTCAAACTAAGTTCCTACATGTGCACATATATGAGGGGCCTCTTAGCAGCCGTCCAAGTCACAGAAGAGCAGTCACCAGTTAAACAAGCTCAATCACAGAGTTTTGTTAGTAAGAACATGTTTGGTAGCCAACCCCAAATACATCTGCTTCCACTAATGGTTTAGACACCCCCATTTCTATATTACTGCTAACATTTTTAAAGGGACTGAACAGAGAAGAGTGGGTTTTCTGGATAGTGTTCTATACTTGATATGAGGACTGTTACACGCATGTACATTCATTAGATTTGTTTGTTTTACTTTATATAAGTTATACCTTAGTAAGTTATTGTTAGCATAAAAAATAAAGATAATGAACAGAAAGAAAAATACACCCCCCCCCCCAATCACAATGTTTTATTTAGCCATTCTATGTTTTTATAATGCATTCTTTTTGATGGGCTTTTTAGAATAATTCTATGTTTAAATAAAAAAATTCTCCAGCATGTAAAAAGTACAGTAAATTCAAGTGCCTTTTTAAAACTGACTGTAAAAATTCCTTTCCAAAGTAGTTCTTTATTGTCTTAAAACAAGTAAAACCATAGTCTGCCTTATCTTTTACGTGTTTTCACTTCTACGAAGGGAAACAAAACAAAAGCAAAATAACTGATTAAACGTGTTTAAATGAAAACTAAAGCAATACTATGGGAAGAAAGGATCTGTAAAGTCTCAGAAGTGATAGTTCATTTACTAATCTGACTGTGTATTTCTAAGCCAGTGATGGTGAACCTATGACACGCGTGTCAGAGGTGACACGTGAACTCATTTTTTTGGTTGATTTTTCTTTGTTAAATGGTATTTAAATATATAAAATAAAAAATATACATCTTTGTTTTACTATGGTTGCAAATATCAAAAAATTTCTATATGTGACTCGGCACCAGAGTTAAGTTAGGGTTTTTCAAAATGCTGACACGCCGAGCTCAAAAGGTTCGCCATCACTGTTCTAAGCCAAAGGTACCTGTGTCTTAAAAGGGAGGGAAAATAAGAAAGAAGGGAACATTTACCTCACCTCACAGGTGGAAACACATTCTCATGCCACCGAATTGCTAGACATGTCAACCTCAGACACTCCCCAGAATAAAACGTAAATGCGCACAAGCAGCAGTCGCCCAATAACTGTAGATAAATGCAATATACTTTAGCACATAATCTATTCGACAATAAATCAAGGAGCAGAGCACACATATTTCTCATCACAAATGAAATATATTGAGATCTTGTTTCTATTTTTATTCTAAACATTAAGTTCAAGACTAATTTATTCCTGAGCCACAGGTATATCCCAAATGGGAAATCAACATGCAGTTTATTCTCTTAAGAAAACACTGCCATTTACTGGGGCTGTCACTAAAACGATACTTACATAGTAACTTTCTCTTCTACAGTTATATATTATTTAAACTAGGGCACTGGAAGTGGGGTGAGGTAGAGGAAAACAATGAAACTTCAAAATGCAACTTTTAACAGTAGTGGACTGGTAATAAAATGTAGGTCCATGCTGCTATTTAAAATGTTTTTTAGTTCATAAAGGTATTATTTCCTGGGAATTAAATGGCTTATTTAATGTCACCAATTCTAGCTTTTTAAATTACAAAACTAGCTATATTTCAAAACTAGGGAAAAGTAAAACTAGGGAAAGAGAAAGGAAGCTCTAATATCAAACCATTTTTATAAACACCTCTAAAAATGTGAACAAGAAATAACAATGTATTTTCCACAATAATTTCACCATTTCTGGGACGATGATGACTAAAGATCTATAGCGATGCCACTGCCCATGGTGCTCATTAACTCCAGTGTGTGGTCAGAGTCCGAGGGCTCGCCTCCTCGAACCCCCTGTCCGATGTGGGTCTTACCTCATTTTTTATGAAAGCAGCATGCACCACAGCTTCTTTATCTTCAGTGGAAGGCAAACGCACTGCTTCTTCAGGTGTGATCTGGGACCACTGGCCCCTCAATGAAGGGCTTTTAGAAGACAAGACATTCCTGAATTCCAAATATTCCCAAAGAAATATGCCTCCAGAGGGAGTTACAATCAGAACTCTTTTTCCATCTCCAGAGACATACAAATAGAGTCTCAACGAGCTTGCTAAAAATAAAAATAAAAAGTTAAAAAAGTAATTAAACCTTGAAGACTGAATTCCCTCCAAAGGCTAAATAATTTATCTCTTCTAACAAAGAGCCAGAATAATGTGACCATTAAGGATGTAAAGCTAAGGCAGTAGTAAAAAATTAAAAGTACAAATAATAGTAACATATCACATATTTACGTGATATTAGGAACGCTTTGTTATCAGATAGGTTAGGCATACCAGACTACATTCATCCAAGATGAATCTAAATATCACAAATAAACACCACCAAAAAAATGCAAGGAAATATACACATACACACACAGAGATATACACACACACACAGAGATTTTTTAAAAATAGCAATAGGAAAATATTTCGTCCTCCCTTCCTGTTTTATCAAGTTAAAACCAATTTAAACAAACACATTCTCACCTACTGCAGCCTTAATCATTTCCTTCGGCTTCTCAGCTGCCTGGATAGTTTTCAAACAATCTTGATCTTTGTTCCAAAGGAAAAGCTCCCCAGTAGTAAGGACCCCAGCCAGCCAGGCATCTGTTTCCGAAAAGGAAATGCAATCCTTACAATCTAAAAGCGCCCCTGAGATGGCCCCACATGGTTAGAAATTTCAGGCTGCCTCAGCCTCTGGGAACACCAGGCCTACTTAACCATTACTGGACGTTGTGAGGACCACAAGGTGCTGCAAGAAAGGCTGCAGGCGAGGGATTTTCTTCTTTGTCCTTCCCGACAGCAAATTAACTTCATGTATGAGTTTATCATCCAAAAGAAAAACGGCTTCGTTTTCCTGAGAAGAAACACGTGAGACTTAAGAGGTGGCAGAAGTGCATTCAAACTCTTATCCAAATTATGCCAGAAAACAACAAAGTGACGTTTAAGAAAGATTACGTACCTTTGTACCATGAATCCTAAAATGAACCCTAAGGTTGACTAGGTAGACTGAACATGGTTTCACTCTATCTTAAAATACCTCATTAAAATTACGTGGTAAAAATGACCTAACAAATGCAATTTAGATTGCTTTGAGGTTTAAAATTATGAGTGTCTTCTGCTAGCCAAAACTGGGTCACCAATTTAACCCTAGTATGGACAAGTTTTTAAATTAGTTATTTAGATTAAAACAGATATGGGTTCTGCAACCCTGGCTGATCATTTTTTAAAATATATATTTTATTGATGTTTTACAGAGAGGAAGGGAGAGGGATAGAGAGTTAGAAACATCAATGAGAGAGAAACATCGATCAGCTACCTCCTGCACACCCCCTACTGGGGATGTGCCTGCAACCAAGGTACATGCCCTTGACCGGAATCGAACCTGGGACCCTTCAGTCCACAGGCCGACACTCTATCCACTGAGCCAAACCGGTTAGGGCGCCGATCATTTTTTATTACCTAGGAAAAGTCTGTTTTGAATTAACTTTGCCTTCATGTATTATCCCAGGGCAGTGGTTTTCAAAATGCCACCTCACCAGCGGCATCAGCAACCCCCGAGACCCTGCAGGAAATGCATCTTCTTCTACCCCAGGCCCACTGAACCAGTAGCTCCGGGATGGGGCGCAGCCCTTGTTTTAACAAGCCTTCCGATGACTATGAACCTCCGTGAAGTTCAAGAGAAGGTAAGTTAATGGTATAATTTCTCCGAGGAAATGACACAACACCAAATTTTTTTAAATATAATTTTTAAAAATTGATTTGAGAGAGGGAGATAGAAACATCAATGATGAGAATCACTGATCAGCTGCCTCCTGCACACCCCGCACTGGGGATTGAGCCGGCAACCCAGGCATGTGCCCTGACCGGGAATCGAACCGTGACCTCCTGGTTCATAGGTCAACGCTCAACCACTGAGCCATGCTGACTGGGACCACCAAATTTAATTTTAATAATTGTGATAGCCGAAACCGGTTTGGCTCAGTGGATAGAGCGTCGGCCTGCGGACTGAAGGGTCCCGGGTTCGATTCCGGTCAAGGGCATGTACCTTGGTTGCGGGCATATCCCCAGTGGGAGATGTGCAGGAGGCAGCTAATCGATGTTTCTCTCTCATCGATGTTTCTAACTATCTCTCTCCCTTCCTCTCTGTAAAAAATCAATAAAATATATTTTAAAAAAATAATAATAATAATTGTGATAAATCTAGGTTTGCCCACTTTCCCTGCGGTGAGGCCTCTATCCCATGTATTGTGAGTCGTGTCCTGGGCCATTAGTGCACCGTGACCCACCTTCACCCCAGGTCTAAGGGCCACTGGGCTGCACACTCATAAAAACCACGGATTGTTCCGATAGGAAAAGGTTCAGAAGATTAAAAATTCCTTTTTGCTATATGCCATCGCCACCTTTTTAAACAGAATGTAAAAAAAATTTTTTTTAATTAAATCTTTATTGTTCAGATTATTACAGTTGTTCCTCTTCCCCCGCCCCCCCCCATAGCTCCCCTCCACCCGGTTCCCACCCCACCCTCTGCCCTTACCTCCCCCATCCCCCCGCACTGTCCTCATCCATAGGTGCACGATTTTTGTCCAGTCTCTTCCCGCATCCCCCACACCTCCCCCCGAGAATAGTCAGTCCACTCCCTTTCTATGCCCCTGACTCTACTATATTCGCCAGTTTATTCTGTTCATCAGATTATTTATTCACTTGACTTTTAGATTTACTTGTTAAAATATTTCTTCTTGATAGACCATTTAACTTTCTGGAAAAGCTAACTTGCTTACTATACTAGACAATACACAACCTAACTGGTTTGGCTCAGTGGATAGAGTGTCAGCCTGCAGACTGAAAGGTCCCAGGTTCAATTCTGGTCAAGGGCATGTACCTTGGTTGCGGGCACATCCCCAGCAGGAGGTTTGCAGGAGGCAGCTGATCGATGTTTCTCTCTCATCATCGATGTTTCTAACTCTCTATCCCTCCCTTTCTCTCTGTAAAAAATCAATAAAATATATTTTAAAAAAATAAAGACAATACACAAACACAAAACCCTGTTCTGTGGGCAGGTGATCCTTGAAAGACGGATTTTATTTTTTAAATGTCACAGACCATTCTTCAACCTCAGGGGCCAAGCACACATTCCACACAGACGACGACTGGACGGTACGATAAAGAAACACCTACCTGTCCCAACCAGGAGACGCGGGGCCAGGGCCTCTTCTGCTTGATGGTGGTCGACGTCAAAACTTCCAACCTGATCTCCATGCTTGTCGAGGTTTCAGTGACCAGTTAAGTAAAAACAGTCACAAGATGCTATGAAATGCAAAAAATAATGATCATAATAAATAGCCCATATTTACTGCGGCTCTTCATTTAGAATTCTCATAAAGATTTGGTGTTTTACTTTTTCATCAGTTCAACTCTCTTAAGGCAAGATATTGACAATGCATTCGGTATCTCATCTGGTATCCTGACCAGTCAGGCAAACTGTATTTGCTTTTATTTGACAAGTCATTTCTCCGACTGTGAAGGCAAACAAGACCTCGGGGAAGATCTGGAAAACACAGTTTCCACGTGATCGGCCTTTCTCCGAAGATGGCCACCGCAGCACCTCCTGTCTCATATTCTCCTACCCTGTGACCTTGGCTGTCTCTCAGAGACCCCTTCTCTGGTCTATGCCTTATCCCTTAAAACTGGATGGGATCTGCTCTCTTTTAACCAGAATAAAACAGGAGTGCTGCTTTGCATTTCCCAAGGCTAGGTCACAAAAGGCAATACAGCTTCTACCTCACTCCCAGCGAGGGACAGGGGAGAGAGAAACAGGGACAAGAAAGCCAGTATCAGTGGGCTGCCTCCTGAACGCCCCCTACTGGGGATCGAGCCCCAAATCCGGGCAAGTGCCCTGAGCAGAAAAGACCCAACCATCTTTTGGTGCACCAATCGATGCCCACCAACTGAGCCACACTGGCCAGATGTTTGTTTTTTAAAGGGGCCTTACCTCTCCTAGATATAGGATACAGTATATACTTAAGTATTTATGCCAAGGATTTACTTCATTTTTTTTTTTAATGTTTTTGCCAGGTATACCGGTTAATAATGCAGATTTTCTCAATAGATAGAGTTACACATACATTGATATATATGCAATTTGATATGTATGCTATTTTGTTGTATTGACAGCAAGCTTCAAAACTTCGTATGTCGCCGAAACCGGTTTGGCTCAGTGGATAGAGCGTCGGCCTGCGGACTGAAAGGTCCCGGGTTTGATTCCGGTCAAGGGCATGTACCTGGGTTGTGGGCACTTCCCCAGTGGGGGATGTGCAGGAGGCAGCTGACCGATGTTTCTCTCTCATCGATGTTTCTAGCTCTCTATCTCTCTCTCTTCCTCTCTGTAAAAAATCAATAAAATATATTAAAAAAAAAAAAAAACTTCGTATGTCAAATTTGCTGAAGGTGTTAACATCATAGGTATTTTTACACTTAAAAATGTCGAATTTTGTGCCAAAAAAAAGAGCATTTGCGGAAAGTTTTAATTCATTACTTTATTTTGAAGAAAAGTGCTGCTGAAAGTGATCGTACACTTCAGGAAGCTTATGGTGAACATGCTCCATTTCAAGATACTTGTAACCGCTGGTTTAAATGCTTTAAAAGTGATGATTTCAATGTGAAAGACGAACATCCAGGTCAACTAAAAAAGTTTAAAGACCAACAATTACAAGCATTATTGGATGAAGACGCGTGTCAAACTCAAAAACAACTTGCAGAAAGATTAACCGTTGCTCAGTAAACAATTTCTGATCATTTACAAGCAATGGGAAGATTTTTAAAGGAAGGAAAATGGGTGCCACATCAACTGAACGAAAGACAAATGGAAAACCGAAAAGTCATCAGTAAAATGTTGCTTCAACGGCACGAAAGAAAGGCTTTTTTGCATCGAATTGTGACTGGCGATGAAAAGTGGATTTATTTGGAGAATCCCAAACGCACAAAATCATGGGTTGATCCAGGCCAACCATCAACATCGACTGCAAGGCCAAATCGCTTCAGAAAGACAATGCTCTGTGTTTGGTGGGATCAGGAAGGTGTGGTGTATCATGAGCTTCTAAAACCAGGTGAAACCGTAAATACTGATTACTACCGACAACAAATAATCAATTTGAACCAGCTTTGATCATGAAATGACCAGAATGGGCCAGAAGACACGGCAAAGTAATTTTGCTTCATGATAACGCACCATCACACACTTCAACACCAGTTAAAAACACGTTAAAAGATCTTGCCTGGGAAGTATGAACCCACCCGCCGTATTCACCAGACCTCGCTCCTTCAGATGACCGCTTGTTCCGATCGATGGCACACGCACTTTCTGAGCAGCACGTGAGAAGAAGTGGAAAATTGGGTCTCTGAATGGTCTGCCTCAAAACAAGAAAAGTTCTATTGGGATGGCATCCACAAATTACCTGAAAGATGGGGGAAATGTGTAGCTCGCGATGGACATTACTTTGAATAAAGCACTTTTGGTGTTTCTCTTGAAATTATCGTGTTTTGACTAGAAAATCCGCATTATTAACCGGTACACCTGGTATTGATTTTAGAGAGAGGGAGGAAGGGAGACGGAGAGATAGAAACATCAATGAGAGAGAAACGGGGACCGGTTGCTTTCTGCACCCCCCATCCTGGGGATCAAGCCCGCAACAGGCGACTCTAGGTGCATGGGTCCAGGCTCAACCATTGAGCCACACCAGCCCGGCAGGGATTTGCTTCAAAACACTCCAGCGATGTACTCAGAGATAAGTTATGCAACCAAAATGTGAAGGATAAAAAGAGGGTTCAAGATGTGAGGACGCAGGCCTCCAGGATTTGGTCATGTTCCCACCGCCTATTATGCCCCAAGATCACGCCTGCTGCTGAACTGGCACTCAAAACAGACATGTCCTGGGCCTCACAGACAGCGCCAGACCAGTAGATTCGTTCTCGGAAGGGGGCAAAGTCAGCCATCACTCACTGAATACGCCAGGAAGGGAAATCCATGGTCCCCCCAGAGCAGTGCCTTTACTTAAAACACAGGGGCCATGCAATTAGACCATCTCCGAGCTCTTCTGTGGTTTCCTTCCTCAGCGTTCAACTACCTCATCACCAACCCACGGAGGTCTCCCACGGGGGTCCCCCACCCCCCGAAGCCCTCCAGGGGCTCCGAGGTGTCCTCCCCCCGACCTCGGGGGAGCCGCTCCCCGGGGCTGAGGATGGGCAGCCGGGGCGGGGGGCAAGGACGCGCAGGGCAGAGGGTGAACCGAGGACGGAGGGTGAACGGGCACAGAGGGCCCAGGAGCCCGCGGACCCAGACGGGGACGGGGAGGGGGCCACGCGGGGCAGGAGTCCGGGGCAGTTACCTCCTCCAGGGCCGGGCCCCTCCGGGCGGGGCGGCGCGGCGACACCGGGGCCCAGCGGGCGGCGCGGGCGGGAGGCGCGAGGACCAGGGCGCGGGCCCAGCGGCCGCCCAGACGCAGCTGCGCCCCGGCGACGCGGGGAGGGGCGGGGAGGCCAGGGCGCCTGCTGCCGCCGCCAGGGAGACGGGTGCTCCCCCGCTTCTTCTCTTCTCCTCCTCCTCCTCCTCCTCCTCCTCTCCACCCCGTCCCTCCGCTCGCACAGCCGCGCCCGCCGCCTTTTAGCCCCGCCCGCGCCCCTCCGCTCGCCCCGCCCTCCTCCCCCCGCTGCCCCGCCCCCCTCTCCCCGCGCCCCGGGCTCCCCGCTTCCCTCCCCCCGCGTCTCCCGCGCTCCCCGCCCCCCTCCCCCCGCGCCTCCCGGGCTGGGGCGCCGGGTTTCCGCTCCCGCCTCCCGAGAGCCCAGGCGTCCCGCCGCGCTTCCCAGGAAACCGTGTAACCGCCGGCTCCCGGCGTCACCCCGCCCCCCGTGCAGGCGGCCCCGGCCCGAAAGGAAGGGGTTGTGCGCCTAGCGAGGCTCCCGCACCCGGTCCCGGCCCAGCCCACCCCGGGGAACCGGGCCGAGCCGGCGGCTCCTGGAGCAGCGCTTCTGCGGCTGAGCGGTGCCCCGGGCAGCGGCGCGCTCCCGGTTCCGCCCCGCACGCGTGCACGTCCCGGGCTGGCTTTTGGAGGTGGCGGCGGGTCACCCTCGCAGGGTGATGGGGGGTCGCCCCGCCCGCCCGGATGCGGAGCGTCAGGTCGCTGTCCCAGCAGCGGAAGGTGCGGGGCGAGAACCCCCGGGCCTCCCGCCCCCGCCGCCGCCCCCTCTGCTGATGGTGTGACTGAGCCGCGGGAACGCCCCGGGGACCGCTCATCTAAAGGTTGGAGAACGGATGCTTCAAGTTCTCCCAGCGTCGCGAACAGCTTCCATAACTCCTAGTCGAGTCAGCACAAAAGGTCTCCAGCGGAGAACATCCAGGGACGCGGAGACCCTCACACAGTCCGTTTGCTGCGCTCCGGTTTCTCGGGGTGATCGTGGGCGCTGCGGCACGTTTCGCGGGATGGCCGACGACCTAGAGGCGTTGGTGTAATTCTAGGTCCGCCGTGCCCTGCATTTACTTATTCTTTAAATATGACGGGAATGACTGCAATTTGCTAACATTATCGAATATCTATAACGTGGGAGACACCATGGTAGGGACAAAGAGGGGGAGCCAATATGGCCCCTATTCATTTAAGAGATTTTTAGACACAAATCACAGTGCAGTGATAAGTTCCAAGTACGGACTAGCAGCATGCAGACTGCGTTTCCTCCACCTGCGAGGCGGGGGTCTGAAATAGCTGAGCTAAGGCTTAAACAGAGCAGCTCGATTCGAAGCAGGTGCATCTGGAGGTGCAGTTAGCGGCCTGGTTCAGAAGCCCAATGCGAGGATTGCAGACAATTCCTAAGCCTCGGCCTCTCCTTCAGCCTCCCTGGAAGCTCACCTCTCCCCTTTTCTTTAAAAAAGAAATTTCTCTTTTTAAAATTAAACACGTTATTTACATTATTCTAATTCTTTATTGTTTAAAGTATTACATACAGTATTACATATGTCTCCCTTTTACCCCATTGACCTCTCCCGCCAACCCCAACCCCTATTTATTTTTAATTTCTCACTGGAGGATATTTTTCCGTTGATCTTTTAGAGAGAGTGGAAGAGAGTGGGAAAGACAACTATCGATCGATGTGAGAGAAACACATCAATTAGTTGCCTCCTGCACGAGCCCGACCAGGGCCTGGGCCAAGGGTGAAGCCTCCAATTGAGGTACGTGCCCTTGACCAGAATCGAACCCAGGGCCCTTTGGTCCGCATGCCTATGATGCTCTATCCACTGAGCCAAACCGGCTAGGGCTCCACTCTCCCTTTTTAAAAATTATTTTTTAAATTGATTTTTAGAGAGAATGGAAGGGAGAGGGTGAAAGAAATATCAATGTGAGAGAGACTATCAATCAGCTGCCTCCTACATGCCTCCTATCAGTGATTGAGTCTGAAACCTAGGCTCGTGCCCTGATGGGGAATGGAACCAGCAACCTTTTGGTGCACGGGATGACACCCAACACCTGAGCCAAACAGGCCAGGGCTCACCTCTCTATAATACATTCTGATGAGGAAGAATGTAGTGGAGAATACCAATTCTTAAGAGAATGGGAGCCCACCTGGCGTGGCTCAATGGTTGAGCATCGGCCTATGAACCAAGAGGTCAAGATTTTTTAAAAATATATATTTTATTGATTTCTTACAGAGAGGAAGGGAGAGGGATAGAGAGTCAGAAACATCGATGAGAGAGACATCGATCAGCTGCCTCCTGCACACTCCCCACTGGGTATGTGCCTGCAACCAAGGTACAAGCCCTTGACCAGAATTGAACCCGGGACCCTTGAGTCTGCAGGCCAACGCTCTATCCACTGAGCCAAACCGGTCAGGGCAAGAGGTCATTTGAATCCTAGTCAGGGCACATGCCTGGGTTGCAGGCTTTATCAATGATTCTCTCCCATGTTTACTTGGCCCATGTTAGCTTTTGAGTCTGACATGCTTGCTGTGGAGATTCTGGTGAATCCCACAGGTTCTAAGGAATGGTTTCAACAACCAGCCTTTGTGCAGGACGGGGACCAGGAAAGACGGGTGTTCTCCCTAGAGCAGCGTTGTCCAGTGGAAACGTCTACCAATGAGAATGTTCTATGTCTGCTTGTCCAATACACAGCCATAAGCTACAAATGATATCAAGCACCTGGAATGTAGATAGTACAACTGAGACACTGAATTTTTTGTTTTATTGTCATGAAATTCAGATAGCCACGTGGGGCGAGTGCTTCTTGTGATGCACGGTGTACCTTTAAAGCTTTGCCATTAACGCGACTCAGCTGCAGTTATTCTCAGCTTCTGTCTCAGTTCAAAATTGCAAATCTCTTGGAGGAAACACACAAATGATGCAGTTTGGGTAAGAGGTTCTCTCCAGGATTGGCCAGCAATGGCTAAGTCTAGATCACACAGTACAGAAATGGCTGCGGAGGGCTTGTCTGGGTTTCTGAGTCTTGGTGCATAATCAAGTCGGCCATAGAGGCTTCCAGCCCAAGGGAAGGAGAAAGAGAGCGTGCACACAGAAATCACAGTTTTTCAGCTTATGTTGCTTTGGAGAGAACTTAATTCTGTGGTCACATCTAACTGCAAGGGAGGTTGGGAAATGTAGGTTAGCAATGTGCCCTGTTAAGACAAAAAATAATTTTAAATTTTTTAAATTGATTTTGGAGAGGGAGAGGGAGAGGGAGAGGGAGGGAGGGGGGAGAGAAAGAGAGAGAGAGAGAGAGAGAGAGAGAGAGAGAGAGAGAGAGAGACAGACAGACATTAACGAGAAAGAATCATTGATCAACTGCCTCCTGCACGCCCCACTCTGGGACTGAGCCTGCAATCAGGGCATGTGCCCTGACCTGGAATGGAACCATAACCTCCTGGTTCATAGTTCAACACTCAACCACTGAGCCATGCAGGCCGAGCTGAAATGTTTTTTTAAACATATATTTTATTGATTTTTCCACAGAGAGGAGGGGAGAGGGATAGAGTCAGAAACATCGATGAGAGAGAAACATCCTTCAGCTGCCTCCTGCACGGCCCCTACTGGGGATGTGCCCACAACCAAGGTACATACATGGCCTTGACCGGCATCAAACCTGGGACCCCTGAGTCCACAGGCCGACACTCTATCCACTGAGCCAAATCGGCCAGGGCTAAAAAATGTTTTTAAAATGGGCAATTAGTTTTGTTTTCTTACATTTTTATTGATTTCAGAAAGGAAGAGGAGAGGGAGATAGAAACATCAATGATGAGAGGGAATCATTGCTTGCCTGTCTCCTGCACACCCCGTACTGGGGATGGAGCCCGAAACCCGGGCATGTGCCCTTGACCAGGAATAAAACTGGGAACCTTCAGTCCGCAGGTCGACACTCTATCCACTGAGCCAACCCGGCTAGGGCGGGCAATTAGTAGTTTTTAGTACAAGTGGTTAGAATACAAAAAATAATAATACATATTTCCTGCCTTCAAGAATATCACAGGTTTGGTGAGGAGACAGATGAATATTTAACTAGCAATGAGTAAGGAACATGCTTTATGAACTTAAAGAAAAGCATGGCTTAGAGCAGTATTTCTCAAACTTTAATGTATTGCGAACAACCTGGAAATCTTGTTAAAATGTCGATTCTGACTCAGGGCAGGGGGCAGTGTATGCAGGTGAGGACAATGTTGCTGGTCCTTGGTCCCGTCTTTGAGTAGTAAGTGACTGCAGATTTGGCAACACCATAGAGGGAATGGCATTTACACCACACCTTTGCTCATAGCATAGTGATTAAGAGACTTTCAGTTTAAGTAGACATGACAGAATCTTGAATTTACAAAACTAACCAAGTATTCATACATTCATTATCCACATTAAAAAATTTAATTGAAAATCTAAAAAATATGAGAGGTAGTTGTATATTTTAACATTCTAGTAAATACTATAAATTAGAGGTTATAGGAGAAAGGGAGCTAAATTCTAAGAGAATAAATATGTGAAGGACAACTCATGATCTTGGGGGGAAAATAAAAGTGGAAGGAAAAATATTTCCACAATATATTTTAAAAATTGTTAGACATGCATTAGTGACAACAAAAAGAAGGCAATCACACTCCTGGTAGCATAAACGTGAGGAGAGGAGTCTGTGTCTTAGTCCTGGTCCTCTCTTACCTCGTCGTTGCCATGACTTTGAGGCACCTGGTTTAGTTATTCCAATTTTCTTAAAGCCTAAAAACTACATTACTAACAACTCTGCTGTACATATTGTGTGTCTTGGGTAAACTCGTGGGTGTGGTTACTGACGGGGGAGGCAGGGGGAGGACTCTGATAGGAAGCACAATCCGGCAGCTAGCTGCATCCTGTAATGCAGTGGTTCAGCCTGACGTGCTGCAGGCCCAGAGGGCTGGTTACACAGAGTGCTGGGCTCCCCTGAATTATGGACTCAGCAGGTTTGGGAATGGGCTCAATAATCTGAACTTGTAACGAATTCCCAGATGTGCTGATGTACTGGTTTGGTGCACACTATTTGAGAACCATTATTCTAATAAAGTCAGTAGTCACAAGGCCAAAGAATTAGGTCAGTGATGGCGAACCTATGACACGCGTGTCAGAGGTGACACGCGAACTCATTTTTTTGGTTGATTTTTCTTTGTTAAATGGCATTTAAATATATAAAATAAATATCAAACATATAAATCTTTGTTTTACTATGGTTGCAAATATCAAAAAATTTCTATATGTGACACGGCACCAGAGTTAAGTTAGGGTTTTTCAAAATGCTGACACGCTGAGCTCAAAAGGTTCGCCATCACTGAACTAGGTAGACACTAGGAAAAACAGTATCTCCCTGTATAGGTTTTCAAGACAGAACATTAGTTACAAGTTTATCACCTGCTCAAAAGACAAGGGGGTATATATTAATCTTCAAGGATTGTAACTGAAAAAATTAGTAGTTGGAGTAAATTTCTTTCCAAGGATAAACCCAAACCTTAATAAACTTTAAAGAGAGTGTGAGTATGCCTATTTAAGGATTGTTGCAGAATCCAGTGTTACGCGAATGGCCTGCTCCGCTAGCCTATCTAAATTTTGCTATCAACATCTTTGAACTAAATTAAAAATGAATATTGTAAATTCAAAATTTCTGCCTGCAGTAAAATTCAAATAAAGAGTTTCTAAATATTTCCTATCCCTGTGGAAATAAGAAGATAAAAATCTTAACCTCAATTGTTTTTTAACCTCATTATAAAACAAAGTAGTAAAAAATAATTCATCTGGTAAATGTGTTGTTTCTAGACACTAGCCATCTATTGAAAACACATTTCTATTAAAATTGTTCTCAATTTCTTAGATTTAGAGCACTTGATATCTAAACCACGCTGATATTTTATTTTACAGGTCAAAACATATGGATAAAAATACATTAAGATAATTAATGAAGCCGTTCTAATTTAGCCTGAAGAGACTTGAAATTCCCTGTGATGGCTTGTACTGCTGCTGACGGGCTCATAGACTGTAGCTCAACCAGGTAACCACAAATAGCATCCAGGCAGAGATTTGTAAATCTTCTCCTGCAAGGCAAAGACACCGCATCAACTCTGTGCATTTACACACATTCCTTCCCTCCAACTTCTGCTAACCTTACTCACCTCCCCCACAGAAGCGCAAGGATCATGCCATTTAAGTAAATGGCAAACAAATAAGGAAACTCGGGGTAGGTGGATTACCACACAACCACCATTTTTCTTTTAAAGATGATTATAACTAAGAGGCAGTAAAGGATGATTCCATAAATGAGTATTTTTTACAATCTTTTGGCCTTTCAAACAAATATACTTTAAAATGGCCAATAATATCACAAAGTCATAATTAAACTGTCCTTGGTCACTAATTCAAAGCAGAAGGAATTTAGAAGTAGTTCATAAATTATATTCTTTCACTTGTAGAAAGAATTCAAGATACAGGTTGAAAAATGGAAAAAAACTCTTTTTTTTTTTTTAGAAAGTACAGTTTGCTCATTTTTTATATATATTTTATTGATTTTTTTACAGAGAAGGGAGAGGGATAGAGAGTTAGAAACATCGATGAGAGAGATCGACCAGCAGCCTGCTGCACGCCCCCTACTGGGGATGTGCCCGCAACCAAGGTACATGCCCTTGACCGGAATCGAACCTGGAACCCTTCAGTCCGCAGGCCGATGCTCTATCCACTGAGCCAAACCGGTTCGGCTAACTTTCTTTCATATATGCTGATTAGTATCGTTCAAATAGTTCTCGTTAACATAAAAAGAGCTTAAATCTCCTATACTTCTTTATAATCACAGTATCTTTCCCCATTCTCTCCAAATTTGTTATTCAGGTATTTATTAGAAGCATTTAATAATGCAATATCTAATTCATAGTTACCTCTCACAGTTTAAAACCTGGCTAGGATTCTCAACATATCTGGTCAATAGTACATGTAAACAATCCAAAAGATGCAGTGGCTTCTTCATTCTGTTCCAGAATGGATCCTATATAGAAAATATACATTGAGTTATAAAGCAAACTGTATCAACTGCTCAACCATTTATGTTAGTTAAAACAGCCATCAGAGTCCAAGGCAAATCATGTGGTTACTAAACTTCTTTCTGGTTATGATTAACATTTGAACAATATTGAAAACTGCACTGTGATGTTATTTCGAGGAATATCGGATGTATCAGTCTACTCTGTAGAGCGTGTACTAGTAAATGTCCTGTTTAGGAACCAGAGGTGAGAGAAACAACCATCTCTTCCTAGCATCTGTGACATCACTTTTACTTTGACCTATGCAGACTTAGTCTGATATTGTAAACAAGAGACTAAATTAGTAGTCAAAGAATCTCAGTTCTAGTTCTGGCTTTACCTGTTAACTAGCCATATGAGTTGAGTAGATTATTTAACACTAGAGGCCCAGTGCATGAAATTCATGCACTGGTAGGGTTCCTAGCGGCTGCTGGCCAGGTACTCCCTTCCCCAGCCACCTGCCTCTGCCATCACCAGCCTGGGCCTCCCTCCCTTCCCCCAGCCAGCCCCACCCCCTTGTCAAACTCCTGGTGGAGGGGACAATTTGCATATCATGCTTTTATTATATAGGATTTCTGCCCTTGTCAGATGCAGTAGAAAAGGGGATAATACTACTTGCTCATTTCTATCACACATTCATTGTGAGGCTTAAATGAGATACACAAATACCTTCTAAAGCATATGGACATTTTTATGGTGCTACTATAAAAGACATGATCTAGTTCACAAGGTTTTATTTGGATCTTTTAACATAGGACAAAAATTACAAGGTATAATCTAATAACTGATTTTCAAACCATGTGTCACAATGCTATTTAGTCAGGGGCACTGACCTCTTTTCCCTTAGACTGTCAAACAAAAAAAATGACAACAGTCAACACAATAGCCATCTGGTGTGCATGCCCTGTCTTGAACCATAACTATATAGGTCATAATAGAGTTTTATCTTATTGATCATGTTGCATAATAAGGCTGCATCTGATTGGTTAATTCTTGGAACCAGAAATCTTTATATACAAGTATAGGCACCTGATTTTTTAAAAAGTCACTTTGACCCCACTGGTGGTTGAGCGTTCATCTATGAACCAGGAGGTCATGTTTCTATTCCCAGTCAGGGTACATGCCTGGGTTGCAGGCTCAATCCCTACTGGGGGGTATAAAAGGCAGCTGATCAACGATTCTCATCATTGATGTTTCTATCTCTCTCTTCCTCTCCTTTCCTCTCTGAATTCAATAAAAACATATTAAAATTTTTTTTAAGAAGTCATGTTGGAGCAAAAGGGTAGGTAAGTACTATGATTATTTTTTATAAACCAATAAAAATTATCAGATTGGTAAAAAATATTTTTTGGTGTGCTGATGAATTTTAGAAATTCGTTTTGTGTGCCAATGAGATGAAAAAGGTTGAAAATCACTGGTCTAATCAGTGAGAAGGCCCTTTAAGCACTAGTATTTTAGATGAGGTTTCAGTTAATAGAGCTGAAAGGGTTAGCTAGGAAGCTTAACTAGGAAGGGTTAGGGAATGAGGAGGGTCCATGGGAGAGGAAGACAAGATGGAGACTTGAAGACGCCAGGGTGCTTATTTTACTTGTACAGAGGACAGAGAAAAGCCACAGGAAGAGGGGGGTCCAGGCAGATGGAAACATTTCTGGCCTGAGCAATTAAAACAGCCATAAACCAAGGACAGATGGGGTAGTTCTGGTCTGAGCAATTAAAACAGCCATAAACCAAAGACAGACAGGGGTATCTCTGGCCTGAGCAGCTGGGAGATCTAAGGCAACTCCAACCAGCAAGATAAGGGGGAGAGAACATGGGGGGCACCACGTGGGCTTTGAAACTAATACCATGTAGCAGAATGACCAATGAGGAAAGCAGGGGCATCCCAAATTAAGGAAAGGGACCAATAAAAAGGTCAGATTCAAACAAAGAACTGCAGCATATATTAACTGGAGACAAAGGGACATGAGGCGAGATTTTCTGAGCTTCCCATTAGAGAGAGAGAGCAGGCTTTTCCCACTGAGGGGGCCTCTCTCCATGGGGGCCCCTTTGGGGACACCCATGCCCAGATAGCATTTGTATCTGCTTCCAATAAACTACATTTTTTATTAAAGAAGCCTTTTTGTCCACGAGTTTACTCTTCAAACTTCACGAGGACAAGAACCCCCTGGGAGAAAAGTCTGCACCCCAAGCCCACATTTCAGTTATTTCCTTTAAAGTACATGATGATTCTCAATGTAATATGTTTAGTCTATTCCAAGGGTAAAGAATTTATTATGTTAATATTAAAAAAATATTTAGTTTTTATCATGATATATAGCAAAGTCATTCTCATTGGTTTTAAAAGTATGAATTATGATAATTTCTCATACTAAACCAATGAAGAAATTTCTGATGTATTAGATTATGAGAGACTTATACACATGCAATCAGAAGACGCCACTCCTATATCTAGAAAAAGTTACTGAACTTTAAATAATTTTACTTCATGTTTTCCTTACCCGTGACTTGAACAAGTGATCATAGACGTCCAGCAGCCGAGGTAAGGGCACTCCAATTTCATTCATTGTCTGTATTACAAAACCCACATCCCAGTTCAAAGTACAAACTTGCTGCTCTAAGAACTGCACAATAAAGTCTGGGGAGGAAAAAAGATCAGATCAGGATGGTTAACTCTTTCCCCAGCTTTAGGAGATGTGACATATAACCATGTGGAGGTTAAGGTGCACAATGCCACCATTTGATTTAATACATATATAATGTAAAATATTTACTACAATAAGGCTAGTTATCACAAGCTTCATGTCACATAATTACTTTTGTATTGTTGCAGGATTGTTAACTCTTGATTTTAAAAAGTAGGCCAACCCAGAGACATGGAAGCATGGAACCGAGTGTGGAATCTTGGAGGGAAGGGTGAGTAGACAGGCGGTAATCAACCAAGGACCGTGTATGCATATATGCATGGCCCATGGACACAGATAATGGGGTGGTGAGGGCCTGGAGTGGGGGGTGGAGGCAAGCTGGAGGGGGTCAATGGAGGGAAAAAAGGGACATAGGTGTTACTTTCAACAATCAAGATTTATTTTAAAAAATAAAGTAGGCCTTATTTATAAATGAGCAGTTTATAAGGGGAAATCCTTTAAAAATCAAATTTCAAAAAAATTTTTTGTAATAAAAGTAAGACCTGTACTAGAATAAGCAAGTCTGTAGAGATGGAAAGCAGATTAGTGGTTGCCTAGGGCTGAAGAAGTAAGAAGTAGCTGCTACAAGGTTTCTTTTTAGGGTGATGAAAATGATCTAAGTTTAATTGTGGTGATAGTTACAAAACTCTGAATACGCTGTAACCATTGAATTATACACTTTAAAGTTATTAAGAAAAAAGTACATTTAGTAAATGTGGAAAATACTGGAAGGTACAAGAAAACAGAGACCATTCACAACCCCACTATTGGAGAGAACCTACTGTTGACATTTCTTTAACATATTAATGAAATAGCCTCGATTTAATAGCTTTTCAGAAAAGAAAGGCTACTGCATCCCACTTCAGAAATATTAAATATGTTTTTAAAATGCATCTCCCCCAACTCACAAGTTATTTACTTTGTTTTAATGTGCTAACCCGTTTTCACTTTTTACTGCCTGTCATATCATAAGACATAACAGTAACATTCAAATTCATATCATGATACCTGAAATCTGAGACCTACCAATGTGAGTATCCATGGGTAAGAGAGTCACTGAAAAGGTGCCGCTGGGCTTGTGTCTCCCCTAGAATTTACCACAGATTTCGGACGGGAATAAAAATTCTAAAAACTCCAGTCCTGTTCCAGCGTGGAGCCCGTTTGCCATTGACAGAAAAAGGAAGGCCTCCTCCACCCTGCACTTTACAGAGCCCGAAATTAAAAACGGAGTCAAAGCAGAAATACCCTCAAGAGGAATTGTGCAGAATGTGGCCTTTTAATATTAAAATTGTCAAGTTTCATATACTTACTATATATATATATTTTTTTCTTTTCTTTCTTCTTCTTTTTTTTAAATGTATTTTATTGATTTTTTACAGAGAGGAAGGGAGAGGGATAGAGAATCAGAAACATCGATGAGAGAGAAACATTGACCAGCTGTCTCCTGCACACCCCTCACTGGGGATGTGCCCGCAACCAAGGTACATGCCCTTGACTGGAATCGAACCCGGGACCCTTGAGTCCGCAGGCCAACACTCTATCCACTGAGCCAAACCGGCCAGGGCTATTTTTTCTTTTTCTAATCAATGAAATGTTAGAGCAGGTAGCACTACACTTACAAAAAATAAGGGTATGCTTATAATGGTTTTCTTTCCTACCATGCCTAAGGGACACTAAATCAGAGATGGTTGCCCTGGCAGGTTTCGCTCAGTGATTAGAGTTGGCCCCCAGACTGAAAGGTTGCGGGTTTGATTCCAAGTCAAGGGCACATACATCGGTTGCAGATTCGATCCTGGGCCTCGGTTAGGGTGTGAGTGGAAGGCAATCAATTGATGTGTCTCTTTCACATCCATGTTTCTCTCTAGCTCTCTCCCTCCCTTCCACTCTCTCTAAAGATCAATGAAAAAATAACCTCAGGTAAGGATAAATTTGTTGATTCTATTGTTTTACAGCTGAAGAAATACGACAGGTTGACAAATGATTCGTAACAGTTACGGCCACCTACATCATGATTATATTTAGCATATTACATTTTTAAGACAACTACCCACTATTTTAAAGAAAAATATGCCCTCAATATAACAAGAGTTGAATCAATCAGAGACTAGCCATTCACAAAAACACCAGCCATTTTAACAATATTATCCCGATGGTCTGTTAACCAACACTATCCAAGATAGATATATACACTTGGAAGGTCAGTCAAAGGAAGTCCCACACCAAGCTATTCATCAACAACCCCTGCCGTTCTGTGGAGGGCTTTCTTTTAGGAGAAGTAGAAGTAAACTGCTCAACTAAATAGCAACAAAATGCAATTTCACTCTAAAGATAATTATTTTTCCACGTCAATGAAGAAAACCATCGAAAGAAAAGAAAGACCCAGGCCAGCGCCTGTGGTTCCTGCTCACCTAACGGGAAGAAGCGAGGTGTGCCCGCATACATTTTGCCAAGGAGGACAATCTTCAGACTAAGGGCGTGCATTCGATCGGAAGAGCTCAGTGCCACACTTTCATTCAGTTCTGAAAGAGACATGTCCTTAGAAACCCAGATGACTTTTAATGTGAAGTGTTCAAACTGGCTATTTCATTGTTTCAAGGAATAAAAAACCCTAGAACTGACATTCGCGTAATATAATGAGCAGATCCTGTATTCTGTCAGTTTCTGATATACTCTCGTCTTCCCAGGGCAGTGGCGAGGAGATTCTGAGAGAAGTGTCCCAGTCTCGCTTACTAAGCAGCACAAACCTGAAATGACACTCTCTGAGAGTCCTCCCCAATGTTCACGGGGATCATGCTCTAGGGCAGCGGTTCTCAACCTGTGGGTCGCGACCCCTTTGGGGGTCGAACGACCCTTTCACAGGGGTCGCCTAAGACCATCAGAAAAACACATATATAATTACATATTGTTTTTGTGATTAATCACTATGCTTTAATGATGTTCCATTTGTAACAATGAAATTGGGAGTCACCACAACATGAGGAACTGTACTAAAGGGTCGCGGCATTAGGAAGGTTGAGAACCACTGCTCTAAAGGACCACCCTCCCCCATGTCCGGGTTCCTTCTATGCTCGCTCTGTTTAGCACATACAAGTTGCCTGAGCCCTGCCCACCTGAGCCACTAGCAGCCTGTGTCCCTCTACCAAGTCACTAAGTGATGTATGCTACATGCACCTATAAGCGCACACTTACCTTTCTCTATGATATCTTGCCAAAGTGTCTGCACCAATATAGGGTCTGAATAACCGGCACAATGAATTATTGCAAGTTTACACTCTGCAAGTTTAAACGGGTCAGCAAATTCCCCATAAAGCTGTAGGAGAAAATGTCAACGTTATACATCCAATCAGAGGTCAGGGTCCAGAAATTAATAGTGAAAAACTACTTGAAAGTTCAAAACAACCATAGATTTTATCTGAAGTTCCTAAAATATGAAATAAAAATATGATGATGTATAGCTGGTCATAGCTAAGGGTTAAAAGTGGTGAATGAATGGCAAGTACATCCAAAGAGATTCAGCACGTGTGCATTTTTTTCTTGGCTGGAAGAGGTCATAATGACTTTTTTTTTTAATTAATATATTTCTTTATTGATTTCAGAGAGGAAGGGAGAGGAAGAGAGATAGAAACATCAATGGTGACAGAGAATCATTGATCGGCTGCCTCCTGCATGCCCCCTACTGGGAATCAAGCCCACAACCCGGGCATGTGCCCTTGGCTGAAATCGAACCCGGGACCCTTCAGTCCACAGGTCGACACTCTATCCACTGAACAAAACCAGCCAGGGCGACTTTTCTTTTAGAATTGGTGTTGTCTAAAACAAGGTTTGCAGAAACACTGGCAAATCTCAGGGTGCTTAAGGGTGCTGAAGCCATGCCCAAGAGTAAATGAGGAAAGAACCGCTAGAAGACACAGAGAGGCTTGGGGAGATAAAGATGCTTCTTGTTCAAGACAAGAAGCGAGGCAATAACAGACCAGGCTTGCGTTTTACCCAAGCCCCTCGACGCCGACAGATTCTTTACAGTTACTGGCCTGGGAGAGGAACTCGGCTTTCTCCAAGTCAAGCGCCACAGCAGTGATCTGCCCAGCGACATGCTGCCGAGGAGGGCTCATCTTACCCTGTGGGGGAGGTTCCCTTCCCCATGGGACAAACGAGACAACGCAGAAGAAGCAAGGAAGGTGTAGGTGTTAGGTGGCTGCTGCTTGACTGCTACAGGAATTTCGCTGGCTTTTTCATTACCTTAGTTATGTCCATTAGCTCAGAATCCAGCTGAGAAATTGCATCCTGTACAGAAGAATGATGGGAGTACTGCCTTTGTAGCGTGTCTTGTATCTGGAGTTGGATCCTAGCAACCTAGTTCGGTTCGAAAAAAGGAAGTATTGATTTCACTACGAAAAATCAACAGGAACTCAAAGAAATGACTCCTAGTATCTGACTTCATGTGATAACATTACTGTATTAATGAAGACTTCTACCATAACAGACTAGCAGCTCTACTAAAATCTTCAACATGAAAGATTTCACAGTCTTTACTGCCCACCCACACTGCTCTCCCAGAACTGCAGCCAGACCTCCCAGCCTCCTCGCAAGGTGGTCTGAACATGAGCCTCAGTTCCCTGCGAAGGACACCAGTGAAAATGAAGCATGTCATGTCAGAGCCAAGGTTTTTAAGAGAGTGAATGTGCTTCTTGCATGCTTTCTTCCCTTTCTCCCTCTGACTGAAGAAAAGGTAAAGCCGCAGGTAATAGTAGAGAATAGAACTTGGATCCCAAAATCAACCAGGAAGAAAGCCACTTACCTGTCAACCAGAAAAACCCACTCTGGATTTTTGTGACTGAGAAATAAGCGTTTGTCTTAGGACCATGATACATTTGGGGTCTCTTAGTTAAGGCCGTTTAGCCTACTCTACTCCATGTACCTACTTTTTAGCTTCCAGAATAAATGGCGAATGTGATATAATCTGCTTCATGTTGGAATCGTTGGGGAAAAAACCTTTAGAAGTGCCACAGAGGAAAGTTTTAAACTATAGCAATATCCTGTGACCCAAATGCTGTGTCATTAAAATCTTTTACAATTTACACCTTGGTATGAAAATAAATGAAAAATAAAGGCAGAAGAAACTAAAATTAATAATACTGACTGCTACAGACCTATCGCAAGCTAGGGGAAGAAGAGAGTGAGTAACATGTGACTATGCTGTTCAGTGTGGACAAAGCTGAACCGCCTTCCCCACTTACCTCCATTTTTTCTTCCATTTCATGAAGGAATTCCCCATCAGCAGCTGTGGAGGAGATGGCAGTGGAGCTTTTGGCACTAAGAATGGCTCGAGCAATGTACTCTAGTCGCTGCTGGAGTGAAATTTCTGTGCTGGGGGAAAAACACTGATATTTATTATGTGAATTCTTAAGGTTTCAAAATACAAACACATTAGTCTGATGTACTATTTTAGACCACATGGACATAAAACGCAATCTGAAACTTGAAAAAAATTATTAGAGGATTTCTAATAAGAGAGATCTACAACTGAAGGCAACAAATAAATATTTATGTTTGTATCTGAAGAAGTAACTTCCTATTTTAAAACTTCAGTTCAGGATAGTAAAACTTGAATTCTTCTAGAATTCAATTAAGAATATCCCTTATGCCCTGGCCAGGTGGGTAAGGTGGTTGGAGTATCGTCTCGTACACCAAAAGGTGGCGGGTTCAATTTCCAGTCGGGGCCATACCCAGGTTGCAGGCTGGATCCCAGGTTGGGGCACGTACAGGAGGGAACCAATCGCTGTTTCTCTCTAAAATCAAGAAACATATGCTGGGGCAAGGATTAAAAAATTATATATATATATATATATATATATATATATATATATATCCTATTTTGCTCCTCATAGTCTTCACTTCTTTGCCTTAACATGGCCAAGACTACATTTAATCTTCTATAGAGCTAGAGTGACCACTTAAAAACAAAGAACAGACGTCACATGCTTTTTTAAACCCTCCAAAAGCCTTCTCTGACTCTTCCAACCTCATCTCCTTCCACTTGCTCCCTTGTCTTTTCTATGTCCCCTTCTTGAATTTTAATATTTTCTCTGTTAAAGCAGTGATTAATTTTTGTTGCAAAATATTGAGAAATTCTCTAATTATACATTTACTTCACACACATACACACAATTTTATTGTCTTTTTTTAAAAAATATATTTTATTGATTTTTTTACAGAGAGGAAGGGAGATAGTTAGAAACATCGATGAGAGAGAAACCTCGATCAGCTGCCTCCTGCACACCTCCTACTGGGGATGTGCCCACAACCAAGGTACATGCCCTTAACCAGAATCGAACCTGGAACCTTTCAGTCCCCAGGCCAATGCTCTATCCACTGAGCCAAACTGGTTAGGGCTACATTGTCTTTTGATATAATAATTTAATTAAAAACCCCAATGCTTTCTTAATAGGATTTTGAATATATGTGTTTTTATTGATTTTAGAGAATAACAGGGAGAGGGAGAGAAACACCAATGATGAGAGAGAATCATTGATTGGCATCGACTGCCTCCTGAATGCCCCCTGCTCAGGACCGAGCCAGTAACCCATGCATGTGCCCTGACCAGGAATAGAATCATGACCTCCTGGTTCATGGACTGACGCTCAACCACACAGCCGGGCAACAGTATCCCAGGACCTTTTCAGTAACTTAACTCAATGTCAGAGTCCAGAAAATTAGTCTGGAACTGGTAAAACATTTAACCACTTTAAGAAGTAGTTTTTGTCCTTTTAATTAAGAATAATAATAATTAACTCATTGGCAGGAAGAATCCAAAGACATACTTTAGAGAATTTAGAAGACAGTTCAACAGAAAAGGTCTTAGGTAAAGAGAAAACTTTAGATAAATTCAAATAAAAGCATACAATTCTATAGATGTATAACATGAATGAAGTTTTCTTTAAACTGTGAAATCTAAATGTAACTAGACAGAGCTGGGTTACAACCATGCTTCACAGTGAGGCTACTGCCATACCTGTGCATGTCAGCCAGCTTCGACAGGACACGCGCAGCATTGCTGAAACTCCTGTTCTTCTCGTAGTACCTCCAGAGCAAATCCATGTAACGGACTTTGTTTTGATCAACTTTGGCCATTCGGGAGAGATGTGGCTCCAGAAATGGGGATGTGAACTGGAAATTGTACAGTAACCCAGAGACATTTTCTCATCACCCACTTGCTCTTTACGTAGTAAATATAACATTTAAAGATAACGACAGGTGTTCCTTATTTTATGAATACATAAGCAAAATTATAATCCAACAACAGATAAAAGAGAGGGTGAATTTTTCGCATTATAAATGATTTTTGTTTTATCACAGTTCATGAAAGAGTTGTTATGATAGTTACTTAGGCTGATAAAAAGAATTTACTGTAATCCAATTATAAATCTTTTTTAAAATATATTTTTATTGATTTCAGAGAGGGAGCGGGAGAGAGAGATAGAAACATCAATGATGACAGAGAATCATTGATTGGCTGCCTCCTGCATGCCCCCTATTGGTGATCAAGCCCGCAACCAGGCATGTGCCCTTGAACAGAATCGAACCCGGGACCCTTCAGTCCGTAGATCAGTGCTCTATCCACTGAGCCAAACCAGCAGTGGCCAATTATAAGTCCCCTAATAATCCCTGAGAACACAGCTACTGAGTTCAGATTCTGAGCTAAAAGGCATCCTTGAAATGATGAAATGCCATGTATTCATTTTACAGAATGAGAAGCACAGACTTAGGGTATGATGTCATAGCGACTTAACAGTAGAGCTAAAAGAAAGGTTATGTCTCCTAATTCACAATCCAGTGATTCCCATCCCACCCGAAAATCGGAGCTATGGTCTACTTTACCCACTGGGAAATTAATAATATTGGAATAAAAAACCATTTTTACCTGTAGCAGCTTATCTGTAAGGTCAGCTTGGATTAGCCAATTATAAAGGGCAATACTAAAGAGCTCATCTTTGGATCGTTGACACAATTTAAGCATTTGTTCAAACTAAAAGAAAGAAAGAAAAAATTAGCACGATCAAGGCTCTGGACACCATGAACCCTGAGCTTAACCCCTGGTAAGAAATCGAGAATCCTTCCATGTTCTGAGAGTCACCACCTTTCCCAAGATGGTCAGGCTAGTACTACCACACAGGAGCCTAAACACAGGTGTTCTTAGAATGAAAATGCGCTGTGTCCCTTACGTGGTGTCCCGCTTCTTCGTTGCTCAGCATGTTGGGGTCAGAGGACAGCACCGGAGGCCCGGGCTTCTTGGGCACGCTGGGAGACTGGGGAGCAGCCTTGCTCTGATTCACCAGCTCCTGCAGGGTGTCAGTAATGCACTTGTAGCTGTTCAATCTGAAAAAGGAGCAATTCCATTAATTACACAGTAACTGATTTATCTTCTTTAATTTTAAGTACGCACAAGGATTGAAAGACTATTTTGGAGAATAAATATATGTATATATTTGAAATTAAAATTAATAGAAATCATATACTTTCTTTTTTAAAACATATTTTTATTCATTACAGAGAGGAAAGGAGAGGCAGAGAGACAGAAACATCAATGATGACAGAGAATCATTGATTGGCTGCCTCCTGCATGCTCCCCACTGGGCCCACAACCTGGGCATGTGCCCTTGACCAGAATCAAACCCAGGAGCCTTCAGTCCACAGGTCAATGCTCTATCCACTGAGCCAAACCGGCTAGGGCTCATATACTTTTTCAATAGGTTTGAGAAGCACTTGGTTAAACATAAAAGGGTAAAATCATAAAAATGAATGTATTAACAAAAACCATGTCTTAGACAGAATATGTATTTCTTTTATGGACATACACTTTTTTCTTTTAACAGTCTCTACTAATTTGTGAACATTTAAAAATCATCTTTTACGAAATAAAATACTTCACTCAGAATCAGAAATGGGGTTGGGGAAGAAGCCAGTGTTGTTCCCAAGCAAGTTATCTCGTTTAAAATGGACACTAAATAGCCGAAACTGGTTTGGCTCAGTGGATAGAGCGTCAGCCTGCGGACTAAGGGTCCGGGTTCGATTCCGGTCAAGGGCATGTACCTGGGTTGCGGGCACATCCCCAGTAGGAGATGTGCAGGAGGCAGCTGATCGATGTTTCTTTCTCTCTCATCGATGTTTCTAACTCTCTTTCTCTCTCCCTTCCTCTCTATAAAAAATCAATAAAATATATTAAATAAATAAATAAAAAAAAAATAAAATGGACACTAATAGAGTCTCAGAAAAACCACAGAATAAAACATTTATAAATTCCTAGGAATTTTTACCGGACTAAAATTTTACCCCTAGACAAGGAATTATACTCCTGATTCAGACCTCTGATAAAAGAAGTCATTTTAAAGTGAAAGCATAATACACAAATAAATTAAATGAATAAAGTGAAAGTATAGTTGAATTTTATAAGGGTGGCAGTTGGAATATTGTTTCCCCAATACTATCAGTCAAACGTTCGCAGGTACTAAGACGCGCCTTTCTTGGAAAGCCTGGAGCCCCAGGAGGTCCTCCTCTGGCTCTCCGTGCTTGTAGAAGTGCAGCCCGAGGCCCTGCGGGTCCTTCTTCTCAGCGGCAGTGAGAGAGAGCTCCACCACACCCTCATAGAAGCGCACTGACGGGAAGAAACGGACAAGACGGGCACGTTAGGCTGGACACGCTTTGTTCTCAGCTCCCTCATAAAATGCTGACCAAGATCATTTTGTTTTTATTATACATTTGTCACCCTCGTGACAATATCATACAAAAAAAGGCAGCTATAAGTATATTTTCTTCACTGGAAAAAAATCTTTGTATTTAAAAGATCCAACCAGAGAGTTTCAGTTTCTTGTTGAAAAAAATCCTGGGATTCAAAACAATACCCCTGGCTAAGAGTTCCTACTTTTATGTTAGATTTACTTTTTAAGTAAATTTTAAAGAGAGTAGGAAGGTGATATTTTAAGAATTAATCAAAACTTTTAAGCATCTTAAAATTAAACGTAACCCAGAAAGCAACCTTATACAGATAGTAGTGTAACTGGACAGGGGCTGAAACACCGATGTTAAAAAGTTACATATCGGAAGATATAAAAGAAACTATAGCTTTTTCAGGGGCCAGTGCAGCCACCACAAACTGAGACACAAGGAACGAACTTCCTGCCATCCCTGGGCCAACGAGCTGAAGGAAGACAGGACCTGTCCCCAGGTCAGGTAGGAAGAGCAGTGCGTTTCTCACCTTGTCTGTACTGAGCACAGACATTAGGAAGGTCCACTTGATTGCTGATTTTCTGATACTCCTTTAGTGATTCCCTTAACATTCTTTCCTTTTCAATCTTATTTTGAACTTGTCGGGAATGTTGGAGAAGCTCATTTGCCTGAAGGAGAAATGAGAAGAACTTAAAAAGATATCACATCAAGCATATAGATCAGCCGTGGGCAAACTACAGCCCGCGGGCCGGATCCGGCCCATTTGAAATGAATAAAACTAAAAAAAAAAAAACAAACAAACAAAAAAGACCGTACCCTTTTATGTAATGATGTTTACTTTGAATTTATATTAGTTCACACAAACACTCCATCCATGCTTTTGTTCCGGCCCTCCGGTCCAGTTTAAGAACCCATTGTGGCCCTCGAGTCAAAAAGTTTGCCCACCCCTGATATAGATGATGCTGTCAACATGAGTTTTAGTCTATGTCTAAATTTACATCTGGTTTATTATAATCAATAATAAAAACAACTCTATCAACTTACTTCTTCTTAATTTTAGGCAGAAAAGTTTTTGACCAAAAATATCCTAGCTATTCTTAATTCCTCTGACAAATATGTTAAGCAAGACAGCCTTTTTTTCTGGTAAATCTCTTGTCTAGTCAATACATTATTTGGTCAGCAGGCAGTCCACACGGTACTGATTTTTTAAATTACTTCCACCTGTAGGAAAGGATCAATAAAAATTGCCCAATTAACTCCGATTCATTACAGACTAACTTTAGGTTTTAGAGAATTTCCTTAATTTCTAAGGAGGGGCATATGTAACCATCGTTTTTTAAAATATGGCCTAGAAATACCATCAAAGATTCTTTATGAAAAACTTAAATATAATGGACTTTAAGAAACCAGGTATTCCAACCCCTTTCTTACACAGATGAGGATTCTGAGGCCAGGAGAGGTTCAGAAACCTATCAAAGGTATGAATTAGGCGAAAGAAGGTGGTTCCTGATTCCAATTCTAACATGCTGTTCATCACACCGGGGAGCCACTTCTGTAGGAAGGACTGAAACAGGTACCCGGGCCTCCCACCTTAGAACAGACTGCGTCGTCGGTGCCGTACAGAAGGGGGCAGATGTCCTGCAGGTGCGAGCTGATGCCGTCCACGGCAGCGTTGTCTCTGATGTAGCAGTTGATCAGAGAAGCAATTAATGCCCCGGTCAGCTCTTTGTCCCGGACGACCAGATCTTTAAAGGTGGTGATTTTCAGCTGCTCCTGAAATTCCTAGGAGCATAAAAAGAATCCTTTTTTCTATCCACTACACAAGAATATCATAGTTCCTCATAGAATCAAATTTAATAATTTAACCAAAACATTAACAGACTTCATCATTCAAAAGAGACAATACACAAAAATTACACAAACTAACACATTTTTGAAATTATCATAGAACCATACAGAACTGAGAAAGAACCCACAGTCCGAAACGCTCTTTACCAACGAGGAAAGTAAACCCCGCAGAGCTACAGCCAGAGCCAGAGCCAGGTCTCCTGACTTCAGTCATGACCAGGAAAAACGGTCCATTAGCTACATCAAAAAACTTGGGCTTACGTCTTTTTCCTAAACAAGTTAGCATTCTATTATTCAAGGCTTTCTAGTGTTGGAGTTTAATCTCCTTTTCAACAAATCTGCTTAAAAATGAGTTCCTAATTGTTGAGGTAATTTTTACTACAATAAATTATTGTTTAGTGATTTGCCTCTCACACGTGCCCGACAGGAATTAAACCCCAGACCTTCGGGATGGCACTCCAACCAGCAGAGCCACCTGGCCAGGGCTGATACTTCCTTTTACCTCCCAACAGAACTTATTCTACCTGGTATGGAAAAGTTTTCATAATTATCATACGGGTGTTTTTTTTTTAAAGTATGTATTTAAAAGAAATAAAAGCACCAAACAAAACAACACTTTGGACTTTATTGAAAAGGACGAGGGGAATGACTTTGAAGCATAAGAGAAAATTATTTTGATATAAAATATGTCAGATATTGCCTGGTTGGTGTGGCTCAGTGGTTGAGCATCAACCTATGAACCAGGAGGTCATGGTTCAATTCCTGGTCAGGGCACATGCCCGGTTGGGGGCTTGATGCCCAGGGTAGGGCTTGCAGGAGGCAGCCAATCAACAGTTGGTTCTCCCTCACCATTGATGTTTCCCTCTCCCTCTCCCTCTCCCTTCTTCTCTGAAATCAAAAAACATATAAAAACAAACAAAAAAACAGAGGCTCTGACAAAGTGAATCCATTCTCAATCTTTAGTGCAATCTTCCTATGACATACTAACTTCATCATAACCTAAATGCTTCTGAAATGATCCCCACCAAACCAAAGTGTAAGATTAAAGCTCACTCCAAAGAAAACAAACTGAGCAGAGGATTAACGGAATGGTCTTGCAGGAACAAAAACACCCTACCTTCTGCAGTTCACCTACAATGACCGTGAACTGATGTTCACAAAGAAGTTTCCACAAAGCCAGAGCTTGGTATGATTTCCGGACCAATTGCTGGATCGCCTGAAGTGAAATCTTTTCACTCACTTGAGCCTCTAATTACAAATACAATTAATAAAGTTTTTTCAAACGACATAGGTTGTTTTATTTCAAGTACAGCAATACTTTACCTTAAATAGAAACAACTATTAAGGTGAAATCCTCATTGTTCTTCTCCCTCCCCCATCATAGGCAACCAGGAGCACAAGCTGATTTCATGTTCTCATCCTCTATTATATACATGTGCGTTTGTGTCTGTACACATAAACAATAACAGCACTGCTGCTTTTAAATAATTTATTTACAACATAGCTTTTTCCATCAGTTCTATTTTTGCAAGCTAGCCGTAGCAATAAATATAAATCTAGCATGTTTATTTTAATTGCTGAGTGTTCTATAGTGTAAAGAGGCTACAATTAGGTCCATTGTCCACCTAACATATATTTGTATTTTTTCCAGTTTTCTTACTAGAACTATAGCAATAAATACCTTTAGAAAAGGTCTCCAGGAAAGTGCAGTGAGGTTTTGCTAGGAATGAGTTTCTTAGACCTGGACTAGGAAGCATTGATGAGTCATAAAATCAATTCAGTTAGTCAATATAGGTTTTAATTTTTTCTTAAAGAGGAAATGTAATAAAAAGGGAAAAATTTAGGGTGTGAAATAGGTAGAGTTTTTCCTAAAATTTGTTTCAGTTGCGTGTGTTTGCTTTTAATCACCTGGGTCATAATGTAAAATGTATTTTTTACTGTGAGAAAAAAGTCTGGTAGACTGTTCCAGGATGTACACCTAGAAGGGAAACGGCTGGCTGTGAGTGTATAGGCTTTCTCAGCTTTTACTAGGTATGACCAAATGCTCTACGAAGTGGTCATTTCCACGATTATCACCAGCAATCTGAATGTTCCTGTTTGTGTAAATCTTTAGCAGAATGCGTGCACTGTCAGGCTGAAGGCCTTATTCAAGTACTGAAAAAAAGAACTGACAAAATAGTGAACAGAAAACAAGGGCCAGCACGAAGGAAAGAAAGTACCTCGGGGTGTACTGGCTGGGTCTTCATGAGCAAATATAATAATTGGCTCAAAAAATAGAAGACAAGCCGAAACCAGTTTGGCTCAGTGGATAGAGCGTCGGCCTGTGGACTGAAGGGTCCCAGGTTCGATTCCAGTCAGGGGCATGTACCTGGGTTGTGGACACATCCCCAGTGGGAGATGTGCAGGAGGCAGCTGATCGATGTTTCTCGCTCATCGATGTTTCTAACTCTCTATCTCTCTCCCTTCCTCTCTGTAAAAAATCAATAAAATATTAAAAAAAAATAATAATAGAAGACAAGATAACAAATTAAATCTCAGGCAAAATTTAAGCAATAATTTATTATTTCTCCAATTCATATCTGGAATAATGCAAACTTTTTAATTGCCTTACTCTTTCTTAGTTATTACTATTAAATAGATAGAAACACAACCAAAAACCTGATTCACTTTTTAAAAAAATCCTTACCTGAGGACATGCTTATTGATTTTAGAGAGAGGGGAGGGAGGAAGAGACAATGAGAGAGACATCAATGTGAGAGACAGCTACAGGTTGCCTTCCCATACACACCGACCGGGAATGAGCTTTCAACCGAGGCATGTGCCCTGACCCGAAAAATGGAACCTGAAACCTTTCAGTATAGGGACAACACTCCGACCAACGGAGCCACGCCAGCCAGAGCTTGATTCCCATTTTTAACTCTAAAAGAAGTGTCACTAATCAAATCAAACCACAGTGATACCAGTTCACACCCCTAAGGATGGATATTATTTTAAAAACTGAAAAATAACTGGTGCAATGAAGAGAAACTTCAACCCTTGGTGCCCTGCTGGTGGAAATGTAAAATGGTGCCATTGCTATAGAGAACACTATGTCAGTGCCTCAGAAAACTAAACATAGAATTACCTTATGACCCAGCAATTCCACATCTGGGTATTTAACAAAAGAATTGAAAGCAGGGACTCAAACTTACGTTTGTATACCATGTTCACAGCAGGACTGTTCACAGTACTCAAAAGGTTAAACCAATCCTAGTATCCACTAGGATGGCTGGATAAACAAAAGTGGTATATACACATTGGAATATTATTGTTTTAAATAAAGAAGGGAATTCTGACATGCGAAACAACATGAATAAACTTTGAAGACATTATGCTAAATGAAATAAGCCAATCACAAAAGGATAAATACTGTATCATTCCACTTGCAGGAGGGACCCAGAGTAGTAAGATTCAAGGGACAGAAAAAAAAAAAGAATTGATCGTCAGGGGCTGGGGGCCCTGTAAAGTGGGGAGCTACTGCTTCATGGGGTTCAGTTTCAGTTTGGGAAGATGAAAAAAGTACCACAAATGGACAGTGGTGATGTTTGCACAATGTGAATGTATTAAAAGCCACAATTATACACATAATAGTTAAAATGGTAAATTTATATATCTTACAATAAAAAAACTCATAAAAAAAAAAGGTGTGTATCATGTTTTCTGGAGGAAGGGAAAAAATGTATGGGCTGAAAGTTATGAAAATACATGACATCCATACTGTCCACTTTCCCCAATCACACTGATATTTTAATAAAAAATATGTTACCACAAACAAGATCTTTATTTTCTATTCAACTGATAAAACTCTTTACTAGGGTTGTGTACATTTCAGTGAGCAGAAGCAATAACTTACCATGAAACTTCCTCTGCAGCTCCTGCTGCATCTGCTGGGTGTTCCCATTCTCAGGACGCAGGAATCCGATGAGCCTCTGCGGCACTTTGGCTGCAGTGCTGAAACAGAAACTCCAGAATGTGCATTTGTGTTTCTCACAGCGTTATCGAGATGTAATGCATACACCACATAATTCAGCAGTTTACAGCGTACAATTCATAGGATTGCCCAATTATCACCACAATCTAATTTTAGAACACCCCTGATTAACCATCAATCCCCATTCCCCCTTCTCCCTCCTCTACCCTGAGCAACCATTCGTCTTACCCGCTGTGTCTATGAACTTGTCCTTTCTGAATATTTCATGTAAGTGAACTAGAAAATGTAAATACTTTTCCTCTGTAGATTAGTGACATAGCACTGGCAACTCAATGATATTTTAAACTGAAAGTGTTTGGCTTTTTAAAAAATATATTTTTTAATTGATTTCAGAGAGGAAGGGAGAGGAACACAGAAACATCAATGATGAGAAAGAATCATTGACCGGCTGCCTCCTGCATGCCCCTGGCTGGGGATGGAGCCTGCAGCCCAGGCACGTGCCTTGCCTGGGAATAGAACCGTGACCTCCTGGATCATAGGTTGATGCTCAACCACTGAGCCATGCAGGCTGGGCAACAATTTTGTTTTATTAAAAAATACAAATTAACCAGTATGCAGCTTGACCAGGAGCAGTGAAGAGCCCTTGCTATGGTCTCCAATACCTTTCTCTGCTACAAGAAACCAGGGCTCCCTGCAGAGTGGCTAACTACAGGCCTAGGGCAGGAATTTTACCAAATGAGACCGGAGGCGCTTTCCTACTAGAAAGCAAAGAGGCTGCCAAAGACTATTGTCAGAATGACTCAAGAGCAACCCAGAGAGGCAAAATATGGAACAGTTTTGCATGAAACACCTACAACGGACTGAAATAATAAAACCGTAAGTTGTTACTGTTACTAAATAAAAACCTCAACTGACAGCAGGGGCCGAGATGGAGCAAGCCTGCTGCTGCCTCGCTCACTGACAGTACCCGGAAACCTCGGGCAATATAAGGAGCAACTACTACCTGAGGCAGATCCACAGAGACAGCCAGATTAGTGGCTGCCAGGGACTGGGGGAGGGGAAGGGAGGCGTGATATGGACTAGATGTTGGAGTCCCACCAAATTCCTAAGCTGAAGCCCTAATCCCAAAAGTAATGGTGTTGGGAGGTGGGGCCTTGGGAGCTAATGAGGTTTAGATGAGACCATGAAAATGGAGCCTCATGATGAGATTGGTACCCCCATACGAAGGTACCAGAGAGTTGCTCCCATTTTCTCTCTGCCATGTAAGGACACAGCAAGAAGGCAGCTGCCTGTACACCAGGAAGTGGGTCCTCACCAGAACCTGAATGTGCTGGCACCCCGATCTCAGACTTCCAGCCCAAGAACCGTGAAAAACAAATGTCAGCTGCATAAGCCAGCCCATGGGATTTTTGTTACTCCAGCCTGACTAAGACAGGGAGTGTCTACTAATGGGTATAGGGCTGCTTTCTGGCATGATGAAAATATTCTCGAATCTTAGATAGTGGTGGATGATGATTGCATACCCTTATGACTACACTAAAAACCAATGACCTGTATATTATAGAAGGATGAATTTATAATATGTGAATCATACCTCAGGAGAAAAAAAGAAAAGGAAAAAAAGAATAAATAAATTCCTTTTATTCTTACTTTGGATTTCCTAGTGGTCCTCCCGCAAACTGGGAGTTTCTGTCTAGAAATTCTTGCAAGCCTTTTAGTTCCAGCAGCACTGACTCCAGCATTTGGGCGGGAACACTACTTTCAATCTGTAAGAAAGAATTTTCAAAAGTTTAAAACAGTGAAAAGGCATATACTAGTATATGAAAAACATACACTGTATATCTATAACCAAATGTAAACTTTAATCTTGAAGTACCCTAACTTCATAAGCAGTAAAATTATTTCTTATATCAATTCACTGTTGGTGACCAGAATCAAGGGCTAGGTACCACATCCCTCCCCTCCTACTCTGGTTTGATTGAGATATAATTTACATTCAGTAAAACATTCAAATCTTAAGTGAGTATCTTATTAACTTTTTGCATTTTAATACAGTCACAGCCAGATTACAGTATAAAACATTTCCAACACTCAGGAAAGCTCCCTAATGCCCCCTTATTCATTCCCTCTCCCAGGCAACTACTTTTTTTTTACGTCTATCACTAGAGATTAGTTTAGCCTGTTCTCGAACTTCATATAAATGGAATCATATTCTATAAGTACATGCCATTCTTAGAAATGTGAACTGAAAAAAATTATCAGAATCGAAAAGATATTTGATATCTTTTCATTTAAAAAAGAATAAGTTTAAAGTAAATTGCATTCATATTCCACATCAAAAAAAAATCTTACTATCCAAATTTATGATAATACATAGTTGTATAAGATGCTTTCTCAAAGTAATCTAGAATGTAGGCAAGTACATAGAAATTAGTACTGGGTCCATGACTGGATATATAAACAAAGTATTTAAATACTAGCTTTAAGCAACATTGAGTAGGACTTACTCTAACCCTCACAAAAACCTCATGAGGGAGATATATTATTTTTCTCATTTCACAGAGTGGTATCAGGCTCTGAAATGCTAAGAAATTTACTCATCTGTTAATAAGGGTTAGAGCAGAGACTTAACCCAGGGATTGGACAGTTTATTGGACAAGGACACAAATGTAAAAGAATAACCACTACATCTTGTGTATCACACCAAGAAATGTGCAACACGACAATCATTCATCAATAACAACCTGGTTACATACCAACAATGGACCACACTTACTGCGGTGATCTCTCTGTTGCCACTCTTGAATACTCTTTCCACAACTAAACTAGCATCCCAGATATTTCTACAACAAAAAATGTTTTCATAATTATGCTGCAGATGAACAAAAATAATTACAATATGTAGTAAATTTCTTCTATGTGTTCATTAAAATGTAGTCATGGTTTCATTTAACATTGTACTAAGTTATCTGGAAAGAATGAAAACAGGAAAATTTAAAAAGCTGATATATCTAACTTATTTAACTAAGTCAAAAGGCTCTGGATAATGAGTTGCAAACAAGGAAATGCAAAAACAAATTTATAAAGGGGTTGTGCACTGTAACGAAAGCGTACATCTCAAATCTAAGAAAAATACGTAACAATTAACTAGATAATATGGTAGACTGATTGCAAAAGTGGCTGTTATTCTTGACCCCTCCCTATAGCTATCCCCTTTTCAGTCTAACTTCAATGCTGCTCTCATAATGAGGGTCCATGCCCCACCTTTTGAATCTGGGTTTGCCTGGGTCGGCCAAGTAAATGACGTGGAAATGGTGGTCGGCCGGTGCTGAGCAGAGGCAGAATGAGACTCTGCAAGTCTCTGCTCTCGTGGAACCTGGCTACCACCACGTGAAAATCCCTGGCTGCCTGCTGGAGGACGAGAGGCAGGTGGAGAACAGCCCAGCTGCTCCAGCTGAGGCCACTCCAGACCAGCATACAAACATGACCGTAAGCGTGTGAGATGCTTCTTTCCAATGGGTAAAGAGCTCTCTTCAACCTCACGGCAGTTGCACAACCAAGAGTGAGCCTAGCCATGACCAGAACCATCTAGCTGACTTGCAGGCACACGTCACAGAGTTATGGGGTTTGTTACGCTATGTAGAATATATATACAAATGTATGAACAAATATAGAAACATAGATGGTTAGATAATAAAAGAGTTGCAGCCCTGACTGGTTTGGCTCAGTGGATAGAGCGTCGGCCTGCGGACTGAAGGGTCCCAGGTTCAATTCTGGTCAAGGGCATATACCTTGGTTGCGGGCACATCCCCAGTGGGGGGCGTGCAGGAGGCAGCTCATCGATATTTCTCACCCATTGATGTTTCTAACTCTCTATCCCTCTCCCTTCCTCTCTGTAAGAAATCAATAAAATATATTTAAAAAAAAAAAAAGAGTTGCATAATAGAGAACAATCTTATTAATGGACAAGTGAATTAAACTTTAGGTACAATAGGAATAAAAGAAGTCCCAAATATAGAATTAAAAATATCGCCGAAACCGGTTTGGCTCGGTGGATAGAGCGTCAGCCTGCGGACTAAGGGGTCCCAGGTTCGATTCCGGTCAAGGGCATGTACCTGGGTTGCGGGCACATCCCCAGTGGGAGATGTGCAGGAGGCAGCTGATCGATGTTTCTCTCTCATCGGTGTTTCTGACTCTCTATCTCTCTCCCTTCCTCTCTGTAGAAAATCAATAAAATATATTTTAAAAAAAATATTCAATGACACAAACTAGGCTAAGATGAGCAACTGTCAGGTATTCCATGAGAAACTTACCCCATGATTCGAGCAAAGTAAATGTATATGCCATTGTGCTTTCCGGAGTACACAACCTCTGGCCCAGCCATGTAGCTCATACTTGGGGCCTGAATGGCTGGGTTCCCTGAAGCTGGGGTAGACACGACAGGAGGGTGTACACCTTAACACACATAAGAAAAACAGACCTTAACATCGAACGATAAATATTCAGAATTCTCAACAACCCAAGTCTGCTCTATCTAAACCCATAAGAATAGGCATTTACAAAAATACTGGAATAAACAGATACTTGATTTGTCTTTTTTTTTTTTTTATATATTTTTAAATATATTTTATTGATTTTTTACAGAGAGGAAGGGAGAAAGAGAGTTAGAAACATCAATCAGCTGCCTCCTGCACATCTCCTACTGGGGACATGCCCGCAACTCAGATACATGCCCTTGACCGGAATCGAACCTGGGACCTTTCAGTCTGCAGGCTGACGCTCTATCCACTGAGCCAAACCGGTCCCGGCTACTTGATTTGTCTTGACAGAGGCCTTCCCATCTGGGCAATGCAGGATGGAAAGACAGACAGCTTGCCATCACTGCTCCTTAATGCTGGAAGTGAAACTAACTGTACAGATTTCATGGCTGGTAATTAAATCTTGGTACCCAAATAAGGGGCTTTCCAGGTACTATCGGGTACTGTTCAAGATTTCCTAAGTAAAGGCATTCGCAGCCAAATGCAATAGTTGTTTGGATGTCACTTCTTTTCTTTTATTGATTTTAGAAAGACAGAAAGAGAAAGTGGGGTGTGGTGGGGTGGGGGTGGAGGGAAATTGATTCATTGTTCCACTTCTTTATGCATTCACTGGTTGATTCTTGTACGTGCCCTGAGCAGAGACAGAAACTGTAACCTTGGCGTAATCAGGACGACACTCTAACAACTAAGCTACCCAGCCAGGATCTGCATGTCACTTCTTGGAAGTCACATTATTTTGACAGAAAGGACATTAGTGATAAGACAGAATGCTAGCCCTTCATAAACAACAGTACTGGTAGTAGTGATCTAAAGAAAAGAGGCACCTTGAGCTGGTGTTCCCAAAAAGGAGGGGTTTGGATACTGACCACCACCAGGAAAAGGAGAACCTACAGGAAATAAGAAAATAAAGATTTAGAAAGTAACTCCCCAATTTTTGAATTTGTTCAAAGTTACACACAGAAGTTGTTTCTAAACTGAGAGTGAGGAGTGGCACCGCTCATACTGTGCTCTAGAATCAGGGACTCGACTCATTTCCCAGTGATTTTGAACATCTCTACTTTGGAAAACATTGAGGTGGGAGTTTGCTTATTATTAAATCATTCATTTCCTTCCTTTTGAATAAATAACAAAGGAGTTCTGTAAACACTTTTGGTCACATCTTATTTTGTTCCCTAATATACATTAAGAACTCATTATACCATTACTTTTAAGAGTCGGATATCTTTATAACTATTCACCAATACAGTAGCAGCAAATAAAATATAATGAAAAGCTTTATTAAAGGTTCTACAATTCAGTCTATTGGGAACAGTTTCATTTCAGTGTTTCATACTCACTAGCATAGGCAGGGGAGCCCAAGATGGGACCAACATTACTGGGGGTGGGGAGAGTGGCTGGAAATCTCATTTGTGCTTCACCGCCGTACCTGTCGATAACAACACAGACCGAGTTTATCCAGTGAAACAGTCCACCTTAAAGGCTGGACTTGTTGTAAGGTCTGCTTAGCTTTCAAAATAGAGCTTCAAACACGAGAGACTTTAATATACAGGTATTGTGTTTACAGTGAAATACAGGGTGGAGCAAAAGGTGGTTTACAGTTGTGAGTACAGAGTTTTTCTTGTATTACTTTTGCCCACCCTGTATATACATAAATAAATTTAAAAAATACTTATTTAGTAAAAGTTGACTTGAAATTGTATCAGGAAGTATTATAAGGGACTGCCAATTTCTAATAAAAGGTTAGCAGAGCATAGAATTTACTTAATGAGATACGGCACTGTAATTTTCATACGAGATTATAGTTAGACAGACCTTTAAAAAAATTCTTTTAAACAAGTCACATTTCAAATTCTTATCCTTAGGTAAAAGCTTTCCGAATAAAAGTATCTGTTTGATACCAAGTTTCCTTAGAGTGATTCAAAATCTCAGTGCCAATAAGACCTATGTAGCAGAAGTGCTCAATGGGGAAACAGAAAAGAGAGATGAGATGGTAGCTAAGGTAGAAAGAGGTATAAAAGAAGACCAGACAGAAGAATGGGTAACAACGTACAAACTGCTAATTAATTAGCTGTTTCTATTAGCATTATAATCTTTCCAGGGTTCACCTTTGTGCAAACAAATTTTTGTAACTCAACTATCTGGCAAGCCCTTAAACCATCACATTCACCAATACAGCAACCATTTTAAAAAGTGGCCAAGAACAAGAGAAAACTGGCATATACCTGAAGAAAGCCCGAGCAGCCCACGCTGATACTTCTCTATCACAGGCAGCGGTGGAACAAGCAAGGATAAGGCAAGTTGCACAAGCCTGGTCCTCCTGTTTAAAAAGAGTATCTTCCCTTACATTAAACATAACATGTAAAAAGTGTTGCTTCATGCTGTACCCAGTGTTCAAATCTGTGCCTAGTGTATAGCAGGTCTCAATAAATATTTGCTGACTTAATGAAATCAATTGATATAAAAAAGGAGAAATAAAGAAGTATTGGTTTTAAATTTAGAGTGTATTAGAACTGCTCCCAAATATCAGTACATATGTAGTGGTCAATGTAAAGAAAGATTGGTAAGATTACCTGTTAATTACAGTATTTTTGGTCCTAACATATAAAAATTAGCTATCTTTCCATTATTTAAATTATCATCACAGTAAAAAATAAATAAATAAATAAAAAGTACAAATAATTACCTGATGTAATTTAAAGAATCTTTCAATTTCTTCTCCATCTCCACCCACATTACTCACAAGTAGATGCCTCAGTTGATCTACTGGTCTAAGTTTATGAAACATAAGACTCCCCTATGAAGTTAAAAAAAAAAATAAAAAGAACATGAATACAGGTAATAAATTTACCAAGTTTGATAACAATGGACCCTGTTATCTTATTTAATAAAATCAAGAAACAAACAAAAATACAATACAAAGTAAACCAGTGAAAAAGAGCATCTACATTTCAACTCCCAACCTAAGCTAAATCTATATATCCATAATGAATTTAATAAGAAAACACTGATCTGTCACACACACATCAGTACAGCATGTGCCATTACCATGCGGAAGGCAGCTGTCCTTCTGACTAGAAGGTTACAGTTACATTACCCATTAGTCATGTTGGCACAAGCATGTTCATTTAAGAAAAAAAAAATGAAGCCGGATTCTTATTCATACCTTACATCGGGATCAATTCCAAGCAGATCAAAGATTTAAAGGACAAAATAAAAAATATACTAGCATTAAAAGAAACTATGGGTGAATGCTTTTATGAACCTCAGAGTGGGAAGTTTTTTTCACTATCACATAAACCCTAAAAGATAACCTGAAAATTTCAACTACTTATAAATGTATCAAACTCCTTGATACACAAAGAGTTTTTATAAATTAAATGAAAAAGACAATTCAACAGAAAAGTACGTACAAAATAGAAAGATAGTTCACAGAAAAATGAGCTCTGAAAATGACAGTGGGTCTCACTCTTAACAAGATGGCATACTGTACTGGGACAGGATGCAGGGACACAGGCACTTAGCATTGTGTACGCACACAGGGAAGTCTGGCAACATCCATCCCAATATAAATGCACATACCCTCTGTTGAATTTCTAGGATTTACAAACATTCCTGCCCTAGCCAGATTGGCTCAGTGGATAGAACGGTGGCCTGCGGTCCAAAGTGTCCCAGGTTCAATTCCGGTCAAGGGCACTTGGGTTGCAGGCTTCTCCCCAACCAGGGCCCTGGTCAGGGCTCATTCAGGAGGCAACCAATCGATGTGTTTCTCTCACATCGATGTTTCTCTCTGTCTTTCCCTCTCTCTTCTACTCTCCCTAAAAATCAATGAAAAAATATCCTCGGGTGAGGAGTAAAAAAAAGAGTAAACATTCCCAAGTACTTAAGTAAATGACTACCAAGCAACTATTCCGAATATAAAAACATTAAATATGGCTTCCCTTCTTTTTGTCTTCACCTTAATAGAGTATGTACATACCTGTGCTGAGAGGAGAACAAATTTCTTTGGAGGCAACATGTGCTGCTGTACAACAACTGGTGAGTCAGTTATTGGAATATGATCCTTATTTAAAGGTGTAATTATTTTATCAACTTTCAATTCATCTATTGCAGAAAGAGCCCAGGAATGACCATCGACACGGGTCGTCATCTATATAAAAGAAACAAACTTTTAATATTAATAGTACTAAAGTTAATACTAAGGAAAACCTTTAAAAAGGAAAAGTTATATAGACTTAATCTATAATTAAGTGTAGAATTTAATAAATACATTAACAAATTCTCAAAAGTCTGTGTTAATTTTCTACTGTCTAGTTATTTCAATCAGGCATCTTCTATAATACCAAAGGATAAAGGAAATTTTTCCTGGTAAACTATAAATAGTATTTACTAGAATTACAATTCTTTCCATAACCAAACACTAACTACCTTCCACCATCTTTCCAGGACCGACTGATCTATATGTAGGTTCAGTGCTTACATTGTGCTGACATGTAGATTTCTACTCTCTTCAAAGCTATTTCTTTAAAATAAAATGTTTTAATCTCCTAAAATATTTTTGTTTGTTTGTTTTCTTTTTTCTCCTACAATACTTTTATTATAAAAAATTTCAAGCATCCATATGCCCAGTACCTAGATTCAATAATTGTTAGAATTTTGCCATATCTGCTTTCTCTCTTTTATTAAACCACTTGAAAGTTATGGATATATCACTGCTAAATACTTTTGCATGCATCTCCTAAAAGTAAGGAAGTTTTCTTACATAACCATGATACTATTATAACATTTAAGAATATTAACAATTCTCTGACCTAATGTCCAGCCAATACTGAATTTCCCCATGGTTCCAATGTCTTTTAGAGCTGTTTTTGGGAGATTTGAATTGGGCTAAAGTTTATGAACTACATTTATATTTGTTTGTTTTTGTAACAATCCATACTTGTTTAAGAATCACTCAAGTATTATATAAACGAAAAAGATATAAAGTATTTGCTTAAAAAAATAGCATGCGTTGAGTGCTTCCTATGTACCAGGCAGTGTTCTTAGTGCTACATACATGAATTCATTTAATTCCACAATAATCCCATAGAGTAGGAACTATAACTATTACAGACAAGGAAATTGAGGGCCAGAGACATGTTAAGTCCTTTGAACCATAGCTTCGAGAAAATGGAGCCAGAATGCAAACCTGCAACCACTAACATTGCACTCCTATCAGGAAAAGGTTTACATCTTACTAAGTTCTGAATCCTTCATCTATCACAGGATGAAACACAGTAGGTGCTCAGTAAAGTCCAAAGGATAAAAGAAAGAAGTTGAGAAAGGTGCTCCTTGACCCCAAACCAACCTTCTGCTCCTACCAGGAGTAGAAACTTGGTCCAGGCCAGAAACTTGGAGAAGCCGTTACAAACCATGAACCCATCCTGGGGTTTGGGTTCTTCCTCCTCCCATCTACACACCTTTTCCCACTGCTCTGATCAAAAGGGCTTAAGCTGGAGGACAACCAGGAAGCAGCAGTGACAGCTGGAACCAAAATGCCCATATTCACACCCCAGTGGGAGTTGGTTTATCTGTTTGATCAGCACCCTCTGGGGCAGGCAACATGGACTGTGCTAGGGCATCTAGGAGGACAGATGGGATAGGGGACAGGAAGGGAAGGGAAGGGAGTGGATGGCTTCCCCGGGCCACACCCCTAGCAGGGTCGCCTCCTCACTCAGAGCCTGGACATCGAACTCATGGAGTACGTGGTGGTATTTGCTTTTAAAACACAAGTGTGTGTGTGTGTGTGTGTGTGTGTGTGTGTGTGTGTGTGTGTACGTTTGGTTATGCAGGAAAGAGAGAAAACAAGATGGGGAAAACGTTGGTAATTTGCTAATGGGGGTTCAAGTTACCATTTTCTCTATTCTTGTGCACGTTTGCAAATTTCTATAATAAAATTTTTTTTTTAGTTTAGGAAGGACTATAAATTAGATTAGTATAAATTCCTAAGTCATAACTATAATGGATGGCCTCATGTTAACTAAAAATACATTTAAATGGGGCAAAGATAATTCAGAAAAGATATATGCACTTTTGGGTTCACTATAAAAAATATACTACAAGGGTTTCAAAGTTTAAAGATATTTTTAATGATTACTATGACTTCTAACTTCACAAAAAACAAAGAATTAACAGGATACATTTTCCCCCCATTATGATTTCTAATCATGAGATTGTTAGATGCAAACAGTAATAAATCAAAAGGTGAAATTTCTTACAATTTTATTCTTCACTTAAAATTACATAAAAAATGCCGAAACCGGTTTGGCTCGGTGGATAGAGCGTCGGCTTGCGGACTGAAAGGTCCCAGGTTCGATTCCGGTCAAGGGCATGTACCTGGGTTGCGGGCACATCCCCAGTAGGAGATGTGCAGGAGGCAGCTGATCGATGTTCCTCTCTCATCGATGTTTCTAACTCTCTATCTCTCTCCCTTCCTCTCTGTAAAAAATCAATAAAATAAAAAAAAATAAAAAAAAAAAATTACATAAAAAACTCTTTACAATTCTCAAGATAACTTACCTGGGTTTCCATCATTGGCTTTTGGAAAGGAAATGTATCATGGCTGACACACCACAAAATGTCATTATCTTCATTTTCTGAGGCTGCCATCAATAGAATTCCTAAAAGTTTAATACACAAAACCTTATGATGCCAAATAATATGCATCCTAAATAATCTTAGCAATGAACATTAATATACATACATCATTAATCATTAAAGGTAAGTAAGTTACAAAAATAAAAATAAATCCCCTAAAACAGTGGTTCTCAACCTTCCTAATGCCGTGGACCCTTTAATACAGTTCCTCATGTTGTGGTGACCCCCAACCATAAAATTATTTTCGTTGTTATTTCATAACTGTAATTTTGCTACTGTTATGAATCGTCATGTAAATATCTGATATGCAGGATGTATTTTCATTGTTACAAATTGAACATAATTAAAGCATAGTGATTAATCACAAAAACAGTATGTAATTATATATGTGTTTTCTGATGGTTAAGCGACCCCTGTGAAAGTCGTTCAACCCCCAAAGGGGTCGCGACCCACAGGTTGATAACCACTGCTCTAAAAGAACTTATAATTATTGGTAGGATCATTAAATGTTCCAGATCTTCTACTTTACTTTTTTCAAGTAAACACTTACTTTTTTCCAGACTTTGACATTTTTAAAGTTAGAATATATTCTGCCATCAATGGATTTATCAGTTTAATTACCAATTTTGAAAACATAAATTCTGTGACTTACAATCAAATATTCAATGAAATGCAGTTCATATACTGGTTAACTGAAACATATCAATAATAAAGATGAAGCTCCCAGTGGACGGCAGAGATAGATAATTTTTAAATATATTCTCTTGTGCTCAATTCCAGCTCCTCCCACTAATTTGCTCCCTTTATAGTGACCTTAGAGATATCAGTCTTTTTTTTTTTTTAAATATATTTTATTGATTTTCCACAGAGAGGAAGGGAGAGGGATAGAGAGAAACATCAATTAGAGAGAAACATCTCTTAGCTGCCTCCTGCACACCTCCTACTGGGGATGTGCCCGCAACCAAGGTACATGCCCTTGACCAGAATCTAACCTGGGACCCTTCAGTCCGCAGGCCGACGCTCTATCACTGAGCCAAACCGGTTAGGGTGAGATATCAGTCTTAAGTTCATTGGATGGTGATAGTTAATGGGACCATAATTAATTAAAATGTATAACCAGTTTGTGAAAAACTGAGAGTAATTTAATTTAAAGTGGTAGAAAAAGATTTCTTAAAATTTATTATACTTACCAATTGAAAATGCTTAAAATATGATGTTAACATTAAAAAAAGTTCCTGAATAAGAAATCAAAACATTCTAAATTTTATTGAAAAATCTTTATTTTCAAATGCTTCAGTGCATCCTAATTATAATAATTTTAAGCACCCAATCTTCAATATGGTAGTGTTTTAGAACTTACCTTTACTATAGAGAGCTTTATGTACTTTTGAAGGCTTTTCCACTGTGGAAGATGCTGAGAACCCAGGAGGTAAGCGGACATGAACCAGTGTCAATGTATTAGGTCGTGCTAATGGCTGTCTGAATGGGCAGGTGCTGAAATATAACCTTACACCTGATGATGGGTAAAATTATATATCAGTAACAGGAAATAAAAGGTACATATGTATTGTTATTAACCCAATTCCAAAGAGAAACAGAGAACTCTGTTAAAGCCACACAGCACTTTCCTGACTGATCTTAAGCTACCAGGCTACTACAGGAGAAGTGGGTTTCCATGGCAATATCACTTGACATTGAGAGGTGGATCAACAAATCTCAGCAGGAAGCGCCTGCCACTCTAAGTGCTCCGTCCCTGACTGTTGGCCACCTTAGCTTCCAGCTGGTTTTACATCTATACAATGAGCAAACAGAACCGGGGAGTCCTCCAATTTTCCAAACCCTTAATTTTATAAATCATTAACGTGGCTTTATAGTTGATACAGAAGAAAAATTTCTCTCATATTTCTAATCACAGATATCCAATTCTGAGGGTTATTAAATTACAAAAGCAATAACAAACATATAAATAAAAACTTACCGGCATGTGTGACAGCCAATAACTGACAGTCCAATGACTCAGAGTTTTCAATCACTGCTATTTGAACAATTGGTTTAAAAACAGAACGATCTATAGTCCTACAAGAAAGAAAAAAAACCACACTAGTATATTTTTAAAATGTGTCTACCAAATTATAAGGAACATTTTCCACCAGCAATTTTACAAGTCAAAATATACAGGAAAGTAACACAACAGCAGCAAGAACTGGCAAATCCCTTGAATGTGTGTTGTTTACATTAGTTAATATTGTTAAGAGTAACCTTTTTTCAAAGACATAAAAGAAGGCTAATGGGGAACAAGATGTTCTCAGAGCATCAAATTAGCATTGTAAAAGTTACCGCTAATTAAAAAGGGGAAAAAATGAACCTTTAAATGAAGAGATCTAGTGAATACCATCTTAACCAACTCTTCAAGAATGGAAACTGGTGGTATGCCTCCTGATGTAATGCTATAAGAAATTCACATTACCTATGTAATATTAGCTAAAGAAAAATTACCTTTAATCTAGTACGGAAAAAAAGACAAATTCAGAAAACTCCTGCCCCTCCCTCCCAAATGTGAACATTTTGAAAGAATTGTAATGGAAGTTCTGTTCTATATTAAAAAGATTAATGACCAATTTGATTCATGAGCTCTGACTGAACCTGGAGAAAAACAGGAAGAAAAAAATAGCTATAGAGAGCTTTGGGAATCAGTGAGTAGTTTAATATGAACTATCTATCTATACAAAAGGCCAAGTGACCGGCTGACTGGCCAACAGCTGTGATACCCACTGACCAGGCGGCAGACGCTCAACAGAGGAGCTGCCGAGCGACAGCACCGCTGCAGAGTGTCTTCTCGCACTCTGGGACCCTTCGGGGGATGTCAGAGAGACGGTTTCAGCCTGATCCCCGCAGGCCAGGCCGAGGGACCTCCCTCGCTCACTCCACAGACGCCCTTCGAGCCCCAGTACCGCCCCAGGTGTGGCCGACCAGGGAGGGACAACGGGAGGCTGGCTCCAAGGCATGTCCAGCCCATCTCACGCAGTCCTGCCCCCCAGGCCACCTTCTAATTACTTTTTAAAAAATATATATTTTATTGATTTTTTACAGAGAGGAAGGGAGAGGGATAGAGAGTTAGAAACATCGATGAGAGAGAAACATTGATCAGCTGCCTCCTGCACCCCCTCCCACTGGGTATGTGCCCGCAACCAAGGTACATGCCCTTGACCGGAATCGAACCCAGGACCTCTCAGTCCGCAGGCCGACGTTCCATCCACTGAGCCAAACCGGTCAGGGCTCTAATTACTTTTAATGTGCACAAATCTGTGCACCAGGCCTCTAGTATAATTACATTAATTTTTAGGTGTGGAATTGATATTGTAGCTAGGAGATAGGAGATGAAGGATTTAAAGATAAAAGTAATGATTTCTGCAACTGACTTTTCAAATGGCTCATAGAGTGAGCAACCGAGGCAAACTGTTAATTGGTGAATTTAGATCCAGGGTATACCAGTTTTATGGCCTTCAACATTCCTATTTTAGAGATACTTTGAGACGTAATTTTAGTATGCTGCACATAAATAGTATAATTGTGCCTGCAAATGAAATGTCTGACAATAAGTTATATATCACCTCGCAATGTTTCCAGCAGCAGAGACTATAGAATTCTGCGACACTGAGGCAACTCTGCTCATTCCTTGTCCATCGCTGCCCAAATCATAAACCTGTAAACAAAAATTGTACCCATGACTATAACCTGTATACATTTTATTTAATAATTTTTTCACTTTTTAATGCTTTACTCATTAATTTAAAAAAATATACTTTTAGCCCAGCCAGCATGGCATAGTGGTTGAGCGTCAACCTCTGAACCAGGAGGTCACGGTTCAATTCCTGGTAGAGGCACATGGACCGGGTTGTGGGCTCAATCTCCATCCCCAGAAAGGAGCGTGCAGGAGGCAGTCAATCAATGATGTTTCTCTCTCTTTGATGTTTCTATCTCTCTATCCCTCTCCCTTCCTCTCTCTCAAAAAATCAACAAAACAAATTACAAAAAAATATATACTTTTAACATACACCATATAGCATCAGTCATCAGGTCAAGCATTCAGCTGGTTTCCTTAGTTTCTGCCAGGAGTTATTTTATCTGATCACATTTATAAGAAAGACTCTCACCCCACTTGGCATTTATATACACTGTGCCAGTGAGTTCACACTACTGAGGTACATGTAAAATCCACATGGTATGTGCCCATTGGAGACAAAACAGTGCACACCTGTCAAAAGGTCAACTTAATAGAAGAGGGTAAAACACACATAAACTTTTTCAGTAAGTAGAATCCTATCTGGTCATCTGTTGCATAAATTGTTTTCAAAGGTTACGACAGTGCCCTGGCTGGTTTGGCTCAGTGGATAGAGCATCAGCCTGCAGACTGAGGGGTCCCAGGTTCGATTCCGGCCAGGGGCATGTGCCTTGGTTGCGGGCACATCCCCAGTGGGAGGTGTGCAGGAGGCAGCTGATCGGTGTTTCTCTCTCATCGATGTTTCTAACTCTCTATCCCTCTCTCTTCCTCTCTGTAAAAAAATCAATAAAATATATATATATATTTTTTAAAAAAAGGTTATGACAGAGCAGGCAGGCCTCAGCACTGCTGGACACCCATGTTGGCTACTTTATTATTGCAGACTGTCCTTCCACATTAAATGCACAATGTTCCTACCACTTAAAACTGAGTCAGGTGGAAGTCTCAGACTTCTGTACCGCGCTTGTCCTGAAACAGTTAAATCAGCTTTTAAAGCCTCTCAGATATGTTTTAAAACATACTTCATGGAATGTTCTTCATGTATCACAGCAGCTCATACCTGTGATAGAACAAGCTTTCAGTTTTTCCTTTCTTCTTTTACATTCACTATTAACAGACAAAACAGGCGCCATGCTTTTTCTTTTCTGTGTGTTTTTTCAGGCTTCTGAGGTTGCTGACTGCGCCACAGCACAGCTGTGTACTACAGGTTGAAATTTGACATTAAATATTACAAATCTAGCAGAATCTGGCTGGCCCCTGCCAGCGTGTGGGCACTTCTTCGGTTAAATCTATTCTTTGGCAGCTGACATGCGCACTGACAGAAAAATTCAGTGACTTGTTGCTAGAGATATCACGACTAATGTTTGTTTGTAAGCATGTGTGTTTACTATTCTTTCTAGTTTCTTTTAGGAGGTTTTACCATGTAATATAGTTTCTTTCTTCCTCCAATATTTGAAATCTGGGCTTAAAATCTAAGCCTAGTACTATACAAAATTCAGAATGGTAATTGGTGAAATCATTTTTTCAAATTTGTACTGTTGACACTATAACAGATGTCCCAGATTCCCCCCCTTTGCACTCCCTCCACCCAGCCCCCGCTGCCCTCTGTCCATCATCGCACTGTTGTCTGTGCCCATGGGTTATGCATAAATGTTCTTTGGCCAATCCCTTCGTCTTCTTTCATCTAGTCACACCACTCCCTGCCCCACTGACAGCTGTACCCTTGCCTCTGTTTCTATTTTGTATGTCAGTTGTTATTTTTTTTTACAACTTTATTAAATAGATTTTTCCATTTTGGGGATCCTTTACCTTTGGCACTTCATACAGGTTTGGAAACATTCACAGATTTGAAATTTCACTAAAAAGTGGTCTGGATTTTTTTTTTTTTAAATCACACAGTTCATAGGAAAAGTGTAAAGAGCGACTAAATCATCTTCTTTAAAAACAGGGATGCTAGGCCCTGGCCGGGTAGTTCAGTTGGTTAGAGCGTCATCCTGATACACCAAGGTTGCTGGCTGCATCTCCAGCAGGGCACATACAAGAAGCAACCAATGAATGCATAAATAAGTGGAACAACAAATCAATGTCTCTCTCCCTCTCTCTTTCTCTAAAAATTAATAAACAAAACAAAAAAGGGAGGCTTATTCCCACCTTAAATGGTAGTATAATATTAACATTTACCTGTATTACTCCTTTCTCAGATCGTGTGTATAAAATGTTTCTAGAATTATCAATTTCAATTTGAACAATAGGATCTGAAAGACACACAAATAAAACCCCTCAAAGATTAACAAATCAAATACAGTAAGTAGCCACTTAAATTAAAATTATGAAATTAGAACTTTGCATTCAGAGGCTTTCCTCTTGCTTTGTAAAAGCAGTCGTCAAATACTGTGACTGGGTTAAGAGCATGAAAAGTAAGTTGTTCTATCTAAATAAATGTTAAACTAAACCCAAAACAAGTTCTATGTTATTTCTTCATTTAGCTAACATTTAATGAGTGTTTGCTATATGCTAGGAACACATGAAACAACTGTTCCTCAGTCCATTCCATCAAGAAACTGCCAGTTTAGTTTGATGATTCACTGTGTGAAGGGCAATAATTTATTTTAGTCATAAAAACTTTTTACCTTATTTCACTGAAGCATTTTAAAATTATTTCACTGGCCTCTATTTTTATTAAAAACTCATATATATTCATTTTGTGCCAGAACTTGTTCTAGACCAGGCAAAACATATTAGATGTGTGACTGTCTAGCTCTCACACAAACACCCACATGCTTTGCTTTTAACAGCTTATGTACAACTGTTGTAGAACATGTTCCGTGATGCTACATTATAGGAACCTGGGAATACACCCACACTGTTTCCATGTTTTATAATCCCCTCTTCCTTCAGGAGACCTTGTGAAGCCTGGGCCAGTAACCCAGTTGGTAGGAGCATCGTCTCCTATGCCAAATGTTACAGGTTCGATTACTGTTCAGGGCTATACGTAGGTTTAGAGTTTAATACCCAATCAATTCCTGGTTGGGGTGCATACGGGAGGTAACTGATTGATGTTTCTCTCTCTTTCTCCCCCCCCCCCTCCTCTCCCTCAAAACATCAATAAAAACAGATTCTCAGGTGAAGATTTAAAAAAAAGAGAGATTTTATGGATATATAACAAATGTATTTAGTAAGACAAAATTTCAATTAAGAATGAGAATTTCTTAAGAAATGTTAGGTCACTGATCTGCTAAAAATTTTTGACAAGTTTATTTGTTTTCTACTTACCATCTTCTGAGAATGTGAATTGTAGCAATGAAGGAACAAGAAAAGAAAGTGAGCTCTTTGAGTGGTTGATTTTCCTACATCTTTGGCTAAACCAACCTGCTTCTGCCTTAAAAGAAAAAATTGAGAGAAGACTCATAAATGAGGATACCTCCGTCATAGCAACTATTACATACCCACGTTTACAAAAGCCTCAGATCTTAGTGAAATACCAATAATTGTAAATGAAGACATACTACTCAAAAGTGGCACTGAGTTTAGTCCTGTAATTAGAAATAGAACATGTAGTTAGCTATAACTAAATTACTGCCCTCAATGAAATCTATGTCTATTCCAGAAACCTCAATAGTGCTATGCTAGTGAACTCACATTTTAATTCTCTTAAAAACTATCTGGGACTTCGATTTCTGGGGAGAACCAAGATGGCGGCATAGGTTAACGCTGGAGTTTGCTGCCTCGAACAACCACTTCAAAAATACAACTAAAAGACGGAACGGACATCACCCAGAACCACAGGAACGCTGGCTGAGTGGACGTCCTACAACTAGGAGGAAAGAGAAACGCATACGGACACTCAGAGGAGGCGCAGTGCTGAAGTCAAATACTGAGGTGCGGAGTGCGTGGAGCGGGCTGGCGGCGGAGGGCGCGGTTGGCGTTTTCAATCGGGAGGGAGTCGCAGACTCTGAGCTCCAGATCCGGGCGAGTCCTTAGGGACCCAGACTCAAACGGGAGAAGCGGGACTGTCTGGCTTTGGTCGGAACTCGAAGGCAGCTTTCTCTCCGAGGTTTGCAGCGGTTGCTGGGACTCAGAGAGGCAGAGCCCCTGGGGACAGGACTGAGAGCCGCCATAACTGCTCGCTCCGGCCCACCCAGTTGATCCTGTGTGACTTGCCCCGCCCAAGCCCTGCACAGAGGCATTTGCCGGATAGCCTCAGGCAAAGGCTAGATTAGCGCCTCCCTAGAGGACAGAAGTTCTCTCACTGCAGACACAGCTGATTCTCACAGCCAGTTGGCCTGGAGGTCAAATCCCCACCAGTATTACCTACAACAATCTAGGCTTAACTACAACAAGACTGCGCATAAAGACCACTAGGGGTTGCACCAAGAAAGCATAAAAAATGCGGAGACAAAGAAACAGGATGCAGATGTCAGAAATGGAAGATATAGAGCTCAAAACCACACTTTTAAGGTCTTTCAATAATTTTCTAAAAACTGCCGATAAATGTAGTGAGATCCTCAAGAAATCTAATGAGACCCTCGATGTTGTGATAAGGAACCAACTAGAAATTAAGCATACACTGACTGAAATAAAGAATACTATACAGACTCCCAACAGCAGACCAGAGGAGCACAAGAATCAAGTCAAAGAATTGAAATGTGAAGAAACAAAAAACACCCAACCGGAAAAGCAAAATGAAAAAAGAATCCGAAAATATGAAGATAGTGTAAGGAGCCTCTGGGACAGCTTCAAGCATACCAACATCAGACTTATAGGGGTGCCAGAAGATGAGAGAGAGCAAGATATTGAAAACCTATTTGAAGAACTAATGACAGAAAACTTCTCCCACCTGGTGAAAGAAATAGACTTACAGGTCCAGGAAGCGCAGAGAACCCCAAACAAAAGGAATCCAAAGAGGACCACACCAAGACACATCATAATTAAAATGCCAAGAGCAAAAGACAAAGAGAGAATCCTAAAAGCAGCAAGAGAAAGAAAATCAGTTACCTACAAGGGAGTACCCATACGACTGTCAGCTGATTTCTCAACAGAAACTTTGCAGGCCAGAAGGGAGTGGCAAGAAATATTCAAAGTGATGAGTACCAAGAACCTACAACCAAGATTACTTTATCCAGCAAAGCTATCATTCAGAATTGAAGGTCAGATAAAGAGCTTCACAGATAAGGAAAAGCTAAAGGAGTTCATCACCACCAAACCAGGATTATATGAAATGCTGAAAGGTATCCTTTAAGAAGAGGAAGAAGAAGAAAAAGGTAAAGATACAAATTATGAACAAATACGCATCTATCAACAAGTGAATCTAAGAATCAAGTGAATGAATAATCTGATGAACAGAATGAACTGTTGATTATAATAGAATCAGGGACATAGAAAGGGAATGGACTGACTATTCTTCAGGGGGAAAGGGGTGTGGGAGATGCGGGAAGAGACTGGACAAAAATCGTGCACCTATGGATGAGGACAGTGGGTGGGGAGTGAGGGCGGAGAGTGGGGTAGGAACTGGAAGGAGGGGAGTTATGGGGGGGAAAAAGAGGAATAAATGTAATAATCTGAACAATAAAGATTTAATTAAAAAAAAAAAAACTATCTGGAAGTATAGAGAACATAATAAGCAGAGTTTGTAAGTGCCCAAATACATAGGGTCGATATCATCGTATCCCACTTCTGCTTAAAGGAAATTTTAACAAGAGCAGCCACCACCATCATAATCTATAATCTACTTTTCAATGGTTGAGTTTTGCCATACAAAACCATTTCCTGGTAATGAACAAAGCTAAGAGAAACTGGGCAAGAAAGAGGTATAATGTAATATTAAAAGCACACCTGATCTGAGTTCTAACCCTAGTTCTGCCACTAATTAGATTGAAAATATTACTTTATAAGTTTTCTAAGGTTTACCTTATGCAAAAGGCAACAGGAGGGAGAAGATGAACGAGAAAAGGACACAAAAAGGCATTTCAGAATAGAAAAAACATAAATGACCAATAAATACATGAAAAGATTTGATAATCTCATTCATAAAAAGAATAATTTCCCTCCATTAGATTGGCCAAAATTGTTGGACAATACCAGTGTCAGTGAGAATGGGTGTAGGTGGAATACATTCATAGAAGTCTGTTAAGAGTCTAAAATTTTTATAGGGCAGTATGAAAATATTAAATACAATTTTAAATGCAAATACATCATAATCCCACTACTAGAATTCTAAGATTCTACACACAAAAATCTATTTGTGCACAAGGAGACCTACAAAAGAACACTTACTGACACTTTATTTGTGAAAAGAAAAGCAGAAAATCTAGACATCCATCATGGAAGCAATTGCTAAGTATACCACGTATAACCGTTTCATGGATAACTATGCATCAATCACCAAACATAACATGTATCTATCCACCAGACACCAACAAGACTTTGAAGACACAGTGAAGTGAAAAGCCAATTATGTAACAAAACAATAATTCAAGTAAAAACATACACACACAAAAATACACTATGTATTTTTATATGTGTATATACACATGAACACACATATAGACATTTATAGATACTTATCAATGAATGTATCATGTTCTCAACAGACATACTCAGAACTGATCATCATGGCTTTTACCTCTGGAAAGAGGACTGGGTTTTGTAGGTATGGTGTAGTCACGCAAGACTATGGATTTAACTGTATGGATGAATACTTTCTACAAGAATATATTCATGTTCTTATATAATTACAAATTAAAAACAAAATCCACCCCTACTTCATCCAAAGGGAGAAAAAAATGTCTATAAATGCCAGGCTTACCTGGTATGCTACTTCATATAAACAGCCGTCCTTTCCAGCCAAGAAAATTCTGCCATTATCAGTGGAAGTTATTGTTAAAAGGTAAGTATTATCAGTGGGAAGAGAATACAAAGGATCTGGAAGCAACTGCATTCCACCACACATACTGTCATTAAGAACTCCAGGACCTATTTTGTTTTAAAAGAAAAAATACAGGAATCACTTTATCCGCTTTTTAGCTATTTGAAAACAGTCACTGAATTATCTTTAGAACTGAAATATTTACTGCATTCTTACTGATATACTTAAAAGCTTCTATGACATACATTTTTAAAGTACTATAAAAAGTCTGATACAATGATTCAAGTGAAATAGAACCTATAGCATATAATTATAACACATAGCATTATAACACATCAATAAAAAAACTAAACCAATTATTACATTTTGGAAAAGAGTCTAAGAATGTGGCAGCAATAAAATTTGAGTCACTGATTCAACATTGTTTCACCCAAAACAATGAAAAAGAAACCACTGAATGAGCTTGTAATAAATTGAGAGCTTCTTACCTCAAGGTAAAGAATAGTGCCTTATATTTCAGTGTTTCATGTTAAAATGGCCATTCAATGAATCAGAAATGAAGACATTGAAGGCATTATTGAAAATCTCACTAGCACAGACTATTCTTCTTCTACTGCCCTCCGTTTATATTGTATATTTAAAATGTGCACATTAATATGGTAAATACATCCAAAATACTTTGTGGAGCTACTATCCTGAAATAAGCCATATTTATAGGGAAATATGATTTTTCGGTTAGCAAATAGCACAGAAAGTTAAATTAATGAATTGGTTTTTAATTATAACATTAAATTCACCAACATATTTTTATTTTAAAAAACACAGTATGTGGGTGGCTATACCTGTTTGCAAATTAGCATAGCTGAGTCCAAGAATCACTATATCCACAGGGGTTGCCAAAACCAGGAGATGTCGTATATGAGGTTGAAAGATGCCTAAGATAAAGTAGACATGGGTTTGGGATTATTTTCCCCACCAAAATCCAGTATGGAAGCATTTATAGAATAAGGTTTTGCCATTACAATGCGCTAGTTATTAAATAGTATATGAAAAGTCTGCACCCACTTTAGTTCACTTTGTTGTAAAAATATTACTACCTATGACCACTTAAAAAGTAAATAGTGCCGAGGCCGGTTTGGCTCAGTGGATAGAGCGTCGGCCTGCGGACTGGGGGGTCCCGGGTTCGATTCTGGTCAAGGGCATGTACCTTGGTTGCAGGCACATCCCCAGTAGGGAGTGTGCAGGAGGCAGCTGATCAATGTTTCTCTCATCGATGTTTCTAACTCTCTATCCTTCTCCTTCTCCCTTCCTGTCTGTAAAAAAAATCAATAAAATTTTTTTTTTTTTTTAAAAAGGAAATTCTGGCATACTACAACAGGGATAAACCTTGAAGGCATCATGCGAAGTGAAATAAACCAGTGGCAAAATGATAAAGAGTATATAATTCCACTTGTATCAGGTACCTGGAGTAGTCAAATTCATAGAAACAGAAATGAGTTTATATGTCAATGGGTTTCCCAAGTGAGATTATATATCAAAACCAGATAATTTACAGTAACACAGGGGACATTCCTAAGTACAACTTTTTTTGGTTAATGCTTGCTAAGGTATTGTTTAACTTGAGAAGTGTGGCATGGCATGAGATGCTATGCATAAGTGTCACTGTAATTATGTTATGATGTCCAAAAATAGTGTCCCACTGATAGGAATAAAATGAATATCTTATGTTATGATTATGGGCAACTCTTTATACATATGCATTTAGCCTACCTAAGGGGGTTAAATGTCATATAAAATACAATAAAGCTAATTTCATGACTTGGTTTTACTTTCACTAATGAATATCAAGGGGCTTAAAAGCCAGTTTTGTGTATCAAGATTCAAGACCATGAAGCTGAAGGCACAGAAGTCCTATGTTCTACTTTAATGACCTCAAAGTTAATGACTTTAACATATGTTTGAGAGTCAGAATTTTCAGGATTTATTGACAGCAAAGTCAGAATTGTTTAATTATCAAAGATGACACCTTTGCTGCCAAATCAAAGACTACATCATAATTTCAATTTTGCGATGAAATTTCTATTTAAGTAAAACAAAATCTTACTATTTATTTTAGATGGACAATTGATATTTATTAAATAGGGGGCAGGAACAGCTATTGACATTTATATTAATAATTTTTAAATGCAGAGATACACATATCTGGGTAAAGAATGCTTTTGAGTTTTATGTAAAAAAATACATTTCCAAAGTAATCATCTAAAAATTGCATAAAACTGCATTTGTTCTTAGGTGAATTACTGTAATCTCAAAACTTCTGTGACCTTAGAACAGTTTTATTTAGGCCTTGCAAACAAGTTAATTTTGTCTACTATTCCTTTTGTAGGAAGGTGCATTCAAGAGATGCATGTTAAATTTCAATCAATCAATTCTGCTTGGCAATAGCTCTGATAAAAGATCTGCCATAATGAGATTATAAGTTAAACAATGCTTGTGACTTATCTAAGATTTATTCGGAACTCTGTTCTTACTTTTCTGGGCTACCACTACTAGAGAAATGCAGAGACAAAAATGGTTTTTATAGTAAGTAATGAAAAATGTACAATGCAAAAAAGTCAGGTAAATCAAGAGTAACAAATGGTAAGCAAGGTCAAATTCAAGAACTATAATTTAATAACTTTAGAGGCAGACTCATTTATGCTATCATAAAGTAAATAAACCGTTAACTATTCCTAATTACTTTATTTCTAACTAGAGGCCCAGTGCCTGAAATTCATGCAAGGTAGGGTTTCTAGCAGCTGCTGGCTGCTGTCCAGGGCCTTCCTTCATGCTGCGCCACCCCCTGGTGGCCTGCACACATCATAGCAAGTGATGGAAGTCCTGAGGGGACACTTTGCATATTAGGCTTTTATATATATAGAAGATAGATAAGAATTTGGAAAAAATTTCAATAGGAAATTCACCGACTTAAAATGTGTTGTCACTTAATCCTAAAGTATTTGAAGTCTGTGTGTATACAAACATAACTTTAATCCTTGTTCTTTATTTCTTACCAGCTTTTGGTTTCACAAGCCCCACAGCAAGAATAGTTTCACTAAGTCCATCAAAATAGGCAAGGTCTCCTCTGTCGATAGTTGGAAGAAAAACATGTTATACAGAACATAATGGAAAATAAATGAGCAAACAAACTGTTTCAGTTCCAAGACCCAGGCACAGAGGCCTGCCTAAGGCTACACAGATACCAGGAAAACAGGAATGGATTTCCCCATTCCAAACAATCCACCCAAGTTGTAGGTCTCTAACAGCAATCTACTGTAGGGGCAGAGATAGGAGTGTAGAGAGGACCAAAAAGCCATGAGTGAGATCACTAGATCAACAAACTACACAAAAATCCTTGGGCCTTCACTCAGACTCTATTACATACGTTTAATTTACACACAGGTCAAGCACAGAACCATAAAAGTCATTTCTATAAGTCAACAGTCTCCCATTCTGTAGAAATGCAAGGAAAAGAGAAGTCTTTAAAAATGTCAAACCATTTTTCAAAGAGGTATTGATAGATCATCTTTATTGCAGGATAAAGAGCTTGGGACCTAGACCCCTGCCACTCAGAGTGGCACCTACACTGACAACCAGAGCTTGTTACAAATGAACTCTTAACCTCATCCAGAACTGCTCCAGCAGTCCCTACTTTAACCCTACCCCCAGGTGGTGGGGCGCACACTGAGGAGCACTGACCCAGATGTTAGATGAATGAAACATCCATCAGGCAAGGTCCAATAAGAACACGAAGTGCAATAAGATAATCTAAATTCTAATCATGCTAACGCAGGCCAGCCTTAAATACATACCCATCTTCATAGTTCCACATGAATATGTCACTGTCAATTGTGAGCCAAGCTCTGCTGATAGGAGGAAACACACCCATCATGCAGTTACACTGCATATCTGAGTTGTGTGGATGTTAAGGTAAAAATATTTCCATCTCATATATTTCTATTTTAAACTTGTTTCAAAAGGCTTTGATATAAAATGTATGACTGCCTGGCCAGTGTGGCACAGTGGTTGAATGTCGACCCTTGAACCAGAAGGTCACTGTTCAATTCCTAGTCAGGGCACATGCTGTGGTTGTGGGCTCGATCCCAGTCGGGGGTGTGCAGGAGGCAGCCAATCAATGATTGCCTCTCATCACTGATGTTTCTACCTCTCTCCCTCTCCCCTCCTCTCTCTAAATCCATAAAAACATGTTTTTTAAAACATTAATATCTGCCCTGACCAATTTGGCTCAGTGGATAGAGCGTCAGCCTGCGGACTCAAGGGTCCCAGGTTCAATTCCGGTCAAGGGCATGTACCTTGGTTGCGGGCACATCCCCAGTAGGGGGTGTGCAGGAGGCAGCTGATCGATGTTTCTCTCTCATCAGTGTTTCTAACTCTCTGTCCCTCTCCCTTCTGCTCTGTAAAAAATCAATAAAATATATATTTTTTAAAAAAATGAAATAAAATTAAAATCTTAAAATTTATGATTAAAAAATCATGACCTGTCCACTCTTTGATAGAATATTTCATTCTATCAAAGAGTGGACAGGTCATGATTTTTTAATGAGTTTAATGAAAGCCATAGTATAGGACAGAAATACGTATAACTTATCATTTCTAAATAATGCTATTTGACCACATCTTCTCTCTCTAAAAATCAATAAAACATCTTTAAAAAGTGTTTTTAAGCATTAAATACAAAGTAATAGGATACGTCCAAACTGTTCAACAAGTTCAGGTGGGAGAGGAACTCTTCGGATGGAGCTGATCTCTGGAAGGTTGGGTACCGACAGCAAGCCGGGTCCTTGTAGAGGATAATCCATGTCCGACATGCCAGAAACAGTGGGACTATCTAAAGAAATAAACAAATGCAGCATTCACTTAACATTACTCATGTCTGGGCATCAAGTGGGCATCCAAAAGCACTGCAAGCTACAACAAAATTGTGCTTCTGGTGGTTCTGAAAGTATAGAGAGAATAAAGTAATTATCACCTGATGCAAAGGAGACCTGAGAAATTTCAGTGTTGAGGTGGGGGCACCAAACAAGGCTACCTTTCCCAAGTACTCCATAAACAAGAAAATGGTTGGTTCAATATTTTAGTGTTTTTCTATTATTAATTAATCTAAAATGGGATATATAAAAAACTGCTTTGTGATTATTAGCTCTAACAATTGTGGGCAAATAAAACATTGATTGGGAGAAAAAATAGCTACTTCCTTTCTCACTTAAACATTTATGGATTAAAATAATCCACGCCCTTTCCACTAGATTTCCCCCTAGACCAGTGGTCGGCAAACTCATTAGTCAACAGAGCCAAATATCAACAGTACAACGATTGAAATTTCTTTTGAGAGCCAAATTTTTTAAACTTAAACTATATAGGTAGGTACATTGTTATTAACTTAATTAGGATACTCCTAAGCTGGCCTTTGCTAAAAACGTCCTCAAACTGATTGAGTTACGTTCGCTGAGGTCGACCCCTTCCAACTCTCCCATTCACACTGGTCTTGTGTACTTGTTTCATCTATCTCCTTTCCGAAAACCAACTCCTGTGCATGGGCCACGAAGTTTCAATCGCACTGTATGTGCGCACCGCACGTGGTATTTTGTGGAAGAGCCACACTCAAGGAGCCAAAGAGCGCATGTGGCTCACGAGCCGCGGTTTGCCGACCACTGCCCTAGACCAACAAGATAAATACAAACAATACGACAGAAGCAATATTTTACTGAGGCAGAACCCACAGACTGCCCCACAAAGGGTTCTCCCTGCAACATGTCTCTTACTCTAGGAGTCAGACACTGAGGAGCAGGTTGGTCCCTTCAGCCTGTATTTCCTAGTCCTGAACAAAGCGTTTAAATCTGATGACCATTTCGTTCAGGCACCCTTTCAGGCTCTCTAAAGTACAAAGATGATTGGGAAACTCACATGTGAGACAATTTTAAAACGTATTTAGAAATGTTATAAATATATGCAACGAGAAAAATGCAAGCAATTCCTATGTGCTAATTACCTAGCTTCAACGATTACCAATATCATGCCCAATCACATTTCATTTACATCACTGTCTGCTCCTTCCCGAATGCATCTTCTGAAGCAAATCCCAGACATCCCAATTAGTCTTAAAACCGATTTTAATAGAACATGGCACCTGTTAAATGGCAGTGGAGACGCAAAGAACGAAATTAATAACTCTGGTGAAGATGTAAATGGTTAAGAAAGCCTTCACAAAGAAAGGGATACATATTTTTTAAAGAAATATATTTTTATTGCTTTCAGAGAGGAAAGGAGAAGGAGTGATAGAAACATCAATGATGAGAATCATCCACCGGCTGCCTCCTGCACGCCCCCTACTGGGGATCAAGCGCAGCAACCTGGGCAGGAGCCCTGACAGGAAAGCAAACTGTGACCTCCTGGTTCATAGGGGGCAAGGCTCAACCACGCAGCTTGCCAGTCAGGCAAGAAAGTGATATTTAAGGGAGTCTGCAAGAATTGTTTGTCAAAGAGGGAAGGACATTCCGGAAATGATGAAGAGTGCATGCACAATAAAATCCCAAAGAGGGGGCTTCTTGTGGAAAACGGTTGCATTCAGTGTGGCTGGAACCCTGTGGCTGAGAACAGAATGGAAGGAGGGGAAGAGATGAGATGGAAGAGACAGGTGTGTGTATCGGAGAAGAGGGAAGATGAGGCTCAGATATGATGAAAGGCCAGAATGTACGGACTATTAATATCTTGCCTTCAAACACCTAAGGAGGTCAAGGTGCGTCAAGCTGCGCAGGAGGAGACTCGCTAAGAGGCCGCTCAGCTCTTACAGGACAGGCCCACTGGTAAGTAACTGTCAGGAACCAATATCACCGTTGCTATGTTTTGGGGTTTTTTTTTTTGTCTTTTCTCTGATTACAAGTCTAACTCAATTAACACATCGTATAAATCGCCAGAGGTGTCTTTTAGGGTTACACTGCACAGATTATCCTGTTTAGCTTGGTTCTTGCTCACCAACTATCTTGTCTCTATCTTACACTTCTCTGCTTTTCTCTCATTTCCACCTCACCAAGGAGCCACTTTTTTTTTTGTTCTAGCCATTTATGTAACTCCACATGCCTCGAGGAACCACGATGTAACCATTAAACATTTTCCCAGCCCCTTTCCTTACTGGCACATGCTACCCCTTAGCCTCCCTGTCCATCATCTTGGTTGATTTCTCTGCCTTCATTCCACCGCCAGCTTTTACCACCTCCCGACACTTCCTATTACACTAACTCTACACACGGTAGAGCATGTCTCTGAGGGGACATGACCCGCGTCCAGATGAACTTGGTTTGCTCTCCCTAATAGTGACTCGAGTAATGAACAAGGCCGAGGCTTGTACCTGGCGCTCCTGCCCACCCCGCCTGGGGGAGAAGCACGAGGAGGCGGGAGCGGCCGGTGAAGGTGGGGGTCTCTGCCTCCCCGCGTCGGCTCCCCACTCCTACCCTCTCCGATGTGTGCAGTAAAGAAGGGGAGGCGGGGGGGGAGGAGGGGGCTGCCCATGGGCGCTTTCTCGCTCTTCGATGGGCAGCACACGGCGCCCGGGGGGTAAGGACCCGGGGAGGGGGACCGGCGAGAGTCGCCCGAGGCGCCGATCACTCACTCGGGGCCGACACCAGGAGCAGATCGGAGAGGTCCGGGTACATGCGGTCATCCTGCAACTGGCGGTCGATGAACCGCCCCGCGCTTTCCAACGCCTCCTGCGAGGCCGTGGCCGACGTGGAGGCCGGCATCGCCGAGCCCAGCAGGGAAGACGGCATCCCCGACAGCCAGGACACCAGGGTCCCGAGGAGGCCGAGCACCGCGGAGAAAGAGGCGAGAAACCAAGCCCCTAGCGCAGCCCCGGCACGGACGGCGCGCGCGCCAAACGAGCGCTTCGGCGCTGGCGCATGACGCACTTCCGGTTCCTCGGCGGCGGGACTCGCAGGCTCCGTCGCGGCTTCCGGAGCGGGAAGCCGTTAAGGGCGCCGGGCCTTGGGGGCGGGGCGGGGGAGGGAAGGACAGGCGGCGGCGGCGGCGCGGCGCTGGGGAGGGCGCGGGGAAGGGGGCCAGCAGGAGGGGGTCTGGGGAAGGAAGGGAGGCCGGGGAAGGGGCGGGAAGGGGCGGGAGGGAGGAGGGCGGGAGGGGCGGGAGGGAGGCGGGGCAGGGGCCGGGCCGGGGCGGAGGCGCCGGGCGGAGGGGCCGCGCAGTGCGCTCGGCTCGGTTCCGGTGCCCAGGCGCGCGCGGGGTCTGGTGCCGGCAGCCTCGCGGGTGCAGCTGCAGCTGTTGGAGAGGAGCGTCTGCGCGCCCATGTCTTGGGCGCCCCAAGGAGCTGAGAGTGGACAGGGGTGGGTACCGCGTTGTCGGAGACAGTTCACATAGGAGCCAAAATGTCACCTTATTTCTTAGGGGCTCCAGTGTAAATTGAAATGGATTAGGCTGCTCTGTTTGTGCGTTGCTGCTATTGGACTTGTGGCCCGTGACTGTGAAGAAGGATGCGGGCTCAGTGGGTGAGCACCGACCTGTGAACCCGGCGGTCAGGGCACGTGCCTGGGTTGTAGGCTGGATCCCCGGCGCGGGAAGTTTAGAAGGCAGCGGATCAAGGCTTCTAATCATTGATGTTTCTCTCTCCCTCTTCCTTCCTCTCTGAAATCAATAAAAACATACACTTAAAAAAGAATGATGTGCGTGAAGGATCGTCCGCGGCGGTCAGGGCGCTGCTGCCTTGCCTTGTTTCTCGTTACAGAGAGGAAGCAGACGGTTCTAATCCGTCGTTGCATTCATAGCAGAGAGGCAGCTATAACGCTACCAAAAAGACCCCCCAGTCCTGCAGAAACGGAATTCACTTGTGTCGGCCATTGTGGCCCAGTGCCGGCAACATCAAACTGACAGCGTTCCCCCGCGAAGGGTGCCTCGGGCAGGGGCACACCAGCAAAGCAATCAAGTGCAGCACCGGAACTTGTATAGGGCGTGCTTTTGAAATAGGAGTAATGAGCAGGGAGAGGCAAGATAGGCTTCATTTGATAGAGAAAGCACCCTTTTCCAGCAGTCCTCCTTATTTAATTCCCCTTAGCCGCTGAACAGATGAGATGGTTGAAGCACAGAAAGCCTAAGTAACTCACCTAAGATCACATGATCAGAATCAGGTTTGAACCTAGACATTCTAGTTCTGGAACTCATTTTCTGAACACTGTGCTAATCTGCTTCTCAAATTTATGAAAAAATTCACTTTGCTGCAAGAAAATTAGAGTTGCCCTGGTATACTTAACAATTTCATTCTGAAGATGTTCCAGCAAACAAAACAGGAAAAAAATAGTTCAGTATGGAAGTCTCCAGTAGTGCAATTATTCCCCCGACCTTTTATCAAAAGCAAATACATCTTCTTGTGACTTTTCTTTAATGGTCATGATCATTCCCATTGGTTGATGATTTCCAGTTTTCTTTTCTTTTTCCCCAGCTAGCACTTAGTAGTTTAAAATTTTATATAGCTACAGTGGGATTTTTTTTTCCCAACAGATGGTGCTACAACAACCGGATATCCACATACAAAAAATAAAAAATCTAAGCACAAACTGTATACACTTCACAAAAATTAACTCAAAATGGGTGACAGACCTAAATGTAAAATGCACAACTATAAAACAAATTAGTTGTGGATGGTCCAAAGAATGTTCCTACATAAAATGCTCTAGAGACTTTTTGAGATAAATTCTGCATATAATTTTCAGTTAAATATATCTAAAAAACTAGATGAAATTGGGTAAATTAATGACTTTTTTGATATAACACCAAAATCAGGAAAGAAATAATTGATAAGCTAGACTTTATTAAAATTAAAAACTTCTGCTCTGTGAAAAACAATGTCAAGAGAATGAGAAGACAAGTCACAGACAGAAAATATTTGGAAAAACATCTGACAGAGGACAGCAAGCCAAAATATACAAAGAACTCGTAAAACTCAATAATAAGAAACAATCTGATTTAAAAACGGGCCAAAGACCTTGACACCTTGACAAAGTATACATATGGTAATATTAAGTCTTTCATATTAGCATGTGAAAAATGTTCCACATGGTATGTCATCAGGGAAATGCAAATTATAACAGCAATGAGATGCTGCTGCATACCTATTACAAGGGCCAAAATTTAGAACATTAACAACAACAAATGCTGGTGAGGCTGTGGAGGAACAGGAACTCTCATTCATTACTGATGGGAATGCAAAATGATGCAGCCACTTTGGAAGACTGTTTTCCAGTTTTTTCACAAAACTAAGCATTATTCTCACCATATGATACAGCAACCTTGGTCCTTTAGATCGCCCACAGGATCTAGATGGATGTCCACACTAAAGCTTGCACACGGATGATTATAGCAGCTTTATTCATAATTGCCAAAATATGGAGGCAACCAAGATGTCCTTCAGTAGGTGAAGGATAAGTAAACTGTGGTACATCCAGACAATGGAATATTATGCAGTGCTAAAAAGAAATGAGCGATGAAGTCATGAAAAGACATGGAGGGACTTTAAATGTATATTATTGAGATCAGCCAATCTGTAAAGACTACATGTATGATTCCAACTGTATGATATCTAAAAAGACAAAACTATGGAGATAGTACAAATATCAGGGGTTTGGTGATGTGGGGAAGGGAGATGAATAGGTAGAGCTCAGACAATTTTGGGGGCAGTGAAAATATTCTGTATCATGCCATAATGATGGAACACCTGTCATTATACATTTGTACACAATGAGGGAACCCTATGTACTTAAGGTGATTAGGACATGCCAATGTAGGTTCATCAGCTATAACAAAGGTATCACTCTGGTGGGAGATGTTGATAATGGAAATTCTGCACCTTTTGCTCAATTTGCTGTGAGTGTTAAACTGCTCTAAAAATGAAAGTCTTAATGAAAAGAAAGTATCATCTTAAGCCCTTTCAAGTCCTTGACTACTCAGGAGCTGAAATAGCTATTTATAAACTTGGGGTGTGGAATACACAAAAGTTGTATTCATAAAGTTCTGTTCTATTGCCTAAGGCCTGTTTATCTGAAGTCAGAAAAGAGACAGTGGCATTAATAATAACTTATTTTGTTACAGGTGCAATGAACTAGCCTTATTAATGTGAGGTCACATAGACTTTTGACACTTGTGGTTCAGTAATCTGTTGGGGTGAAACCAAACTTTGTTGTGCCAAATTACATGACATCCGCAGATAAGAGGAGTAGCTTTTGTTTTCACACCTACTTTCTTTTATTCATTCATTCTTTTATTCATTTCACAAGTACTGAGACCCAGGATTAGATTACGTGACAGATAGAGGGCCTAACTTGGGGTGTATAAAGGTCTATAAAGTGCTTACAGGAGATTGCGATTTGAGTCCTGCAGGATGAGGGGTTAAATGAAGGGGATGGGGATTGGCGAACTTTCATTCAGGATGTCGTGTTCTGGGGCTGCTTCTACAGCTGAAGAAGACTCGCCTGGTAGAGAATAGAAAAGCTGAAGCTGGAAACACTTTGGAGGGCATGCTAATTTTGTATTTTATTTTAAGAACAAAGGAAAGGATAGTACACTTGATCATTAACAGTTAGGGTTTGTAGGTAAAACATAATTTGAGATAGATTAAGGTAGTGCTGGGAGGAAGGAGTAATTTCATGAAAATATTTGCATTCAGCAGCATCGAGTAGGATTAGACATGATTTTGCTAGAATTCAGAAATACAGAGATACGTACGTAGTATGCCATTCGTTCAGAGCACAGACAAGGAATCATGTTATAAAGTAATTAAAACCAACGAAAAGTGAAAATACAATGAAGTGAATGCAGGGCGTTGGGAGGCCTTGCTGTGGAGAAGGAAACTCCGTAACTAAGCATGGCTAACAGTCAGAGGGCGGCGTGGGCTAAGAGAATAAGCTTTAGGGAACTTTCTGACAATTCTTTCAACTACCCGGGTCTTTTTAGCTGGTGAGTACTTTTCCATCATGCGGTATATATGCATTTCTTCCTTAAAATATACTCAAAAGGTGGAAAACTATGCGAGTTTCCTCATAGAGGACAAAATGCAAAGAAAGGGCGTTTAGCAGGGTTTTCTTTAGGATTCCGAGCGGGTTGGTCACCTTGGCTGTGACCGCATCTCGCATGCGAAGGGTGTTGGAGACGCCCAGGGGAAGGTGCCATCCACCTGGAGAAGGACGGCGGCGCGGCGCGCACATGCTCCTCCCGTCCGCCAGGGCGGCGCTGCGCGCAGGCCGCCGTCCCGCCGCGGAAGGCGCCGCTCTTGGCCGTGGCGCCGCGGGCGCTGCGAGCAGTTACTTCCGGCCGGGTCCTCAGCGCCGCTCGCGCGGCTGTGTGGGCTGCTGCTGGCGCTGGCTCTGCGGCGGGCGGCGGCGATGGAGCGCCCGGGGCCCAGCGAAGGTGGGTCCCGTGAGGCGAGCCGGGCGGGGCGGGCCGGGCTGGGCTCCGGGGGCGCCGCACTCACGAGGCCCCCTCTCTCTCCTCCTCTCGCCCCCGTGACAGGCGCTGAGACGTCGGGACCGGACCCGCAGCTGGCGGTCACCATGGGCTTCACGGGATTCGGTGAGTGAGCGCCCGTCCCCTGCAGGGTTCTCGGGTCCGCAGGCGGGGGAGGCCGAGCGCCAGGTCCTAGTGTGTATCTGCAGGGTCTCCACACTCGCCCGCCCCCACCTTTTCTAACTCCCGCGGGCCTGTCGGGCCGCCCAGGTGGCACCCAGGGAAGCCGAGTGAGCGAGAGGGCGCGGTGAGCCCGCGGAGGGCCGGGTTGGTGGAGGGAGCTTTTAGGCGCGTCCTCAGGCTGACAGCTCACCGCCGGCTGCGGTCTGTAAGGTGACGGCTCTTTCGGCAACGGGTGGGCTAAGTGGTGATGATGGTTTTCACTT